AATAAATAATTACCAAAAACGAAAGCACGGTTTAAAAGGTTATACGAAATTATTAAAAGTAAAGTACGGTTTTAATTTTGCTTTGGCCGTTTTTTTTCCAGGCAAATATATTGCGGAAAAATACAAAATTTCGTTACCGGAAATTACGGATAACGAAAAAAAGTAAATCCAAACCATAAGCCGGTTATTAATTTAACCGGCACGGATTTGCCCTAAATAGCTTTATTTTTTGCTTAATTTAATCCACGCCTTTTACTTTTAATTCCTTTGTGCACCGTGCAAAAAGTGGTGGGTGGCTTATTACCTTTTTCGGCGATACATTGGTTTCCAGCTAATTTGGGTGGGGAAAAGTGTTACAAAAAAAACGTCGAATTGCCCCGAAAACGTCGAATTGCCCCGCCGCACTTTACTCCGGAGGACCGTTAAATTGCAGGCGCTTTTAGCCCGCACGAGTAGGGTCAGCAACCAGGATCGATGTGTTTATCGTGCAATGCTTCATTCAAATGCGTTATTTCTCATCCTGACCAAGTCATCTCAAGCCTCCATCATCTTTTCTAAACAGCGACAAAGTGAGCGATTTGAAACAATATCGTGCTCATAATCCCTCATCACCCAACTGGATCCTTAGACAGAGCCGGCAGCCTTGACCGCGGGCACCTCCTCGTCGAGCGGTAGGATGTCGGGAAGCGGCCCGACGGGGCAGATGCTGAAGGGGTTGATCTGCTTGTGGCTCTTTGTGTAGTGGTTCTTGATGTGCAGGAAGTTGGTCGTGTCCTTGAAGGCGGGCACGTTCCAGTAGAGGTGGCGGATGTACTCGTGCAGGTGGGGGTAGCCGGACCGGATGTCGCGGATGTTGCACTTGAAGTGCTGCACGTACACGGGCTGTGCAGGGGATGCGGGTTAGCTACTGAGCCTGGTGCTTCAATGAGGTAGGTGGCTACAAGGGGGTATGGGGTGGCTTACGTCGAACCGGATGAGCGTCGGGAAGCTTGAGTTAGCAAGGGTTAGCACATGCCCGCCGGTGAAGGGCGCATCAAGTCGTTTGAGGATGACAGGATTTCTGGGGGAGACTCACAGTCTGACATCGACCTCGGTCATCTCCTTGCCGAACCAGTACGGGCCCTCGGTCGTGGCAAAGTGCTTCTCGGCCCGGTCCAGGGCCTCGAACAGGGCAACGACGTTCCTGTCGTACGCCTCTTGGGTGGTGGCGAAGCCGGACTTGTAAACGCCGTTGTTGATCCTGTCGTAGGTCCACTGTGGGGGTAGAAGACACAAAGAGTGTTAGAACAGTCACACACAGGCTTCGTGGCCAATGAACCCAAGAACATCTGCGGCCCTCCCCGTCTCCTCACCTCGTGCGTCTCCTCAATCTCCTTCTGCAGGGCCTCCGGGTACAGCACCACGTTCCTGTACTTGTCCTCGAGCAGGTGGTCGAACTCGGTGCCGAAGAAGCGCAGGATCTCGGAGCTCTCATTGCTGACGATGGTCTTGGCCACCTTGTCGTACAGCACCGGCACCGTGAAGCGGCCCTCGTAAGCCGGCTCGACCTGGAAGTAGACCTGGCGGATGTGCGTGAAGCCGGCGTGTTCCTCCACGGGGGCCGGCACCACGTTCTCCCCCTCGGCGTCGGCGTCCTCGGGCGTGGCGAACCGCCACCCTTGCTCGCCCAGGTGCCAGTGGACCGACGAGAAGGAGACGTAGTCCTCGAGACCCTTGAGCCGGCGCGCGATCAGCGTCCGCGTCGCCCACGGGCACGCGTAGCTGACGTACAGGTGGTACCGGCCCTTCTCGGGCGGGAACCGCGCGCCCTGCTCGCGCGAGATGAAGTTGCGGAACGACGACACCTGGCGCTTGAACTCGCCCGACGTGTCGTCAGGCTTCACCCATTCGGTGATCTTGGCGCCTGAAGATGACTGTTGGTAGATGTTCGTCCTGGTTTAGCACGTAAAGTCTTTACCAAATGGAGTATATAAAAATGGTGGAGTTGGTGATTGTCACACGCACCATTCTGACTTGCGTTATTCTTGGTGACAGCAGCGAATGCCTGAATGCGTGGTTTTGTGTGGGAATATCTCGCAAAGTCGCGATGGACAAGGGCCGGGACCCGACTCTGGTCAAGTTCAATGCTTGTTTCTGTCTGCAAAGTCTGCCGAATATAGACAGACTCATCAAGCTTTCTTTTGATCGAGAGCAACGGCTGACAAGGAGTAACATCCAGCGCCGCCAACCGATATGCAGCGAAAGTAGGTAGCTCTATATTTATAGGACATCACAAGTATGTGGTGCTGCCTCTTTCTGTGCAGGGATCATGCATCTACCTCCCAAAAGGAGAACACACAAGCTTGATGAAACCACGCTTGCGCGACTTCGTCATTGATGCGGGGGAGGTCTTTGAATGTGCTCCACATGACACTGGTGATTAAGTTATGCTGACTGATCACACCACCGACCCCTTCATCAAGACCAGGATTTGTCAACCTTACTCTATTATCGCCGTCAGCATCGCTACTAGTAGCAAGCAGCCGTCCACGATGGTGCTTTGGTCAATGCTTACCACGAGTGCCATCTTAGCTCTACTCATACCTTGACCTCCTTCCCCGGGTCGGTACTCGTCCATCACGGAGCTTGCCTAGTCGCTTGAACTCGCCGAGCCGCCGTGTCGTACCGATGTTGTGGCTTCAAAATCCACCAGCGCTGACTAAGTCCTTTGCATGGACCCGGCATTTTCAATATCTGTCGAGCCTGTGTCGCCGAAGCTGTGTCCTGTTTGGGAAAAGTACGCTTTCAGGCGAGGATGAAAAATACAAGAAATCGTCTTGCAGACTACCTCTCTAGCAATCCAAACGCGCTATCTCGTGTTTCGCTAAAAGAACAACGCATATGATGAGGGTGCTCTAGGGAGCTCCTCGGAGAAAATACCTCGATCCAGCATACCTTCCGGCTAAGATGCTGGTGTACCTAACCATGCAATCATGGCCTCAAGCAGACGAGCGGGGATGGTGCGCGGGAAAACAAGACATTGCCAGGCAGGTAATCTCAACTGGTGAAAAAAATACCATGTCCAACTTAAACATACGGTGGGAAAGAACCGGTTCTATTTTGGGTTGCTCGAGCCTCGGAAGAAGCCATCGCGTCTGAAGAAAAGTACCTCATTCGTCACCGAAGCCAACGAAACAGAAAGCCGATAATCTATCGGACCTTGACCTTCAGGTAGGGCACCTCGACATCCTCGCCGTCCGCATCCTCAGTCACCACCTCAAATATGACCTCCTTTTGGTGCTCTGGTACCGGCTTCTTGGTGATGAACTCGACCAGCTGGCTCAGCTTCATGGGGTATCGATCCTTGAGCTTAGCCGGTGGGAAGAAGGACGCATACAGTAGGCTGACGCCCGAGCTTAGCATCGTGATCGTCAGGCCCCTCTTCTCAAAGTCGTCCATGAGCTCTTTGAGCGTCACGTCCTCAAGCTCGAACCGGTCCCAGATCTTGTCCAACGTCACCTTGCCGTTGGGGCCCTTGTACTCCACCCTGGGACTGGCGATCGGCTCGCTGAATCCGAAGAAAGGCAGGGCCAGGTTCACGAACCCATTCTTGTACTGCTCGATGTCGTCCTTGCCGTCAACGATCTTGTACAGCTCCAGAATCACCAAGCCCGTCACCAGCGCCGTCGTGGTCGCAATGGCTGGAATGATCTTGCCCGCGATGAACTTGGTCTTGTGTCGGTCCGCCTGCTCGATCTTGTAGTTGGCCGCCCGCAGATTGCTGGCAGCCGTGATGAAGTCGATGTGGTGGTTCGAGTCGTCGTCCTTCTCGAACTCTACCGGCGTCAGCTTGAAGCCTGCCATGTCTTTGGGCGCTGGCAGCTCCTTGGTGATCTGCTCCAACTCGTTGGCGTCATCGAAAGCAGAGGCTCCAGCGTTCGGGTCCTAATTGTGGCACGTGTTAGCATATTGTTCCCTCCATAGAATCCATGGCCAGGAGCCGTCCGAGTGGCAGCCACAAATGTTGCACGCAATAATAGACTCACCGGCTCTTTCTCGTCGGCTTGGATCTTGACATCCGGGTCCGGCTCAAACTCCTCGATGATCATGTTTGAGAGAACGCCGAGGAAGTCCTGCTTAGTCTTGTCCTTGACGTTGATGTTGTAGTTGAAAGCGTGGAGGCTAGCTGCCGCAACGACAAACCCAAAATGCGAGGGGTCTTCGGGATCGAAGGTGAGCGGGTCAGGGGCGCGCTTGGGCCCTGACCAGAAAGGCGTTCCCGTGGAAGAAACGGAATCCTTGGGGAAGTTGTGAAGAAGTTGTCGGATGGCGTTGTTGTAGTTCTTTTCGAATAGATTCCGGGCCCATATCACGCAGTCCTCAAACGACCTAGCCCGATCCTTGATTAGATAGTCGCGGAGCGTCTCCAGCGTCTGCTTCTCGTTTCCGCCCTGTTTGAGGGTCGATTCTAGGTAGTTGGGCTGCGACAGATACAGATTCACCGTCTCGGCCGGGCGGATGAAGCTGGAATCGAAAAGCTCCCGAGCCCAAGCGATGGTGTGCTCAATCTTGTTGGGGAAACTCCTCAGGGTGCACATGGGGAACGACTGCTCTGGTGGGTCTTGAGAGGACGAGTAGGACTCGGTCAGCTTGGGGAGGACCACCTGCGTGTTACCCTTGGTGCCCAAGGTACCGCTCTCCAGCAGTGGCTTGTGGAAGAAGACGCAACGGCGGTCGACATATGTCCTCGCCTCCACGTTGTCCAAGGCATTCGTCACGCCGTCCAGGCCTCCCCAGAACTCCTCGTTGAAAATGTGCTCCGTATCAGGGCCCACGCGGTCCTTCAAGCACACGATATGACCCGACAGCTCAGGGTTCATCAGTTCCGCTGCCTTGGCCGCGCAATCGCTCTTCATCTGACCCACGTCCTTGGGACGGAACAGGAACTGGCGGTTGAGGTTGCTCTTCTCGATGGAGTCCATGTCGGTGATAACGATCTTGCCCTCCGGTCCGGCGCCAAGCCCAATCATGGCCCAGTTCTTCAGCATCTCGCAGCCTATGGCTCCCGCGCCAACGAGGAACTGCTTCATGTTTGCAACCTTGTCCTGGTATTCTTTGCCAAAAACAGCGATCTGGCCATCGTAGCGGGTGTTGAGCGGTCGGCAGAGCTCCTCGGAGCGGGGGATGTTGGTCGGGAGGGACTCGAGAGAGTCGAAGTACATCCATTGCTTAACAGGGTGGAACTTGCCCGAGACGGCCTTCAGGACCTCTTGAGCGGTAACACCACCGAAAAATGCCGCCATGGGGTTCAGGTCGCCCGTGGCCTGGTAGCTCAGCTCGGTGAGCAGCTTCTCGTCAAACTCCACCTCGATTCCAGCAGCCTTGGCAAATTCTTTCGCTGAGTTCACAATGACGATCGCGTCCTCGGCGTTAAAGGGGCGCGGCAGGCGGCTGTGTGTCTGAGCAAACGCGTGCAGCCCCTGGAAGCCGACGTGCAACTGCTGCGGGCGGTCGAACTTGGCGTAGTCGGTGATGACAAACTCGGGGTCGGCCAGGGCGTCGGAGAAACCCTTGAAGTCCAGGAGCTTGGGCATCTTGACCTGTTGGTACAGTCCACCTCGCTCGTACGTTCCGAGCCCCGACACATCGCCGATAGAGAAGGTGTAGGGACCTTTGACGGTTATCTTCCGCGGCTGGCACCCGTTGAGTTGCTCCATGCCTTGAACTTCGGTAAATGTGACGTAATCGCCGTCTTCGAGGCCGTGTCGCGCATCGTCGGGCGTGGTAACAACACCCTCCTCGTCGATGCCGTTCACCATGCCGTTCAGGGGGTTCTCGCCCGTGGCATCAATGACGGTGAATTGCTTGCCGAAATCGCAGAAGAGGGACCCAAACAGGCCAAAAGTGTCAGCAGCGGCGAAGTAGATACCCTTGGAGTGGCAGTAGTCGCCAATGGCCTTCTGGGCGACCAGCGGGGCGTTGGTGAGCACCACGATCTGGTACTTGTCAAGCTGCGAGAGGTCATCTGTGAGGCTTGGCGAGGCGTGGACGTTGACGGGAGTGTATGCATTAAGCTCGGCGACTCGAGGGGCTGTGACTTGGTCGCGCGGCTTGCCGACGTCCTCAGGACGCAGGAAGAACTGGGACGACAGGTCGGCGATGGCAACGGGGGCCGGGTCGTGGAGTGAGAGGCTCTTGACGCCAGCCAGGGCGATGTTTTTGGCAATCTCGACTCCGAGGCCCTTGAGGCCGGCGATGAGCACGTTGGAGGCGCCCATGCGCCTCATGGCCTCGTGCCCTAGGACATAGAGTTGGCGGCTGTAAAGGGACTCGTCGATCTCGCCAGTGCCGACAACGTTGACGACCGAGTCGTCGACCTGCATCCTGGTCACCAGGTCGACCTCGGGAAGGCGTTGGTCCTGTAAATCAGAGAGCAGCTCGTCGTCAGCTTCGCGTTCCCAGACCGTCCATCGCAAAGGGAGAGAGCATGACCTACCGCCATGGCTCGTTTGCGGGATGCTGCAAGATCCCCTGCGGATAGCCTGCGCTTCCCCAGCGCAGTAGATGTGTCCGACAACGTTATGGCTTCGGCTTCGGGATCGTCTCGTTGACGCGGCGCAGGTGATGGAAACGCCAGGCTTCACCACAGTCCAGGTGGTGTGTAGACGCAAATGAGGTGGCTTGAAGGCGCCCGTGGTTGACAGGCGAACAAGGTCAGTGTCGGCAGCACAGGTTGGCAGGTGGGTTGGTGTTTGGAGCAGGTAGCGAAGGAAGAGTGGGACGTATGCTGTCATGCACCACCAGGTTCCAAGCTCTACCCCTCCCCCCGACTCGACACCCCACCAACACGGGTCGATTCACGCGTGGATGTGTAGAAAGCGGCACGCACCACGTACACGGTACTCTCGTTGATATGGATTTAGGACGGCGAGCGCGGTATCTGGTACACCCTACTCGGTTCCTGAATATCGGCTGTCCGCACGAGCTTCACAGCACTTTCCCTCGGACGAAACTGCGAGTGAATCATCGAGGTGTGCGAGTTCGATCAGGCAACAGCGACCAATGCTCAAAAATCAACCAGTTCCGGTCAAGCCTTCAGCCCTCAAAGACTGCCTAGTTCTACCTAGAGGTAGCATAGCCATCCACTGTACATACTGAATAACTGTCCATCCGCCTCCGTACTTGACAGCTTCCTAATGTACGCCCTCTTTCTAGAGCCTTCTACCTCGATATTCCAGCCAAATCGGTCAGCAACTTCCATGTACCAGCGACTTACCAAGTGGAGGCGATGCCCCACTTGCAACATCAGACCCCGATACCCGGCAGGCGACGATTTGGTGATTACCGTGTGCCGCGGGTGCTCCAATTGCAACATACCCCCTTTGCGTCTTCAACTTAAAAATGTACCTCGGTACCTTTGTGGTTTTGTAATTCAAAGCGACGGGAGCTGAACCCCAACCTCCCAAAGAACGAGCGTATCAAACCTGTGTCTCATCGGATGCTCTAATCGCTCTGTAGATCCTAAATCCGACAAACACACGCCCACAATGCTGCGCCATGGCGTGCGCAGATTCGCCACGGCGAGCACGCTGAGGGCTGCTGTTGCGGCGGCGGCTGAGCCGGCCCAGCACACGTTGAGTGTCTTGAGGGCGCAAGGGGTCGCAAAGGGCCTGACCGGAGGTGCGCAGGCCGGGACTCCCGTCCATAGCCTATCTACTTAACCTACCTATACACCATCCCAGACGCACCCAGCAGTGCAAACGTGACCAAGGCCTGCTGACACACCCAAGCCATCGGCAACACGCCCCTGATCCGGCTCAACAGGCTGTCGGAGGAGACGGGGTGCGAGATCCTGGGCAAAGCCGAGTTCATGAACCCAGGCGGGTCCGTCAAGGACCGGGCGGCGCTGTACGTGGTCAAGGACGCCGAGGAGCGCGGGCTGCTGCGCCCGGGCGGCACCGTGGTCGAGGGCACGGCCGGCAACACGGGCATCGGGCTGGCGCACGTGTGCCGGTCGCGCGGCTACAAGCTCGTTATCTACATGCCCAGCACGCAGTCGCAGGGCAAGATCGACCTGCTGCGCCTGCTGGGCGCCGAGGTCTACCCCGTGCCCGCCGTCGCGTTCGAGAACCCGGAAAACTACAACCACCAGGCCCGCCGTCATGCCGAGCGCCTCGACAACGCCGTGTGGACCAACCAGTTCGACAACACGGCCAACCGCCGCGCCCACATCGAGACGACGGGGCCCGAGATCTGGGCCCAGACGGGCGGCAAGGTCGACGCCTTCACGTGCGCCACCGGCACCGCCGGCACCCTGGCCGGCGTCACCCGCTTCCTCAAGGACGCCAGCGGTGGCGCCGTCAAGTCCTTCCTCGCCGACCCGCCCGGGTCCGTGCTGCACAGCTACATCACCAGCGGCGGCCGCCTGACGGAGCGGACGGGGTCCAGCATCACCGAGGGCATCGGCCAGGGCCGCATCACCGACAACCTGCGCCCGGACCTGGAGCTACTCGACGGCGCGCTACACATCAGCGACGAGAAGAGCATCGAGATGGTGTACCGCTGCCTTGACGAGGAGGGGCTCTACCTGGGCGCCTCGTCCTCTCTCAACGTCGTCGCCGCCAAGGAGGTCGCCGAGCGGCTCGGCAAGGGCCACACCGTCGTCACCATGCTTTGCGACGGTGCCTACAGGTATGCCGACCGCCTCTTCTCTCGCAAGTGGCTTGAGGAGAAGAGACTGCTGTCGGCTGTCCCGAAGCACCTCGAGAAGTACATTGTCCTGCCTTGAGAACCCTCTTCTTAGAGATCTTTTATGCGCCCCCTTTATACCACATTTCTTGGCCTCCGCAAATTACCTGATATCTGCCATCTCTTGTATACATGTGCACACGTGCATCAACATCTAGGGTAGGGACATGGGGAGTGTGAACAGCACAAGGGAAAGAGAAGACGAAGAAGAAAAAAACAATTCAGACATGACGTGGTTTTACAGCAGACACCCGATCAGGGCCGTCTGGTCTGGTCTTGCGACCAATGCAACCCAGTGACTAAGAGGATCCTGGGAGCCCTCCCATGTGTGTTCACTTCTCCTCCATACTTTCGAACCGCAATAGCACCCCGGCTATCAAACCCCCTATTCACGTCTTGGAGGTGGGCAGGACGTGGTGTGTACCATGCAAGATGTCATGCACGAGGCGGCCAGTGTGCTGCTTGTCAGCCGGTTGCGACAGGGCGTTGTCGACCTCGTCAGATGTTGCATCTCGTCGGGACTTGAGCTCCGCAGCGAGTTCCGGCTCAACCACACCCATGGCAAGGTCTAGGGCGGAGAGGGCAAGTGCTCCTTCGCGAATGATGCTGTTGGGATATTTGAGGAACGAAAACCTCAGTTCGTGTGCGTCCTTTGCCAAGGGCAGGCTGCTGAGGCCCCTCCCTGCTGGCCAGCGCTTTACAAGGGTGTTGGACAGCTGCGTGACACGCTTGCGCAACCCGTCGGCCTCCTCTTCTGGTAACTTGTGTTTGACAACAAGCGCGGCGGCCAGGTGCAGCTGCGGAAGGATCCACATTGGGTCGTCCCGTAGGGCGAAGCCCTTCGGCTGCTCTTCCGGCTGCTCCGCCGGCTGCTCTTCCGGCTGCTCTGCCGGCTGCTCTGCCGGCTGCTCCGCCGGCTGCTCCGGCTGCGCAACGACTGAGTTTGGATCGCCAATGCGTTTGGAATACTCCAACTGCTTGGCTCGTCGCGCGGCCAGCTGCTCGTCTCGTGGCACTGATGGCTGGTGTGCATCTAGCTGCAGCATATCCACCACCATATCGGCCCAGAGGAGGGCCTTGCGGGTAATGTTGACGTCTGGCCAGGCCTTGCCCGACGCGGCCTTGGCTGCGGCCTCTTCGAAAGAAGGAGCCGCGAAGCCAGCGAATGCCTTCCACTGCACCCAGTACATGATCTGGGCGATCAGCTCCGGGTCGTCCAGCTTGAAGCCCGTAGAGTCGACCTGGCGGGCGCACTCGATGATGGTGAAGATGCGATCCTGAGTGCCAGCCTGGCGGGCCAGCTTGGGGAAGTCGCCCCTGCCGGGCCTCCACCAATGTATCTTGGCCTTGTGGTGCAGGCCTGTGAGAAGCCGCGACAAGTTCGCCCAGTCCTCATCCGTCTTCATCAGCCTGATGGCCTGAATCGCCGTCCTGCGCACCTCGACCAGATCCTTGTGCTTGTCCGTGTAGTAGAACTTGTGCACCTCCCCATCAATGGTCACTGTCGGCGGATCGTTCTTGAGCTTCTGGTAGTTGCGCTCCCGGTAGATCTTTTTGCGCTCCTCGGGCGAGAGATACATTGGAAGGATGCGCTGTTCTCGCAGCGTGTTGAGCAGCGAGTCGAGCTCGGTCGAGGAGGTCTCTGTGAATGTGACGACATGATGAGCTGTGCCCATATGAGCCGGTTAGCCCGCCGTTTTCGGGGAAGCCCAGCGAACCCCAGGGGTGGCCGGGATGGACAAACATTTGCGAGTGACTGCCGTGTGCGAGAACAGCCTTTGTTGCGTGCCGGCGCATCGAGGGGCAGCCGCCCTGAGGGCGGAAACAACCGACATCCTCGCCATTGCGGCAAAGTTTGCCTCTTTCTCTCCCTGTGCGTGCGTGTATGCGGCCTAGCAGAGGGAACTATTAGACGACCTAGGAGAGGTACCTAAAGTGCTATCAAGTGATGATAGCTTTTGCAGCATCCCTTTTTTTTGTCCCATTGAGTCCCCGCGCTGGATGGAGGCGCGGGCATAATAGTGGGTTTATGCGGGTGACGCAGCCAATGAATGCATCAAATTGACACAGCTCTGCTGGGCCTGCACACACACACACACACATACACGCACACACGTGAGTCAGGCCAATTGGAACAGCAACTTTTCGACTTCATCTAGCGACGAGGCTCAGCGTCTAGACAGCCGGGCCGAGAAACCCCATCAGACACGACGGGCGCGTGCACACCAGCCATGAACTCCGCTTCATTAAGGCGGCCTCTGGCCTGCCTCAAGCACAGCCTGCGCCAGGCCCGCCAACAGAGGCTGGCTGCCCCTCGGTTCATGGCCACCGAGGCCGCCGCAACAACAACAACTACATCCACCCCCGGCTCCGGCTCCGGCTCCGGGCCGGCACCCCCCGGGGCCGCACTTCCGCCACACACATACTGTCAGTGCCCGCTGCTACCCGGCCACGCTCCCGCCGGCCCCCGCTGACCTCCCTCCGCTTCCCTCCCATCCTCTGCAGTCGGCATCCGCAAGGGCCGGCAAACAAACAGCTTCCGCACCGGCTTCGCCGTCTACACCCCGCCCGACTTGTCCCGGCCCCCGACGACCGACCCCATGGCGGCCTTCGACAAGCAGCAGATCTCGGCCATGGACCCGACGGGCGCGCGCTCGCGCCTCTTCGACCGCCACTCGCCCGACTCGGTCAAGGTCGGCGACGTGCTCATGGTGACGACGCGCCGGGCCGCCGAACCCTTCTCGGGCGTGTGCATCACCATTCGCCGCTCCGGCATCGAGACGGCCGTGCTGCTGCGCACCGCCCTAACAAAGGTCGGCGTCGAGATGTGGTTCAAGGTCTACAGCCGCAACGTGGTCGCCATCGACATCGTCCAGCGCAGGCCCAAGCGCGCCCGCCGCGCCCGCCTGACCTACATGCGCCAGCCCAAGCACGACCGCGGCAGCGTCGAGCAGATCGTCGCCGCCTGGCGCAAGTCGAGGAACGTGCTGCGCACCCGCGCCGGCGCCCAGGCCGCCGCCGCCAAGAAGGCGTCGGCCAAGAGCAAAAAGAAATAATGGCCGCGGCTTAGGAGAAACTTTCTGCGCGGGATGAGTTTGCCAGATCAGCCCGGAGCGGAGTACGAGAACCAGTCGTCGCCGGATAACCTGCCATACAACTATGGCCATACTTATCGCAAGGATTGGCTGCTCATCTAGATACCAATTGAGTGTATAACAAACAACTAGTGACATTGTACAAAATCAACAAAACGGTCTTGGATAGCAAGTGCACATGTCGCTTCAAATCAAATATGGCGAGGAAATGGGTTCATGCAGTGCGCCCTCACACCTTTCTGTCCTTCGTAGAGCCATCAAATCCGTGAGACCTCAATGTTTGTCCCACGTAACTTTGCATACAGAACCCTCTTGAATCTCCTCCTGAAGTGATACCATCACATGAACTGATAGAGCCACTTGATGATAATGCTCACCACGAAACAGCCATGATAATATACCACTTAAGCATCAAACACGGAAGAGGCACCATGCTCCTTGTGCTTCAAATAAAAGACACGCCGAGAGCCCACTGGTAATGGAATGGTAGGACTGTAGTTTTTAATTGAAAATGATCCTAGGTAGCATCTAAACCCTGATCTCAGGGGACCCGCTCCCTGTCCCAATTGCCCCTGAACTCCGTGCTGTGCTCAAACCCCATGGCCTTCCGACTTGTATACATACACATGATGCTTTTCTATGCCGAGGAAATCGGCAACCTGCGGGGAATAACATAAAAATGAGGACGAAAAAATGCTGCTGGCAAAAATAAATTAGAAAAACAAGGCTATACCTCAACGCCACCCAAAACCGCAGCTAGTGCGGCCACCGCCACCGCCACATGGCCATCCCTCAGATTCTTGGGGTACCTGCGGCAGGCCTCAAGTTAACGCCAGCGGGCCTAGGGCTGGCGGAAGGAGGCCTTGGACTGGCCGAGGGTGCTTGACCCAGAGCCTCTGCGCGGAGAGTCTCGGCACGACGCATGGGATGCCTTCCAACGCCGAGATGGTCATTCTCCAGGTCGTCCAGGTGAGGGGTGGACATGGACCTCATGGACGTAAACGTCGCGGCATTGTGGTGGTGCGGCGGCGTGTGGTGAGGACCAGGATGGAGAAGCTGCGATAATATGTTGCTGTTGGTACGATCGATGCTTCGGCTGCGCATCCGGTGGACGGACGGTGTGCCTTGGTAGTGAACGCCCGTGAAATGCGTCCCTGTCGAGATTCCCGACATCCTGCGGGCAAGCCTCGCGTCGTGAAGCTTAGCCTCAGCAAGCGCTTCTTCGTTCTTGTTGCGCGAGTCGCCTGGCAGCAGGACGGCACGGTCGAGCCCATAGGGTAGCCCACGGTGGCGGCCCCGGATTTGCATGGCAATGATGACGACCTTTCCGAACGGTGTGAACTGTGACACGAGCGATGCGTTGATGCCCGTGTACCCCAAGCTGAGGCCGACAGTTCCGTAGGCGCTGACGAGCTCGAACAAGACGGCGAACATGGAGAAATCGCCTTTCTGCAGCCTGTCGCCCTCGGAGAGCGAGAGGAGGAAGAATCCGGTTGCGATATACCACAGGTCGAACGACAGCTGTCTCCGGAGATGGGAGCCGACATAGGACAGGTCAGAGCCATTGTTACCCTCTTCTTCCATTCCGGAGCTGCCGTAGACGCCCAACGAGCTTTCCTCGTAGACGTTGGTGCGGCGGACCGAGATGGCAATGGGAAAGATCGAGATATACATCATGATCAAATACGATGTCTGAACGGCGGGATGAAGCTGCGATATGTTGACGCTTGCGAAGCCAGCTGTCCTCGTGGAGGCGGCCTGGAACACGCCATTGAGGATCTTGATGCCCGTGGGCATGTCGTGTACAGGACCACTGGCAAGCTGCGAGGCACGCAAAAAGGAACCTAGTCAGCGGCGTGTCTTGTGGTTTTACAAGGCAAACTGCGATGGCTGAAAGACGCAGAGGAGTGGAGAACTCACATCCAAGACAATGAAAAAGATCAGGTCGATGCCGTTCAGCAAGATCAGAATCCCAAATAGCCACCAGGTGGCCCCACTGGGAAAGAGGAGGGTGAAGCAGCGCCTGGGGTGGTCTAGCAGGAACCTCAGCTCCTCCCAGAGACCACTTTCCTGGGGGATTATCCTCGACGTGAACCATATCATAAACCGCAGCATGACGGGGAACCCGGTGTTGCCAATTATGATGAGGAAGCTCATGAGCAGGAGGGGGAAGACGGCCGTGTTGAAGGAGATCATGCTGTCGGGAGTGAGAGTGAAGCCCAGGTCCATAAAGGCCGAATTGGCCATGAAGAAGCCCCACCAGGTCCGGCTTTGCGAGACTGCATCCACCAGTGAGCCGTACTGGTCCGTGAGGCGAATCCAAGGGAGCAGGCACACGACTCCGAGAAGGGAAAAGCCGACAAAGTAACCTATCAAGACCTTGACCAGAGCCTTCAAGGACCGATATTCGATACCGCCCACCTCGTCACGTTGCTCCTCCGACATGCCTGCAAAATTCGAGTTGCGACCAATCGTGGGCGTCCAGCTGAGATATGGGGTGCCCTCGGTGGCCTGGTCGTGGCTAAGGACGCGGCGGAGGCCGCTAAGCTGCCGTTTGCTAGACTGTGGTGGTGTTTGCCGCTGTCGCCCCCGGGCCTCGTCGTCTTGGCCCCCGTGTTGCGGTTCGTTCTTGCTTCTGAATATACGCGGGGTGCGGAACGTGTAGACGGGAGAGAAAACGTTCTTTATCACTTCGAGGTCCTCCGCCATCTCGTCACGTTTTTGCGGCTTGGTTGGCTCTTCGATCATGATGGTCTGGGGACGGAGTTGGGGCTGGGGCGCCTGGTGCCGAGAGTCGACGCTCGTTCGCCGAGCATTGGCCGCTCCGTGGTTAGTCTCGGGCTCGTTATCCTCATTGCTGCTGCTGCTGCTGCTATTGTCAACCCTCTGCGGGGCCATGCCACGCTCCACGTCCCGGGGCCCAGGAATGCGCAGGGTTTCTTCCTCGTTGCGCTGACGCTCCAAGATGGCCAGGTGCTCTTCGGTAGTGCGAGCCGTGGGTAGGTTCATGGGGTCGTCGTCAAACGCGTCACTCCGCTTGACCGTCGCAGCAAATTTGATGTCTCGAGGCCTGCCATCGACGGGCTGGGGTGTGAGGGGATCCACGTCCTCGTCAGGTAGGCGCAGGGAAGGGCCGCTACCTGACCCATTCTGTCCCGACTCTTCCGAAACTGGGGGGAGGAGGATGCCGTCGTTGGTAATCCTGGTGTTGCCACGGCCGTGCATGACCCTGATGTCGCCCACGTTGACGCCTTGTTCAGCATCGTTGGTGCGCTCAAAAACGGACTTTGCTCTAGACTTGGAAAGGGTGCCTCTGCGCCTCCTGGCTTCTTTGACGATGTGCATCAGGCGCCTCTCGAACCAGTAGAGGCGCAAGAAGACAACGCAGGTGTTGACAGTGATGGGGCTGCACATCATGGCCTGCAGGTAGAGGACAGCCTGCTGGAACGTGTTCAGCATGTTGACGTCGATCGGATTCAGTCCGGACTGAGTGGACGCCCCACTCGAGAAGAGGAGGGAGTCGATATACGAAATGGCGCCATTGCCCGACGCGTATAGCAGGATGGAACCGACAAACAACTGTCCAACAATGTAGAGGTCTGCGCTTGCGCGAGCCGGTCAGCCACGTGATTCCCTGTGCATGTAGTTGCCTCACACGGCTGGGGTGAGATTTTCGACTGACAGTGTGCGGTTATAAAGTTGAAGTGTGCCGTCTTGCCGAGAAACGAGGGCTTCAGGTTTTTAACCTGAGCCACGAGCCAGTCCTTGACATCGCCGCGGGTCACCATGGTGATGGAGCTAAACAGGCTGCGGCGAGGCTGCCCACCTGAGGCGGAGAAGGTCCAGAAGCTGGGCTGAAGGAGTGGTGAGGGCCAGGTAGTATGGCGACGAGCAGGAAGCTATTCCGGATGCAGGTCCCAAGTTAGGGTTGGTCGGATCGCCGGATCGCGGCCCTGGGGGTCGTGACCCAGGATGGTTTAGGCAAAGGTTATGAGGCGACGAGATGGGATCTATACGGCCTGGTGGTAGGGCTGTCGATCTTCATGGTGGTGCAGCTGGCGGGAAACCCGGGGTTCAGTAGCCAGTGCAGCTCAGCAGGTCCATGGTACTACCTAGGGAGGGAGGTGTAGTTGAATGCGACCAAGGGAGGTGGGTACCAGTCGGGGCAGGTCAAATTAGGGCGCGATATATAAAGTCAAGCGGCGGTATGCTGCATCTGAAGAGCGACTAAATGCGCAGTGGTCCGAAAACCGCAAAGGACAGGAGCGCGAGGAATCGGGTGGGAGAGGGCGGATTGAAGAGGAGTTGAAAATGTGTGGTGCTCGGATCGAAGTAATATCGCGGACTTTCAGGGCGGACAAGGGGAAGGGACGCCAAGAAATTTGCTCACAAAAAAAAGAACGGGCAGCAGGCAGGGGGGGTGAGGCGCACCGCCAGGGATTGCCCGTCAAACACACCAACAAACCCAGCCGAGAAGGGGAAAGAACGGGGGCATGGAAGTCTTTTGTGTTCCGCAGGCACGCGCCAGGCCCACTCGGCTACGCAATAACAACTGGTATTTACGCATATTCAGGTACCTCGCCAGTGCTTGCTCAAATACCTACCCGCTCCCTAGTCGGAGATAGCTCGCCCTCGAATCCACGGCGCCGCAGCGCTGCTTGGCGCCGTGTGTCGTGGTGGTGGCTTTGAACAGACGCAGGAAACTCACTAGCTGGCGCCGCCACGCTCTAGGAGCGCACAGCAGGCTCACAGGGCGATGGCCGGATTCGGGATGCTGCATGCAGGTCGGGCAGTTGGCTCTTTGTCCGTCCAATCCCTCGGCGCCATGGGGGGACAAGATGTGAGCGACTGGCGTGACTGCGACGCTGACCACTTTTCTCTGTTTGGGAACCAGCCCGTGCTAGGACTTGTGCTCCAGTGGTGATGGTAATCTGACCTCTGGAGGTGGGGACGATCAATCTCGACGACGGGCTGGAGCGCCCGCTGCGCCTCACTGGGGGGTGGGCAAGCATGCATGCTGATCCGTGACATCCTTGCAGCGGCACCCGCGCGCCCCCCATCTGCCACCTCGTGGCTGCGCTGCCTTGTGGCCTCGGGTCTCTAGATCCTTGGGGCTGCCGTCCGCCGCAGCAGGACAGAGGACCTGTCGCCTTCTTGGCCAGCTTGGCCTTCCACCCATGGCAGGAGGCGCGGCGGCAGGGTGGCAGGGAAGAAAAAGGGACGCGAGATCGGCACACGTCCGCCCTCCGTCCCATGCTTTCCTTGGCGATTCTGTGCGGCGACGCAGATGAAACTCAGCAGCCCCAGGCAGGAGCAAAAACTCCCTTGCGGCACATCTGTGCATGCCGAAAAAGGATCACGTTCAGGGACGCTCCCGTCAAGTTTGCCATGTTTGTTCTCTGTGTTTGCCATCCTTTGCGCTGTTTGTAGCCGTGTTTAGACCAAAAATACCAAACCACCATAGTAAGGTCATGCGTCTTTTACCCCGGGTTTCAAGCTCGTAGCTTTTCAACTGAACAACAAGGTGGGCTAGCTGCTATTCTCCTCACCTCGTCCAATCATTTGCGCAATACGATGATGTCAGTTGCGATGGAAAGACGCTCAAAGCGACAACCTATATGCAAAAACTTGGCACCTTTTCATCTACTACAGACGGCTGTCAGTCAGTCATGCATCTGTGTATACAGGCAGATACCTCAGCTACCCAGTGCCCCAAAATGGGCAAATATTGGCTCTAGGCACACGGATATCAGCTCAATGACAACATCTGGCGAAACAGTTGGGAAGGAAAAGCAAGTAGGAGAATAAACAAATCACCAAGTCTTATCAGATCCATACGCCCCGTCTGCTGTTGCAAGACGTCGGACATGGGTATTTGCGGACCACGTAATGCGCTGCGGTCGGATCCCGGGCTTTCCGCACGAACCCAGTGCTCTCTTCCCTTCCTGATAACAGCCCGCAGAAGCGGTGGTTGTCCCCCTGGAAACCAGTGACGTGAGCGAGATTGCAGCATCACGAAGCTGCACAACACACTACTCGCTCGCACCCACGGAAGAATGCACACCGATCGCCGATCCATCACAGCCCTGCCGTTTCTTTTTTGCTTCTGGTCTCTTTTCTGTCACCGCTTCCGTCCAGTCGGCCGTTGAGCTGTGACTGTTATAGCACGTGTGTGCGCTTGTCGCCTAGATCATCCGACCAGCAGCCCAAGGTGACCGGTGTCGCTCCCTTGCCCTCAGCCCTGGCGGCTTCGGCATCAATTCCATCCCCTGTCGTACACGCGGCAGCCACCAAACTAAGCACTGTTCGGGACGGACATCCGGCTTGCCAGAGCATGGCATTTATCCCAATTTCCTTATTGGCGCATCAATCCTTTTCACCTCTCTCCGAGCCCTAGCGCGAAATCACCCGCTCTGGCCGATTTTGATATCTGGCTGGCCCCCATGAGAGCGACGACAATTACCCCCTACTGCTTCGAAATGCTAGTCGTTATTCTCCTTGTTGCACGAGTCGAATCCATGTCACCTCCCCGACCAGGCGGAGCTGGCGAATACCACGAGCGCGAGAGCGCACGATCACCCCTGTGTTTGTGTCGCTCACGTACGATTTGTGCGCCTCCATGCATCCTCGACGCGTGGTAATATCGCGACCCTGTGTTCGGCGTACCAGAGTGCCTAGGTGGCATGTCGGATGCAACGCCATCCCTCGCAGCAGAGGCGGCCAGCCGCGGATCGTCTACACCCGGCAACCCCGGGAAAAGGCGGTCTCGTCCACGTTGCTCACATCTTGCTGCTAACTGGCCTCTAGTTCATGTGCTCGGGCATCACAGTGGCGGAAGCCTCCCTTACTAGGATGCTAATAAGGTGCTGCCAGAGTACAGGTCACTCTTCGATGTCGGTGTGCTGACCTAACCCCTATCTTGGTGTCACCACGCCAATGAAGGCCGTAAAACCGCCCCCCCAAAACCCAAAACCAAAAAAAAAAAACCGCAAGCAGATAGTTGCTGTAATGCGGGGGTTATATGTTTCCCTTTTGTTGTGTCGTGGCCATCATTGGACTCGAGACCTACTACCAGCCCTTCGAGGACCAATGTGCGTGGAAATGTGCAGCTTCATCCCCCGCTCGGACATATAAGATGGATGTTGAATATGACATGTTAGTTTCTATTTACTTGCAGCGCCAAATGCTGATTCTGCATGTGCCAGGTACCCATGTCAAATAAGCCATCGAGGAGTGCTTCTGGTTCTGCATGTGATTCCTTACTGCCAAATGCCCTTTGTCACTACCCAGACATATCCCTGGTGAGTAGCCTCGAGGAACGATGCAAGTTCAGAGCTGCAGTCAATTCCGATCTTTGTTAGGGACAAGCATGCAGGCTCGGTTCATGCAGATGAGTGCCCAAGTTTCTGCGGTTAACAAATAAGTGGGACGGTCGCCCCAGAGAGAAAGGAAAGGATGAGACTTTAAGGCATGCACAACGGTTGCAACGCATGGGATGACCTATGTTAGTGGTACCGGTCGGAAGATTACCCTATTAAGCCGCTTTAATTCAACAGGCACATTAGAGGAGTAGGGATTGCAGAAGTTCTTTTCACCCAGTGGCTTGATAATAGAGTTACCTCACCCGAAGCCCTTTTTCAGACCATTTGTTGAACTAACCCGGCTTGAGAGGGTACAAGGGACAGAGACGTTGGGTTAATGTGTGGAATGGACCGCTGGGGGTAGGTATATATAGCCTATTGTACCTGATTAGCCAGTTCAGTATGACTGTGCTGTTGCAATGACAAGAGCTGTCAATGCCATGGGCTTTCCTATTTTTATTTTATTTCATTTTTCTTTTCATTTTTAATACTATTCCTATTATTGTTTCTTACGATTTTATTATTTGTCTTGTTACTCCTGTTACTATTCCTATTCCTGCTCTTACGGTCCTCGCAGCTTTTCTGTTGTTTAGGTAGGTTCGGCTGCCATATTTTTTTTGTGGTGGGCGTGCCAACATTGAGGTGCCCCTTGCCCCATCCCGATGCCCCAGACACCGACCTAGGTTCCCCACCAAAAGGCGGGGCTAATGGGATGTGGTTAGCCCTCCCGTTGGGTTTGCCTTGACGTTTGACACCGCCAGCGGGCTCCAGCGTCGTCATTCAAAGTCGCATTTTGTTTTCTTAGCAAATCCGGCCCGAAGAATCAATCCGCAAAGCTCGCGAGAGCCAACAGGAAATATGTGGTAAATACTCCAAAGTCCTTAAACCTAGTCCAGGCCGCGCTTACAAAGTCTCGCAAGCAAGCACATCTTGAACGCCCAGGTCTCCATCCGGTCGCCATGCTGTAAGAAGCCAGTCGCAGACGGTGAATCGCGACAGTCCCCCTCCCGCCGCGCGCGAGCCTTGTGCCTAACCGGACACTCCCACACGGCGAACCCCGTATAGGCCGGAAATGGTTTGACTGCGCCGACTGCCACCTGGAGCAGGAGAAGCACGAACTCCGCAAGACGGTCGACATGACCTTCGCCTGCAAGAAATGCAAAAAGTGTTTCCGCAAGGATGCGACAGAGTTTGAGGAGGCCGACGAGTACTGCCCGCACTGCGACAACCACTTCGTCCTCGATGCCCTCACTCCCAAGGCCGCCATCTCGGTCGAGGGCGAGGATGCCAGAATGGACAACCGGATGCTGAGGGACGACCGCGTCAAGGAGCCCAAGCAGAGGACAATATTCGATCCTGAGGACGATGCGGACAAACTGGGCTGATGACAGACGAGATCCTCGAGTGGTTGGCACCAAGGAACATGTGTGCAGGTACCAAGACGGGAGCACGATGCTCAAATGGATTGCATAATAAATCGTACATTTGGGTGGTATCGTGATCTAAGCCCGGTTTCTGGTGGTTCCTCGCTCGAGGCCATTTCTTCTCAATGAATCTTCCAGGGAAGCCAGGTCCGTCCGCTCATCGGCTTGACCCCCTACTCCTCAGACCCGCCTTGCTCCCGGGTGAGGATGGCAGCGCTTCCCGTGCCGGGCGTGCGGCCCGTCTTCTTCTTAGCGGCCTCCTCCTGTTTCTCTTGCTCGATGTTCTTGACGTAGTTTTCGATATCCTCTACGGGCAGCATCTCGATGAGCTTCCCTGGTGCCATGATGGCGATCTCGATGTTCTTGGCACCGGTCTGGACGACCTCGAGCAGGGATTTGATCGCCAGCCGGATCGTGTGCTCCCGGTCCATGTCCTCCTGGTAGTTGCGCTCTAGGAACTCCCGCACGGTCTTGCTTGATCTACCAATCGCGTTGGCTTTCCTAAACACCGGGCGGGATCGTTAGCTTCAAGGTAGTTGAAAGAACCTCATTGTCTGGCAGTGAGTGTTTTCCCCTCCTAGACAAGCACGTACCATGCCGAATAGATACCTGAAGGCTCGGTCTGGTAGAGCCTAGGCACCCTGCTTCCGTTGTCGAAGCCAACGACGAGTGTGCTGATGCCAAACGGCCTGACACCTCCGCTCTGTGTGTACCGCTGCTGGACGCCAGCGACGTACTTGGTAATGTACTCGATCGTGGCGGGGTCCTCAACCGTCAGGCGGTGCGACTGCGCTTCTAATCTGGCCTTGTCGACCAGAATCCTGGCATCGGCGTTGAGGCCAGCAAACGCGAGGCATACGTGCGTATCGATCAGGCCGATCTTGGACGGGGTGATGCGAGTGTCTTGGAGCTTCATCGCCGACCTCTTCTCACAGCCCAGCACGACAATGTCCGCTCCCTTGACGCCGACGGCGCACGTTCCTGTTCCGGCAGGCATGAGCCTGGGATGCTTCTTGGAGGGGTTATGAGCTGGCAGGGCTTGAGCTTACCTCGCTTCACGGCCTCGCCCGCATACTCGACCTGGAAGACGTGTCCATCGGGACTGAATACTGCGAACCGGAGGCAGGGTGAGTTTGTGAGTAAGGACGGCGGGGGCGACGAACGGACGCATGCAGCGTCGGCACCAAGGAAGCTAACCTGAAAGAGCCCTATCGTATCCTGAAGCCATCTTGCCGTCACGCCGGAGTCGCTGGCTATCTTGTGGATTGGGGAGCTAGCAAAAATCCGTGGTTGAACGTGCTGCTCTGGGATGAAGGCGAGGTCGCGATGTGGTGTTGCTTGCCGCTGGCAGAGTGGTGGGCTCCGCTGTTGAGGTTGTTCGCTGCGGCGGGCGGGAATGGCAGGCGGCAGCTCTGACGAAGCTTCGGCGGGAGGCTGACCCTAGCTTGCTCAGCTCTAGATCACCTTCTCTGATTGGCCAGCGCCACCAGAGCCCCATGCTGCGTGGGTTTGGGCAGTTGGGGGTTGGGGGTGGGTATCAGGCTGCACGTGACCGCCCCCAATGCAGCTGTCGTTCAACACAGGATCACCAATGCATTGGATTTAACCTGCTCCGGGGCCGGAGAAGGCCAAAGAGGAGGCTTTCTAACGTCGTCGTACGACGTCCATAACTTCACACCACATCGCCGGCGCCACCTATATTCAAAATGGCGATGAGGTTCACACTCGCGCGTGCGTCGACAAGGCCTCAGCGCACGCAGCTGCTGAATCCGCTCGCAATAGCTTCCTGTGTCCAACATCCGGCAAGGCCCTGGCGGCGGTGCATCTCGACTGCCCAATCCGAGGCAGCCACCCCGAAACCTGCCGTCAAGTTCACCAGCGAAAGCTACCCATCACTCAAGCGGGATTCTCGGTTCGCACAGCTGACGGCAGACCATGTAAACCACTTCAAGCAGCTGCTGGGCAGCGCCGCGGTCCTTGACGCCGTGACTGACGAGGCGGTCAGCGACGAAGTCGATGGGTTCAACAGCGACTGGATGCGCAAGTACCGTGGGCACGGCAAGCTCGTCCTCAAACCAGGCTCGACCGAGCAGGTGAGCCAGATCCTCAGGTACTGCAACCAGCACAAGCTTGCTGTGGTTCCCCAGGGCGGCAATACGGGCCTTGTTGGCGGATCGGTCCCGGTTTTCGACGAGATCGTCATCAACCTTGGCAGGATGAACCAGGTGCGCCATTTTGATGATGTCAGCGGCACTCTTGTCGCCGACGCGGGCTGCATCCTGGAAGTTGTCGACCGGTATCTTGCCGACCGAGGCTACATCTTCCCCCTGGATCTAGGGGCCAAGGGTTCATGCCAGATTGGCGGCAATGTCTCTACAAACGCCGGCGGCCTGCGTCTTCTGCGGTACGGCAGCCTGCATGGCTCTGTCCTCGGACTTGAGGTCGTACTCCCGAATGGCACCATCGTGAACGACCTGTCCAGGCTACGCAAGAACAACACCGGCTACGATCTCAAGCATCTCTTTATTGGTGCCGAAGGGACCATTGGCATCGTGACCGGCGTCTCCGTCCACTGCCCGCAGCGTCCAAAGGCCGTTAACGTTGCATTTTTGGGGCTGGAATCCTACGACAAGGCGCAGCAGGCTTTTCGCGAGGCCAAGGGCCAGCTTTCAGAGATTCTCTCTGCGTTTGAGCTTATGGACGGTGGCAGCCAAGAAATAGTTGCCGAGGTGACTAAGAATAGGCAACCTCTTGACGACAAGCACCCCTTTTACTGCCTCATCGAGACAAGCGGATCCAACAGCGAGCACGACAGCGCTAAGCTCGAGGCCTTCCTGGAGAGTGTGATGGCGAAGGAGATTGTATCTGACGGTGTCGTGGCGCAGGACGAGACACAAGTCAAGGCGCTGTGGGGTTGGCGGGAAGGCGTGCCGGAGTGCATAGGCCACTGGGGTGGTGTGTATAAGTATGACGTCTCGATCCCGCTCAAGGAGATGTATCAGCTGGTCGAGGATACCGAGTTGCGCATTCGTGAAGCGGGCCTGCTGGGCGACACGGATGACTATCCGGTAGTTGCCGTGCTGGGCTACGGCCACATGGGCGACGCCAACCTTCACCTCAACGTCGGCGTCCGGCGCTACGACGAGCGGGTCGAGCGTGTGCTAGAACCTTTCGTGTACGAGTGGATCGCCGAACGGGAGGGGAGCATCAGCGCCGAACACGGGCTGGGCCTGGCCAAGAAGAAGTACATTGGCTACAGCCGCGACGGTGTGATGGTGGGGCTGATGAAACAAGTCAAGCAACTCTACGACCCGGTAAGCTTACTCGCTTCCGTGCATAAGGAGCGGTGTTGGGTGCTAATGACCGGGGCAGAACGGCATCATGAACCCCTACAAGTACATCTGACACAACGAAAGTCGGCTATGTGGAAGACAAGAAGAGGTACCACCAACAAAACATGTGCGCTTCGCGCTCAAGACGTCCCCACCTGCTCATCGGTTACCTTCCATTCATCAGCTAGGTACTCGTCGGTTACCCGCGGAGCATGATGTCTGGATATCCCCCAACTTAGTTGTGCCCCATGCCCTCAGCACCAGCGCCTAAGGGAACGAGATGCACATTCAGGTATTTTAATCCAGAAGAAGAACAAAGAAACAGCACAAGAGAGTGCTCTGGCGGGCCTACGCTGGTGGTGCCAAATATTATAGTTGAGATGTGGGTTGTTGCATTGGCGAGGCGATAGAGAGAGTCTGTTCGCGTCACCATTGGAGTCAGCTCAAACCTGGCCGACCGGACTGAGGCCTCGGATCCGACACCACCAGATCGCAACAAAGGCAGCCACCGCAACTGGATTCCCCGAGGGATGGCACGTTCGGAAGTTCCATTGCCCAGGAAGTCAAGCCAACCTGTCCGGCGGTAGCGAACTACATAGATGGCAGCAGCGCTTGGCTGGTTGCCTACAAATCTTCCGATGGCCCCCCTTGCGGGATCCCTCGCGGGCTCTTTCAACCCGAGTCCCCGGATCCCCAACTAACCACTTCACCAGATACTTACCCGAGGTATTTTGCATATACTTCCGCCCGTCCTCAGCGGTAGGCACACACGCAGGTAAGCCACGACCGGTCAGGCCTGACCGAGGCTTGTTTTGTCCCCCACCTCCGTTCCTTGCAAGAACTGTGTGTATGCGACGGTGGCAACAGCCCTCGGTGCCTTCTCTCGCGGGTTATCTCGCCTGCATTCTCCCATCGGGTCAACATTCTCGCTCTCACCGAAGGAAGCCTTGGCGGCGAGGCCCTTTGAGCAAACGTTGAGTGTCATAGCCGAAGGAATTGTCAACGCTCGCTCGTTTGTCTTTTTTTTCTTTTTCTTCTTTTCCTATTTTATCGCATCATTATTCATTTAACTCAAGAGCGGCAGACTGCACTCCGCTGGCAGGACTCGTGCAAATGTCCACTATCTCTGCTGGAGAATCGGCAGGATCTTCCGATCTTTACATTCACCGGTTAACTCAAGACTTGTGGTAAAATCATGATGGAGCGGTGAAACTTGCCTGCTCATTTCTGAGTGGAAATGAGATGGATGGCCTCACTTGATCCCTCCCCCACCCATCACGGTGCTCCCGCAAAGCCGTGGGCGAACTGGGGTATTTGGGCAATATTCACATCTCTAGCGAATGTTCCTTATGCTTTCCCCGGCCGCGGTTGATGTGTGGATGGACCTTGGTCCAGTGCATACGTCGTAATCCTTGGCAGCAGAGCTGCAGCGCAGGGGCAACCACTCAACCCATCATCATCCGTGCAGGAGGGTGCAGGAGGGTGGGTAGGTGGGGAAAGCCTGGTAGGGCTGACGAAAAGTAATAAGACGTGCAGGCCTACCACACGGCGCGAACGCCGCCCACATCACTCGGGCACCCACCCGTGAGCAGAAGGGTAATATCGTACTAGAGCGAATGGGGACCAGTGACCTCCCAACACCGGCGCATCCGGAGAGTGCTGGCTGACGAGCAAGGCTCGGCCCCAGTGACTCTAACCACGCGCGGGACCAGAACGCTGCCGCAGAACCGTAACCCCAGCACCGGGCCCCTGGCCGGCGGAACCTCCCTCCCTCCCTCGACGGATGGGGCAGTCAGTCTGCCGCGTGGGTGAAACTGTGCTCGCTCGCTGTCCCATGATGTCCGCCAGACCACGCGCATCTCACACGCCACAGACAAGCCGCCACAAACCAGGCCGCTCCGCCATGGGCTTCGGGGCCATGCTCGCAGCACTTCCGCCCACGTCGATCCTTGACCATACCATGCCATTGCTGGTATGGCACCTGCCCGTCGGGCCAAGCCCCGTGTTCCCATCAGCGTGCTCCCACCACCCATTACCCACCGCCCCTCTAGGCCTCGCGTCACTTTTGCCTTGATTCCCAAGGCGGCAGCCGGCGGGCGATGCTGACCAAGAGCGAGACCATCGTTCGGCCATCTCCCGATCAGACCCACTTGTTACTCTTTGCCATCGCTGTGCATTGCCTGCAGCGGGCCCTCTCCCTCCCTCCCTCCCTCCCTCCCTCACCTGCTCCCTCGGATCTCGGGCTTTGCCCATCCCATGCATGTTTCGAAAAACGTTCCCGCGTAAAGGAAAAAAGTTACAAACAAAGAAGAAGAAATCTGCGAGAGGAGCATCCCAGCTCCGCCATAACAGAGTGACCTCGTGGGAGCCTGGGGCAGCTTTATGGGCACAGAAGGGGCACTGGCCAATGGCGGACTCGCCCTGCCGACCTGGAACTGCCCTAACTGCAGGAATCTGATTGCTACACCTGTTCTTCTGTAAAGGCAACCATCAGGCAGAGGGCGCGTCGAGGCTGGCCCCCACACCTACGGAAAGGGGCCCTTTATCAGCCTTCTTCCCCCCGCGGACTTCTCATGGGTCCTCTGGATCGAAAACTCTTTGCACTTTCCATTTATGGCTCGCAAAATCCCCCCTGATACCACCAACTTTGTCACAGTTCCCATGCGTCCATGAGGCACGTGGCCACCTGATCCTGTTACCAACGATGATCGATGGCAGACCTGGAATAACCGATACAAGTTTCAACCACGCAACACCTCGAATATGGTCGGCGTTCCCGGAAAGTACAAGGGCTGCAACACCTGCAGACTTCGCAGAGTCAAGGTACGGACGCTTGCGGGGGACGAAGGAGGGCGCTTCTGTCGGTCACGCCGGGGCCGTACCGAGAACACGTCACATCCGAACTTCGGGATAACGTGCCGCCTCGCCTCGGTCGACACAGAAAGGCTAATGTCATCAGAAGTGCGATAACGAGCGCCCGTTCTGCAGAAAATGTATCGACAGCGGCAGGAAGTGTGAGGGATATGAGCGAGAACGGATCTTCATCATCGGGACTCCTGAGCAGGGCGGGCGGTGCTCATCGCACCCTCGTCGGACTGTGCCCAGCAGGAACTCGAAGAAGTCAACTACACCCTCCAGGTCGGATAGCTCCTCCAGGTCAGAGGAGCCCGAGAGGGTTGAGCATGAGGAGGCGAGCCACAGCGAGAAGCTAGAGCTTGTGGCAATCGAACCGCTACGGCCAGCTTGGGATGATATCGTCGCCCTTTCAAGGCGCGGAATCGTATATCACACGCAGATTTCGGCTCTCAACACCAGTCTCGCAGCCATAGTCCACGGTGACGAGATGAATCGTGGCAAGGCCACTCGATTATTCTTCCCTCCCTACGTGCCGCCCGACACCCGGTCTTCGATGCGAAACGACGAATTTGAGCTTCGCTCGCAGTGTATGGTTCACCTTTCGGAAACGGAGGAGACGCGGAACGATCTCGGCGAGAGTGTTGGCACCAACAGCATCTGCTTGTTCCTGTTCGAGGTGAGTGAGGGCGCCTAGGCTAACGCCTTGGATGGGCCATAGCCGAGGAGAAGGATAAGGGAGGAAACAAAAGAAAGAGGATGAAAATGGGGCTTTTGACGCCGGGGGCCGTCGCTGACATTATGTGGCAGCAAAACAACTCCATGTCGTCCAGCGCATGGGCCGGTGCTTCCACCCAGGAGAGCTCCGCAAGACAGCTCGGCCCAGGAAGCTTCCAGGGTTTCCCAGCCCACCATTTCTTCGTGCGAGTTTTGCGGCACAATGGGGTGAGTCGAATTCCCCTGTCGTCTTCGGACACACCTCTTCACTGGCCAAGTGCCATGCATGCGAGTGACTAATATGCACATCCTCCACAACCCCCACTGTCAGATATGCACAGCCCTTCTGAACCGCAAGAGCACGTTTCTCGCCGAGCCCGAGTGGACGATGGTGCCGTGGGAATCGCATCCCAAGTCGGCGCTCGACCGGCTCTTCGACATTCTCGCCCTTCTCCCCGGGCTGCTGGAGCGGGCGGACCGGATAATGGCGAGCGACCCGACGCTAGAGCGGCGGCTGCTCGCAAAGGAGCTGCTCACGAGCTGCCTGCAGGTAGAGGACCTCCTAAACGGGTGGTACCTGTCGAATGACCCGTCGACGGCCTTCTGGGTGGACGAGAGCGGGGGCCTGGAGGCGCGGATCCCGTTCGCGGACGCGCTCGCGTTCCGGGACGGGGCGACGGCGCTGGGGCTCTCGCACTACTGGGCGGCGCTCGTGTGCCTCTGGCCGTGCGTAGAGCGGCTGCACCAGGCCGTCTTCCAGCCGGTCCTGGACGAGTTCCCGCAGACGTTCCCGGACCTGTCGGGGGAGCTCCTGCACATGGACCCGGCGCGGTACGCGGCCAAGGAGGCGCGCGAGCTGGCGGCGTGCGTCTGCCGCTCGCTCGACGGGACGCTCGCCGCCACGGTCCAGCCCGACCTCGCGGCCGTCCCGCTCGCCGTGGCTGAGGGCTTCTACAGGGAGCTCAACGCGACCACGGGCGACGGCTGCCTCGAGCTCATATGGTGCGAGGCCTTCAGGTCCCGGCTGGCCGCCAAGGGCCAGGAAATTGCCGACGTGATCCAAGGCCGGGACTGGGCGGAGCTGGCGCGCTTCTGACTCTTTTTATTTTTTTATTTTCTGTTGTTCCTCTGTCTCTTTCTTTCATGCGTTCTGCTTCTTTTGTCGGTATTTGCTTTCGCGGCCTTCCTGGGCCTTGGGCGATGGCGATAAGGGTGCACCGCCCAGAGCGTCACCCCGAACTCGACCTTGACAACCATTTTATCTATCTTCTCTCGTGTTTATTGCGGATCGAAAAAGGGCTCGGTGGCTCAGCCATGCATACAAAGGACGCGGTTCTGGCTGGTTTTCATAGTTATCTGCGTGTCAAAGGTGGGCATATAAACGGACCAGGAAGGGGGGTGTCGGACAGAGCACATATGGATCAATCGTACTTCAACTCCTTTTTGTTTCCCTCTTGTTTTGTTTACCGTCGTGGCAATGCCCCCCTGCCCAAGGGTTCTTCGTCTTCCAGGGCGGGGAGGGTGTCTGGGTGCACATCGGGCAATTCTCGCGCAACGCGGAGGGCTGGTCGATCAGCAGTGTGGCGAGATGCTCCACGATCTAAATGGGCTCGGTTCAGGGGAAAAGAGGGCGATCATCATGGATGGGGGACCCACCAGCATTCATGGCATCAGAAAAGGAGGCCGCTCCACACTTTGCCAAGGCTTGCGAGGCTTAGGTTATCTATCGCCAACAAATGTTTGAATTCGATTGTTCGGGCTCTCTTGTTCTGTTTTACTCTGCTCTCCCCGCCGTCATTCGCGAGCACAACACAGCATAGGGAGTGTGCAGACTGAAAATCTACGAGATCCACTAGTAAAAGCCGCCCACTGTTGGGAGTACTGAATACGGAAGGTGCGTCCAAGTCGAGGCTATAATTATACCTACCTGTTAGGCCTCAAGCTAGAGCGGCAGGGGAGCGAAGAAGAAAGCGACAAAAATGGCGACTCGCCTCATGATTTGAAAAAGGGGGCCACGGACAAGCCATCAGGCTTGAAACTCCTGCCAGGAAAGACGAAGAGGCATTGCATGTCAAGCGGCTAAATTGCGCAGGACCCTGTGCATTGGCAGGACGACTATAACGGGGATAGCAACAATAGACATCGGGAGAGGGCGGTTGTTGCAAAGCGGCGGGTCTGCAAGTTCATGCGCTTTGCCGGGGCCACCGCTGCTCCCAGAACCTCCATGCTGCTCCCCAACCGTGCCAACGTGCAGCCGCCGCCCGCCCGTTTGCAATGCGGCTCATCTCAAGTCGCGCGGGCTGCTCGGCTGGACACGCAGGTACGCGGGCCCACTGGCGTGACCCTGAATACAATGTTTGGCACATAAACGCATCCAAATGGAAGCGCCGGCTATGTGTATGATGCTGGCCGGGATCATGATGGCGCGAGCGAATCGGGGGCGGAGGCAGGGCGAGCCAGCAGCCGGTCTGCTACGGCGCGGCCGCAGGGTGCACAGAGAGAGGGAATCGCGGTCATCTGATCGATCGTCAAACACTTGGGGCCTTTGCGAGGGAGCCGCCTCCAGGACCAACGCAGCAGACCGCTGTCGCTCGAACTAGGGGCCTTGTACCTATTGTAGATACCTATATGTCTCTCCCCTCCTCTGTCTCCGCGGCTTCACACTCTCTGTTGTAAGTGCCCAAGGCACAAGGTTGGGAAAAAAAGAGATCATGTTGGGGATTTGGTTTGCTACGACGGCTGCCGATGGGGTCGCCCGCATTGTCGTCTCCCCCAGCCGCTTTTGCGGGCGCCCCTCGCCGTCGCCGACTGCGCAGCAGCCGCGCAGCCCCATCCCATCCCTTGCAAGGGGGATGACCGAATCGAGGGCCAACGGCAATGCGTGCTGCGCACATCTGATTAGTTGGTGCCGCCATGGGCGACCCTTATCCAGCGGTGTTTCAGAGCCGTCCAGAGTTGGCCAGCCCTCTGTGCTCCCGTCTCTTGCCGTCATGCCACTCCCCGGGCTCGCTTGGCTGTGGCCAGCTGGCTGGCTGGGCTTGGGTCGGTCAGGGTGGCCAAGATGGGCGAGGGCGGTGCTCTTCTATAAAGACGCCCGCCGTCCCAGCCCCTGCAAAGAAGCCCCGGCCGTGGTTCCCCTCGAGCCAGTCTCAGGACTTTGGACAAGTACCAGACCTACCTAACGCAGCCAGCCTCTTCCGGAGCTTGATTTGGACGACTCAACTTCTGGTCTGCCAGCAGAAGCAGAACGATCATCACATTCCCCCTGATCTGGTCTATTCCCAACTGGGCGAACCGTTGGTTTGGCGTCTTGTCCAGCCCTGTTCCAGCGACAGGACGATCCATCAGTCAATCAATCAAGTAACCAACCAACCAGCCCAAGCCCGTCCCATCAAGACAGCTGCACCCGACGGGCCTAGACTCGAGTACCCCGCGCCTTATCGATACGCCGACAGGGACTCGGCCGGGACTTGATTCGAAATCGAGCGCAAAGAGCGCGACCGTGCGCCTGGTGCAGCCACTAAAACCACGCGTCCCCGGAACCCCCCCTAATTGAGGCCCAATGTCGTCAGTGGAGTTGGGTGGCTCCTTTCAGGCCAATGGTGGTCTGCCCAGCAACGACACGCCCGCCGACGAGAAATTCCCCGACTTCCAATGTTTACTGGAGCAGCCCCCAACCGACGATAAGCTGCCCCTGAGCCACCACCGCCCCGTCTCTCTGTCCATCCAGTCCACCACCTCGTCGTCCGACTACTCGGACAAGGACGCCGACCCGCTCTTCGACTCGCGCCGTGCCTCCATCATCAGCACCGCCTCGTCGCTGCACTCGGCCGTCACCGCCTGCAGCACCGCCACCACCCCTTGCGGCTCGCCCCAGCCGCTCTCGAGGAGCCGCCGTGACGCCAAGCATCTCGCCGCCGCCCGCCTCCAGCGCTCCGGCTCGGCCTCGCTTGCCATCGCCTCCAAGCAGCGCCGCAGCGACGGCAAGCCCAAGCGCTTCCACTCGGTCAGCGGCTCCCCGAAACACGCCCTCGCCGCCACCGAGCCGCCGCATGAGACGGGTCTCGCGAGGATGGCGTTCGCCGACCAGCAGCGGTGGATCACCGTCCAGCAAAAGACGTTTACAAAGTGGCTCAACAACAAGCTGCAGGAGCGCGATCTCGAGGTCAAGGACCTCGTCAAGGACCTCAGCGACGGTGTCATCCTGATCCACCTGCTGGAATGTCTGTCCAGCGAGTCCCTCGGCCGCTATGCCGCCAAGCCCAAGTTGCGCGTTCAGCGCTTCGAGAACACCAATACGGCTCTCAACTTTATCAAGTCCAGAGGCATCCAGATGACAAATATCGGTGCCGAAGACATCGTCGACGGCAACCAGCGCATCATCCTGGGACTCATCTGGACCCTGATTCTGAGGTTCACCGTCAGCGACATCAACGAGGCCGGCATGACCGCCAAGGAGGGCCTGCTCCTGTGGTGCCAGCGCAAGACGGCCTGCTACGACGAGGTCGAGGTCCGCGACTTCAGCGGCTCCTGGAACGACGGCCTCGCCTTCTGCGCCCTGCTCGACATCCACCGCCCGGACCTGATCGACTACGACGCCCTCGACAAGTCGGACCACCGCGGCAACATGCAGATGGCCTTCGATATCGCCCATAAGGAGATCGGTATCCCCAAGCTGCTCGATGTCGAGGACGTGTGCGACGTGGCCAAGCCCGACGAGCTGAGTCTGATGACGTACATCGCCTACTGGTTCCATGCCTTCTCCCAGATGGAGAAGGTCGAGAACGCCGGTCGCCGCGTCGAGAAGTTTGTCAACAACATGCAGGGCGCCTGGGAGATGGAGAGCGCCTACGAGCGCCGTATGGCCGAGCTGCTCAAGAGCATCCACGCACAGGTCGAGAGCTGGCGCCAAGCCACCTTTGAGGGGACCTACGCCGACGCCAAGGCCCAGTCGACCGAGTTCGCTTCCTACAAGAGGGGCAAGAAGCGCGAGTGGGTCGCGGAGAAGAGCGAGCTGGCCACCCTGCTGGGCAACATCAAGACCAAACTTGGCACCTACAGGCTGAGGCCGTACGTGCCCCCGCCCGAGCTAAGGCTCGAGGTCATGGATGTCGAGTGGAGCAATCTTTCCAAGGCCGAGATGACCAGGGGCCAGGTCATCAACGAGAACATCCGAGAGTAAGTCCTGTTCGGCTGCAGCAACACCCAATTGGCCAGTCGGCCAAGAAATGTGGACGAGGGCTAACCCGGTGAACAAACAGCATCAAGAACGCGCTACGCAAGTCATTTGCGGACAAAGCCAACGACTTTGCCATGGCACTCAACACGATGCAGCTCGCCATCTCCGGCCTGGAGGGTGACGTCGAGGACCAGCTGCATCACGTGCGCAAACTGAGCGATAACCTCCCGCCGCTCGACGCCTACCTCACCGCCATTGGCATCGTTGACGAGAAGTGCCAGGAGGCCAATATTGAGGAAAACGACTTCACGACGTACACGTATGACGAGCTCTGCTACGAGCTCGGCCTGGTCAAGTCGTCTGTTTCCAAGAAGCTCTCATTCCTCGAGAACCAGATGGTGGCCCGCAACATGACCAACCTGACGCCCATCCAGCTTGAGGAGTTCGAGTCGGTGTTCCGCCACTTTGACCGCGAGGACAGCAACAGCCTCGGCGAGCTCGAGTTCAGCGCCGCCCTGGCATCCCTGGGGCTGGTGTTCTCCGAGGACGAGATGCACGACTGCTTTATTGACACGTCCAAGGGGAGCGACCGTGTTACCTTTGAGCAGTTTATCCGCTTCATGGTGGATGTGACCGAGGACCAGAACACAGCCGAGCAGGTCTTCCAGTCGTTCCGCGAGGTCGCTGACGGCAAGCCCTACGTGACCGAGATGGACCTGCGCCACAGTCTCGTGCCCGATGAGGTCATCGACAAGCTTGTTGAGATCATCCCTCTGCACACCGGCCCCGACATGGCTCAGGACCGTGGTGTCCCGCAGTATGACTACATTTCCTTTATGGACAAGTTTGTCGGCGGAGGTGCCGAGGACGAGTCTGGCTCAAGCAATTCAGAGAATGGCGCCATAAATGGCACACACTAGAGCGAAGCATACAGCAAGAAACGAAAAGAGAAAAAAAAAAAAGACCAAAAAAGAAACTACCCGCACATATACTACAAGACTCCTCCCCACCTCATCCTACGACTCCGACTCCTCCTTTGCTCCCTCCCTCTTCTCGTTCACATCCTTGTACTATCTCTTACCCAATCTAGCATGCATCGATGATACCACTTTATTATTCATACCGTCTTCTCCATTTACACGCTGGTTCTTCCTCTATATCCCTTCTCCCCTCTGGCGTGGCCTCTTACAAGCCACGTCTGTGGGTATATATACTGGCCCTCGTGCGTGCTGTCTCTTTTTCTGTTGCTGAGGCGGGCAGGAGAGTCAAGTCATTCGGGCGCCACATAGCCCACCCAGATCACACGCATAGATGGCAAATTAAGACATATCTCCGTCTGCCTTGTTCGTCACGGCCTTTCCTCCTTGGTTTCGTAGGCGGCCGTACGCAAATCAAGTGAAAAGGGGACATGAAGGACTCCCAACCTGTCTAGCAAAATATATTTCTGCACAAATTCGTCTCGTCGGCCAACTCAGGGATCTTACCTTGTCTTGTCTTGGATGTTTCCTCTTCTTTCCCCTCAAATGCCCTTTCCACGTTTCTCGTCTCGAATGTCATTGCGGTGGTGGGGTGAGGTGCAATTCTATTCACTCTCGTCATGGGTGGATGGCCTATCCTTGGGCCTCGGGAGACGTTTTGCCAGGGGTTGTTTAGCATCGGCGTTGGAGGGTTTTGGACCTTCCTTACACGCTTTTTCTTTCTTTTTCTGTATTTAGCTCTCTCCGTGTTTTGCGTGAGAGGGAAGCTATTTGAAAGTTACGAAAGAATAGCTCCATATACTCAACAGGTATTCTCTATGCAGGAGCGAATAAGAGCAAATGGATCAGCTACAATTTCGCACACCCTCGAAAAGTATACCTACTTATAGGTACCACCCACCTAGATTCAGATCTGGGTACCTTCCTTCCTACCTAAAAGAGGGACAGTCTACAGGGGAGACATGCTGATGAAGCGGCTGTTGGTCGCCCTAGAGGAGAACGAAGTCAGACAATCAATGCTCCCAGATTCCCTTGCGTGGATACTACTCGTGCGGGCTAAAAGCGCCCGCACTTTAACGTTTTCGGGGCAATTCGACGCTTTTTTGTGAATTTTTCCCCAGCCAAATTTAGCTGGAAATCAATGTATCGCTGAAAAAGGTAATAGTTAACCTGTAGGCACGGTGCACAGCCAAACTCGTAACTCCCCTGTGCACCGTGCAAAAAGTAAGTGAGCGGCCCATTACCTTTTTTTAGCGATACATTGATTTCCAGCTAATTTGGCTGGGGAAAAATGTCACAAAAAAGCGTCGAATTGCCCCGAAAACGTTAAAGTGCGGGTGCTTTAGCCCGCACGAGTACCCTCTGGAGCGAGCATCAGTTCATGTTTCCAAACTGCATCCCAGCCTTTCCGAGCCTGGCTGCGAGGCACGCCAGGAATTTACTTGCCTGTCTTGACGGTACCAGCGGCTGCTGCGTAGCCAAAAGACGGCGCCCAGCCCTGGCAGATCCCGAAGCTCGCGGCGCAACGGCTCTTGGCAACGTCAAGTCGGCGAAATCGGCCAGGGCCGGTCCGTCTTGGATGATCATGGCCTCACAAAGGCAACCTCCGTATCTGTGGACAAGTGTGCTCAGCTTGCCAGGATTCATACAGCTCTATTTCATGGCATAAACGCCCCAAGTGCCATTGTCATGTTTCATTATATCCTGCAACTATCAGCCCCTGGTTTTGCCACGCCAGACATAGCCACCATTCTAAATCCTTCTTTCACCAACGATAAATCTCATAATGATGCCACGTCCATCCAAAAGCTGAACTGTCTAGAATAACCATGCAGACAACAGAGATTCATGACATAGCAGGGAAACCCAAAAATCTCATTCATTCGTGCTGCTGCTGTCGCTTCACGAGAGAGCCCGCCTGCCACGAGAAACTTGAGAGCACTTGGTTTGGTCAGCCGACCGTGCATCAAGCGTCCTTGAAGCCATCCCGGTCCTTCAGGGCAGCCGCCAGTCTACGGTAGTCCCGGAGCAGGTCTCCAATATCGCCAATCCGAAGCTCAGCTGACGTCTGCGCCTCCATGAACTTCTTAACAGGCGGTGCGATTTGCGGAGGCTGCTGCTTCGGTGGTAAGGCGGTGGCTATATCCGGGAAGGCCTATGGGAAAAAACGGAAGTCAGCAACCTAGGTAACATTCAGACGGAGTGGAATCTCGCCAGAGGCGCGGGTGTGATGAATCAGGCAGTGCATGGTACTCACAGATGCAAGATCGCCACCGTCGGCCTGCTTGACGGGCACAACCGGGGTAGACGAGGTCCTACCGAACCCCCGCATCATGCCTATCCCAGACAGCCTCGACATTGGGTTCAGCGAGTTGCCAAAGTTGCGGGCCGAGTCGAATAGCGTTGGGTTGGGGGTCGCGGAGGGTGTCGGGCCGGTCGCCGCCGCCTTGGCGTCGTCGCTCGCGAACAGAACCTTCTTGGAGCTGCTGCCTGCGCTCCTGGTACTGTCGGCGCTGTGGTCACGCGGGGCCCTACGCCCACCGATCAAGCTCAGCATCTTGTCCTCCCGACTGACCACTCGCGAGCCGACCCGTTCGGGCTCCTCCGGGCCGTGCACCGAGCTCGCCCCGCTGACCGATCCGTCATCGTCGGGTGGCGGAGTTCCAATCAGCTTGCGGGCGTCGTCCAGCGTCTTGGGAACCACCAGAGTCTCCCCGCCGGAGCCTAGTGGCTCCCGTAGCTTGCCGATGAAGAACTTATAGCTGTCTCCAAGGCTGTTGGTGATGTTTTTCAAACCTTGGTCGGCCGTGTTGAGCACGGCGTCGCTAGCGGCCCCCAGAGCCTGTGCAGGGGTGTTGACCAGATCGCTAAGCCGTCGATTCCGCAGCTGCACGGCTGCACGCAGCCCAGATGGAACCGTGGCATCGGCCGACGGTGTTGTCGTTGCTGCTACCGTTACCTTGGACGCTCCTTCTGTGGTGGATGTCGTGTCTACGGGACCCTGAGCCGTGCTTGACGATCCGGATGTGTAGGCGGGTGGGAAAGTCTCGGCCTTGGGCGAGTTTGATCCGCTAGAGCTCTTGACCGGGCCCGCTGGCGTCTCGTCAGGTCGGAGGGTCGCGAGGTCCACCGTTTCCAGAAAGCTGATGGCGGCTTCCAGGTTCGTCAGGCAATATGCAGCCTCGCCCACGAGCTTTGGCTCCCACCTGAAGCGGTGGATAAAGTTGAGGTCGCTGATCACGTTCAGCTTCTCAGGCGAAAGAGTGATGAGCGTGTAGATGAGCATGGGCATGATCTCGTCGGCCGAGGAGGACGGGTGGAAGTGCGCCAGAGTCTCGACGATGCTCTTGTGGGCTGCCTTGAGCCGGGTAAGCTTGCCAAGGGGATACCTCGACTCGTTCATCAGCTCAATATCACGCCTCGCCTGGTCCAGCCACTTGCGCACTTCCTCCTGTCTTGCCACTATCTCCTCGGGGGACTGTGTGCCGTCGCCAAGCTCCACACCCAAGTCCGCAAGACCGATCCCAACTACAGCGAGAGCTGCCGTCTTGGACCTCAGCTTGTCATCCTGCGCCTCGTCCTGGGTCGAGCGGTGCTGGTATATTCTGGGGTATATGCCCTCGCACAAGCGCCTCTCGACCGCCTCCTCCAAAACCGACCGTTTTTGTTCTAGCGCTTTTCTCGTCCGCTTTCTGTCGGCTAGCTCGTCTGCCGTTATCATCTGCTGTTCTCCTTCAGTCTTGGCCAATGCCTTTGCCCTATCCTTGCCACCTATCGACGCGGCCTTCGCCCTCAATAGGTTGGCCGGTGAAGACCTTGCCGAAGGTGACTGTTCGCGGCTGTGGCGGGTGAGCAGGCTTGCGATGTGGGTGTTGATGTGTGAAGATGCGGAGTAGTAGAACTCTTGAAAGAGTCGGGAGAGGTTGTCGACGTTGGGAGGTGTCGGGTGCACCTTGTGTGACAGCGAGTCGATGAAGCTAGAAAGGCGGTAATTGCAAGCGCAGGTGAGCCTCTGGACAACTACAGCGAGCGAATATGGGCACTTGGCCAGGACCACAAGATGCATACCTGTCGGTTAAGCTGATCATCTCGATGGGGAGGTCGTCCATATCGACCGAAGCCCGGGGTGCATCGGCCTGGTCGTCCCCTACGTGGCTGCTCTCGAAGGCGTCGACGGACCCCTCAAGAGCCTCGTGCTTTGGGGGCGTTGGCGTATGTGTGCGGGAGCTTGGGGTTGCTGCACCGTCCTGGAAGGTGCTGGCTCGCTGGGGACGGGTTGCGGCCGGTCCGGCATCGTTTACAGGCTCGTTTCGGGGGAAGGAGCGGACAGTCCGCAGAGGGCTGGGGCGTGTTGAGGCATCCTGTTCCTTTGGGCCGGCGGACGCCATCAGGGTCTCCGTTATGGTTTCTGTGAGGGTAGAAAACATCTTGTTTAGCTAGGCCAGCAGCGCCAGGCAGATTGAGATGGCCAACTTGGAGATAACGATAAGTGCGTGCGTGCAGTGCTTTGTATAATGCTTGGTGGGCAGCTACCTAGGTATTTAGATAGGCTAGCAGGTAGTGGGCAGGTAGGTGGATAGGTAGATAAGTATATACCTACTCGGGCAGGGGTTATTGAGAGGGATGTAGGGCGATGAGGCGCCGAGGTCGGGTGAGGTCTGATGATGGGGATAGTGTGTCCCTGGAAGAAGGGGACCTTGGCGGGCTCACGACAGGCTAGTAATGGCCATGTACCATCGGGTCCCTACAGTTGTCACAGGGCGCCGGGGCAGGCTGGCGCATGAAGTCCTAATAATAACAAACAGGGCCGGTGCGGCCAGGCGAGCACAGGGACACCAAACTATCTGACGGCCTGCTGCACCATCCACCAGACAGGGGTGGTGGCCTCGAGAGCAGCCTCGGGAGGGGCGAGGGTGACGACGATGACGGGCTTGGTTTAGGCTGGCTGGAGCTAAATGAGCCGTGCGGCTTACAGTGGTGTTCGGAGCTTTGGGCCTTGTGCCTTGTCAGCTATCAGATCATTGCGAGGGTGGTGGCAGTGTGGCAGTAAGTACCAATTCGGTGTGAGCTGCCAGCACGCTCCACGGGGGAAGACGCAGCGGACGTCTCCACCAACCTCCATCGCCCAGGGCTGCGTCAACCTCAAGACCCACCACGGAAACATCATCCCCATTCGCTGATTCGATCAACCCCTTGAGCCAGACAACTCCTGAATATGAATGCCACTTTGCATGCATGTGCGCTGTATGTAGAGCGTCATGTTCACTAAATAGAAGCCTACGTAGGCATGCCTCAACTGCTTGCGAACCAGGCTGAAAGGAAGACAAGACACAGCAAACATAGATGGAACTAACCAAGGTAGGTACTAGGTACCTATAGGAAACAGGTAATAAACTCGATAGGCGCACAGCAGAACTGATTGTGGGCAATCGGGGTTCCAACCAGCGACACCGGAACTGTATATGGTTTATTTCACGACAATGCAGCCTGTAACGCAAACGCCTCAGCGCTGAATCAAACTGCCTGAGAGCAATAGACATGGACGTAACAGCCAAGCGCGAGCATTTCTAGGTTGGGCTAGCTCCTTACCTATTGTGACCTGGATACTAGACTAGCACTCGGGTTGATTCGCATATGATCAGGGATTTTCGGCTTCCGGGAGATCGTGGATTCAGCCGGTTGTTCTCTTCGACACCTCAAGAAGCTTCGAGACGCTGGAGGGATGGTTTGGGGCTCATCACCTGACTCCAGTCGCGACGTCGGCGGTGATTGTAGGTGCCTCTTCTGGACACTGGACCCACCTGGACGTCACAAACGTGGTCCGCTCCAGCCGAGGTGGTTCCCCATCCTGCGGAGCCACACAGTGCATCGGCACTCAGGCTAGCCGCTATCGTCCGTCTCCGCACCCTTGGCTGGCCGGGGACCACGCGCCGGCTCACCCCAACGGGTCGATGACTGATGTTATCGCCGTCGTACGCCACTCTCCGTCCATCCCCGGTCAGCCTCAACAAGTCGGGCCCAAGCTTCCATTTACTTGCATTCCGCCCTTTCGTCTTCCTCTTAACCCGTTTTAATTACGAACCTTCGTCCGGTGCTTCCTCCGCCACCGAACGCGCTTGACTTCCGTTCCCATTCCTCCTCTTCGTCTTGCCCCTTTCCGCCAACCAACCTGTCCAAGCGCTCCGGATCGTGTGCTTGGCTGTCTGAACACAGTAGCAAACATGGGCGTCAGCCACAAGGGTTCCCCCAACAGATGCGCTTCTGCAGGCAGAGTGACCGCCCAGCTTCTGCTCTCCTTCCTCGCCTTCTCCGTCGCCCCGTCCGCCGCCGCCCCCGACCACGACGCTCACAACCAATTTGTCCTGCCGCTACCGCAGACCCCGATCCCGCCATTATCCCCCGAGCCTGCCGCCCCGGCCGACCATACATTCACTCTCCGCCATGTCTTCCACCACGGGACGCATCGGCACCCCAGGCTGCACCGGCGGCAGGATGTCTACCAGAGCGATGCTGGTATCGTCTGGCTCGCCGCCGAGGACGGTCACGCCCCGCATCAGCTTCCTACACTGGCGGCCAAGAGCCGCCCGGGCAAGATCCAGCGGCTGGTGGACCGGCGGCCGAGCGTGGTAGAGCCTATGGTGGCCGAGGCGCGCCAGAGGGGCTCCGTGTCGGTTCTGTCGGCCGATGCCTGGTCGCTCGATGACGTGCCCATGCCTAACATCGCCGACAAGAAAACCATCGTCAATCTGGCTTACATGGCGGCCGACGCCTATGTCGAGAAGCCCGACCTGCCGGACTGGGAGGAAGTCGGCGATCGGTTCAACCGCAGCGCCGACTTTGGCTGGGAGACAGACGGACTACGCGGCCACGTGTTTGCCGACGAGACCAATTCCACCATCGTCATCGGGCTCAAGGGCACATCACTCGCCGTCTTTGATGGGGAGGGCACCACAACCAACGACAAGGAGAACGACAACCTCTTCTTCAGCTGCTGCTGCGCCCAGCAGGGCCAGTGGACCTGGCGGCAGGTCTGCAGCTGTGCGACATCGACTTACTCGTGCAATGTCACATGCGTCTCGCAGTCCCTGCGGGAGGAGAACCGCTACTACATGGCTGCCCGGGAGCTTTACTCCAACGTCACGGAACTGTACCCAGACTCCAACGTGTGGCTCACGGGACATTCCCTGGGCGGTGCCGTCAGCTCGTTTCTCGGCCTGACCTACGGCCTGCCCGTCGTTACCTTCCAGGCTGTCCCTGAGGCTCTGGCTGCTGGTCGGCTAGGGCTCCCGATCCCGCCGGCCTCGGACCCCAACTTCCCGCAGACTCGAGAGTATACGGGAGCGTACCACTTTGGCCATACCGCCGACCCCATATATATGGGGTCGTGCAATGGCGCGACCGCGTCCTGCTCCTACGCTGGCTATGCGCTTGAGACGGCCTGTCATGCGGGGCAGGAGTGTGTTTACGATGTCGTGGCTGACAAGGGCTGGCGTGTCGGTGTCGGCACGCACAAGATCCGGACTGTGATCCACGACGTGCTCCTCAAGTACGATACCGTCCCCAAGTGTGAATCGACACCCGAGTGCCGTGACTGCCTTCTCTGGAAGATGTATGAGAGCAACGGGACCGAAAGCACCACCACATCGAGCTCGACTACGACATCGAAGCCCGTAACTCGCACCGAGACTTGCAAGACGCCTGGTATGTTCCACACTCGAGAGAAATGCTGTTGGCACCCCCGACCATCGACCATAGTGCTCTATATCATTTGGTTGAAGTAAACGATGCCAGACTAACACAGTACACTTTGACATTAGGCTGGTGGGGCTGCCTGGATGAGACTACAACGACGTCAGCCACGACAACTTCAAGCACCACCACGACTACCACGTCAACCTGCAAAACGCCTGGGTGGTTTGGCTGCAAGGACAAGACCACGACAACAACGACGACGACTACTCCGACAGCCACGCCCACAACCACCTGTTTGACTCCGGGGTGGTTCGGATGCAACGACAAGACATCACCAAGCAGCGTGGTGCCATCGGCTACCTCTCACACCATCACGGCACCCCCTATGTTTACGCCAACTGAGAAGCCGAATCCCCCAGAAGATTCGCCAGATAAGCGGAAGGGAAAATGCGTCAGTCGCAACTGGTTTGGCATGTGTAAAGAATGGGACTGCCCTGGTGGTGAGGAGGTAGGCGACCTGTAGCAGGGCGGTTTTGTATCTCTCATTTTTGTTCCTTTCTTGTACTATTGGCTGGCGTTCTTCCTTTCCTTCCTTCTTCACTGTCCGGTTACGACTCAAGTCGGTTACCCAGGACGCATGTAACATTGTGGGAAGCGCATGGGCCAGTTGCCTTATGAGATCAGAATGTTGAAAGCATCACACGAGTTCAGGTGCGGACTTCCAGATAGACGACGGTTTCGCATTGGTCTTCGAGATAGAATTACATGGGAATCATATCTCGCCATTTTAGTTAGCATCCATCAATACATTATGCCCGTCGATAATTCTCTATAGGTGCACACTTGGTGGGCTGCGCGCGCAGTAAATCGTAGCTCAATTTGTGGGCCCAGGCCTAGTGATGTCAGTGCCCCAGCATCCCAGCTCAACGCGGATGCTAGACCGACGCTGACCGAGTGGTGCAGGTGTGAAAAATTAGGTGGCACTCTGGAATGCGAACAACCCAGACTATTACTATTCCAACGCGGTCGTCAAAAAAGAACCCCACCACACGCTACATCCACCATCGCCAAAGGCTCTCTACATTAACGTTTCGAACCGCAAATCGAGCGAGGTGCCGCCGCGCCGCCGGGTCTTGCTCGCGTCAGATATGGCCACCGACCGCGATGAGCCGGCCCAGGCGCCGGTGGCCGCTGCTCTGTCCTCGGACAGCGACAGCAGCGACGGCGAGGGGGACTCGCCGGCCTCGGGAAACAACTCGCAGGTGGAATGGCTGGTCACGGGGCGGTCAAGGCGGTCCACCGCCGGCAACCGCATGAAATCTATGATCGCCCAGGAGGCTGCCGCCGCGGGTCTACGCCGCGGAGCCGACGAGGACTCGGATCTAGAGCTACTTTTCGCCGAAGCCGATGACGACGAGGGATTCACCGACGACGGCGAGCGCGACGACGCGTCCGACGCCCACATGGACTCGAGTTCCGAGGGCGAAGACGATGCCGCTGGCGGGGCCGACGACGAGCTCGAGGGTGAGAAGGAACTCGAGCGCGTTGCCCGCGAGAAGCGCGTGGCTGCCCGCAAGCGAAAAGCGCAGGAGGCCATCCCGGCCAAGTTTCGCAAGCGCGTCCGCATCGACAGCACGCCGTCAACGACACCCGCAAGAGGGTCCGAAACTCCGACGGGGCGGGCGCCCCGGCGGCAGAGACAGGAGCACCAGCCGCGGCCCAAGAAAAAGAGCGAGCGGACGAGCTGGCTCCCCACGGCGGCGGACATGCCGACGCGCGCGTCGGAGCGGTCGACAACGCGCATGAGCAAGGAGCAGCTACACCAGCAGATGGTGGAGCGTGAGGTGCGGCGTAAAAAGCAGCTGGAAATTCAGGAGAAGAAGGCCAAGCGGCTCGAGGCGCTCAAAAAGCCGCCCATGACGCAGGCGGATAGGCTGCGGGAGGCTGCCTTGGTCGAGAAGCGCAACTCCAAGAGCTTAAATCGCTGGGAGGAGGCCGAGAAACAGCGAGAGGAGGAGCGCGAGCGAAAGTTGGCCGCACTCTACAGCCGGACCCTCGAGGGTCCCGTCTTCACCTTTTGGAGCGGTATCATGGAGCTGAGTGAGGGCCAGATGAAGCACGTCGGGCGCATGGTCGCCATGGAGGAGAAGGCGCCAAGAAAGAAGCGGCAATCGGCTGCTGCTGCTGCCGCCGCCACCGCTATCCCGACTGGACCTGAGGCTTCCGCACCGGATGGACCTGGGGAGCCTCTTGGGACTCAAGCGCAGAAGGAAACACTTGCCCCGGCTGAGAACCTGGATCCAGGCGCTGGTCTTGCCGCTCCGGCCTTCCACGAGGCCGTGTTCCGTCCAATTGGTCTGCCCGCAAGCCCGGCAGATGACGCTCCTCAGACAGCTGAGCCAAAGCCGGTCTCCTCAGGCGTACTGGCGCCTCCTGTCAGCGTCGGTGTTCTCGCGCCGCCGCTGGGGGCTTCCCCGGGGCCAATGCAGATGCCAGGGTTTAATACGGCGCCGTTGGGCAACGGGTCGTCCACTGTTCTCGCACTCCCCAACACTTCTCACGGGTCATCTCTCATATCGATACCTCCGATCGACCCGCCACCCGAGACCCCTGTATCCGTGCCGCCGACGGCGATAGGGCCTGCCACCGACACGGTCGAGAAGGTTCCACCTGCGCCTGCGCCGCCTCTCCATCAACCTGCCAAGACCGCAGCGCCGAAACGCGCAAAGCAGGGATCGGCGGCAAAGGCCCCGGCCCCGGCCTCGCAACAGCCAGCACAGGAGGCAGGGCCGGAGCCGCCACTGGAGGGCAAAGTGACCCGTAACTGCATCATACTGCAGAGCTTCGACCAGAAGGCGATTGAGGACAAGACGGTACAGACACAGATACTGTTTGGTCGGAAGATGAACAAGCTCGCAAGTGAGTGATTCCTGTGCCTTTTCCCAGCCCTATCACCGACCGAGATGCACAAATACGAACATAACTGATACCATCTTGCCCCCCACAGAACCTGGTCACGCCCCCCACTGCGTCATCACAGGCCATGTAGCGCGGTATAAGGACCCTAAGACGGGCCTGCCGTTCGCCAACATGAACGCCTGCAAGCAAATCCGGCGGTTGACCCAGGGCGAGTACAAATGGAGTAGTCTCCTTGGCCTCTGGGTAGGCACCGGCGAGGTTGCGGCCAAGGGCGTGCCAAGCCGCTTCTTGCATGGTGGGCCAAAGGAGGAAAGCCCTCCGCCGGAACCGACACCACCGGCTACTATTTCTGGCGGCGGTGCTGTTGCTGCTGCTGCTGTTGCTGCTCCTCTTCATCCGCCTACTATTGGTACTGCTGCTGCTGGTGCTGCTTTGCCATCAACTCCTAACGCGCCCGCGAAAACCCCGCCTGTCGCCGCTGGCCCTGCCACTGCATCACGGCCATTGGCGGCGCCAATCCCGGCAACAATGGCTGCACCACACACAGCAGCCATGAGGCCAGTGGCGCATCCGGGCCCGCCCCCTGCTGCCACCCATCCCCCATTTACGAGCTCAAGTCTTGCGGCACCTGTGGGCAGCAGCCTTGGGCCGGCACGACCAGGCATCACAACGGCCCAAGCTGTCCTGACCCCTGCTGCCAACTCTGCATCCCAGCCGCCCCCACCACCTCCACCTCGGCCACCGTCCCTAGCCCCCGTCATGACTTACGGGGTCACGCAGACATCCACCACTCCGCCAGCAACCAACAGCACGTTTACTCCTGTGCCCGCTGTAACTCCCACAGCGGCGCCTGCTCCCATGGGCTTGGCCCCCGCCCTGGCTCCGCCTTCTTTGAAATCTCCGGCGTCCCATGACGCTCACGCGAGTCTTGCTCCGTCGTCGGCGACGATACCAGCCCTGGGTCCACCATCAGCAGCGGTGTCTGCTGCCACCCCGGCCCCGACGGCTCCGCCTGTCCCCACCACAGCACCCATGATGCTAGTCCCCAAAGAGGAGCCAGGCCAAGACGCGCAGGGAGCCGCCCAACCAACCTCGGACTGAGGGATGCTAGGAAAAGGGGACAGAATCTCCTTTTTTTTTGTACACGTACCTGCATAGCACTATTGAAACAAAATGACACCACGCTGCATGAAGCCAATCAGGCAAATTGCTCCTCCAAAGGGGTTTGTTTGTATGCAAAGTCTCGGAAGTCTGGGTTGCATGCCTCGATATTTTTTCTTTCATTTTTCTTTTTCATCAGAAATGTTGAATTTCCATCAAGATTGGCTTTCTTTGCTTTTCATCATTCTTTTCCCTCTGTCAGAACCCTATTTCTTGCATAAACCCGAGGGCCGATCTCGGCATCCGTCAAAGTTCCCCGGTGCACATGCCGTTATCCCACTCGTCTGTGCAAAAGCGAACATCCGATGGGCTTTTCGTCCGATATGTGTGTGCCCCCAGCAAGTCCCGTCGCCCCCCGTCGGAAGAGCGTCGGCCCTCCACCTTCTTCCACACCCCCTGTCCAGCCCGCTGGGACCTGACCCGTGGAAACCTTTTCTCTGGTCCAGGCATCGAACCGGGCCCGCCGATAAACCCACGAACCATAGAGCGGGTCCCCTTCGGAATGGCGTGTGCGCCCCGATGACGTCGATATGGTTGTCCCCTGGAGAATGCGACGCCATCTTTGAAGGAAGAAAGAAAAAAAAAAAAAAGAAAGAAAAAATCTTCCCGTCGCGTGGTTGACCGACGGATTAATGATTGACATGCGTTGTATTTGCGGGTTGGACTGCCACCCGCGCCCCTCTCTTTCTCCTGCGGTTCGGATGTCACATGAAAGATCCCAATTCTGCTTTTGCATCATCAACCCGATGTGACCTCTTGGCACTACGCCGCATCGGATATGGGACATTGTAGCGTTGCGTCCAAGTTGCTTTTCGGCTCACGGCCATCTCTTTGCTTTTTTTCTTCTTCGCTGAGATTGTCTTTCGCGCACCATGTGGACCATGTTGCCTCACCAATACACACCGCTTTGGCATGAGCGAAACCCAGCAAGTTCGGACGTGCTTCTGTTATCGGACCATTCGGTCCGCAAGAGAGAGCTTCTATCACTGTTTTCATAGTCACCAGATTGACCACCGAAAGACATCAACAGAGTATTGTGCGATGAATGAGTAAATAAATAAATAATAAAAGCCATCCTTGTGATGCCTTGTTGAAGGCCGAGCCGAGGGAACCCGTGACGACATGTGCGTCCAAGAAAGAAGTCTATCCTTGAAACCCATTCCCAATATCCGTTTATATGCTATGCAGGAACTCCGGGTCCCAAACAACCGTGGAAAAAAAAAGTCAGTCAAAATAGCTCATTACATCGCTTTGAGTAAAACAGAGACCGTCTGTGTGTAAACATGTGGTGGACATTTGCCGCCAGAAACGAGCGACATGAAGGGCAAGGTGAATAAAAGTTTAGTTGCCATTGGCCTAGTCGATCCGTAGTAGTATATCAGGCCTTGGTGATGGCCGGGGTCATCCAGCGAAGCTCGTCAGCCAGATCGCTAGTCTCTTCGATGCGGGCAATCGAGATGACCGGCGCCACAGCCTCTTGGTGGGCGGCGGCATCGGTCCTCGTCGTCGTCGTCGTCGTCATCTTGTTCTCGCTCACTGCGGCTTCGGGCAGGGTATAGCACGAAAAGTTGGCCAGAAGGCTGCCAAAGGACGGGCCGAAGCTGGTGTTGATAGCCTGCAGGGGCTTCAGGCCAAACCCATCATCTTCCACATCTACCTCTGCCTCCTCCTCGTCTTCATCGTCGTCATCGGAGAAGTAGAACGAAGGCGCTTGGGAGAGAGTCGACTCTGGCGAGTGGGGAGCGATAAGAGAGTTTGTGGACAGGCGGGACTGCGGGCGGCTGGCATCCAGCGTCGGAAGGCTTGGGGCTGACCGAATCGGGTACGCTGGCGTCTGCGGCCTGGATTTCTTGTCGAGAAGGACAAGGCTAGAGGACGACGAGAACGAGCGTTGCGAGGGCGGCGGCGACAGGACAGTGACAGGTGCACTCTCGGATTGGGCTGAAGTGGCAAAGTTGTCATCGTCGTCGTTCTCCTCGGCGATGTCTTCGGTGGTGGCGACAGCAGGGCGATCGAGGTACCCCTCAACCGCAAACTCGACGGACGGTAGAGGAGTGTCGTCCGAGAGAAACCTGAGTAGCGAGTCGGGCGAAATATCTCTCGAGCGGCTGCTCTGAGCCGAGGGGGAGCGGAACGTGGTCCTCTCGTCCGTCTCTTCCATCAAAACCACGACCGGATGGCTGTCGGGCTCGACATCGTTCCTGGCGCTGTCCTTCTGGTTGTGGCTCGACTTGCTGCGACTGAAGAGGCGACGGGGGGACCACGACCACGAGGGGTTGGGCGACAACGACCGAGTCGATCGCTTGTGTACTAGGCTTCGGACGTGTGAGGTACCTCGGCGGCAGAGAGGCTGCTCTGGATCCGGGGGCGCGGCGCGGGTGGGGATGAATTTATCCTCGGGCTTGACCGTCATGAAGTCGCAGTCGCGGACAGAGCTGAGTGAGGCGCTGCGTTTGCGAGCGGGCATTTCGAAAGGAACGTGGATGGTGTTGACCGGCTGGCCCGGTAGTGACGGGCAGGCTGTGGTGGATGGCAGGGACGGGTCGTGGACCTCAGTTGAGCCGTCTAGCTCGTACTATATAAAAGGAACGGAACCGGTCAGAACCAAAAGTGGGCGGGAGACGAGGAAGTAGAATGGTGGTGGGTGGTGGGTAATGGATTGTGGGTGGCTTACATAGTAATAATAAGTCTCGCCCATCTTGAGACCCCCATTCTCAAAAGAGTGGCATCCCTTCCACTGACCACGGTCTCGCCGAACGTCGCGCTCCATGGTATAAGCTTTGGTAAAGTTGTCCCAGGATCCTCGTAGGTGGACGGTGCGTGTGGATGGGCTGGTCTCACTTTGGTTTTTCACATTGGATGGGTCAGTTGACGGAGCGGACATTACGGATATGTAGCTTGGGGCAAGGCAGGGGATGCATCTCTTGCTGCACTTGCAGAGAGGAGCCATGTCGTTGGGGGACCAGGCTGGGTGACCCCTACTACGACGTGGAGGGAGGCTCGAGCCAAGGCCGATGGAACCACGGCCGGCCATTGTGTCTTGTGTGTCCTGCCCCAGCGACTCAGCCAGCTGACGGAGTAACGCAGCCCGGTCCCCATGCGTAACATGCCAGGCAGAGGCTTCTGGAAAGCCAACAGAAGGCAGGCCCCTGGTACGAGCGACAGGGGTGGGTGGAAATGAACGTCACTGCGCTGCCTGAGGTCTGGGTTGAGGGCCACCAAATTCCAGCACGGCCATTTGCCGGACCAGGGATCTTTTGTTTTCGTGGTGCGAGGCGGTGGGGATCCCCGTCAGCAGCAGGGGCAGGGACGAGTAAGAAGGCTGAGACAGGCGGAGGGAAGAATTGAGACAAAAAAGGGAACAAGAAAAGAAAGTGTAAGCCTCAGGGCAGCTCAGGTCAGAATGCTACATACCTATTGGGGCGTCGAGACAATAAAAACAAGATGATGGCAATGAGTTGGACGAAGAAAGGGAGAGTGTTGATTGGGACAAAAGAAAGGAGACCAAGCTGGAGCGGCAACCCCGACGAGGCTGCAGTGCTGGTCGGTGGGTAATTGCAGTGAATTTGGTTGTGGGGAGGGGCATGAACGAGCTTTCGATGGAGTGTGCCAGCTTGGGTTGTGCTGGCCTGGCTGGAACGAGTTGGGCGAAAATAGCGAGGGCCTGATGAAGGCAACAAAAAAGAGAATAATATGTCGCTTACAGAAAGAAAGTGACGAGAGTCGGGGATTGCATGGCGAGCCTGCGCCTTTACTGCTGCACACCTTTCGAGTGGCGGCAGCAATGAACGGGACGGGAAGGTGCAGTTTGCGGCACTTTATAACTGGTACAAGAAAGCCGTGCAAGCACCCTCTCTCACGTCAAGATCGATCGCCTCGCCCGTCCCAGCCAGACGGATCGCGCTGCAGTTGCGGCGGCAGCACGCCGTTTCGAATAAGCGCGCGCGGCCAACGAAGACGGCCCCCGGATCGAGAGTGTCCCCTCCCTGACAACCAGAGCGTGAGCTGTCTGGTCTAAATTTGCAGGAGGTTGCAATTGGCCAATGGCAGGGTCGCGACGCGGGTGGCAGGCGCAACGTTCGATTTGGGGTCGCGGCCGGGACAAGGGTCCAGCGCTTAGGCGGTGGAGGGCGAGGGTGCAAGTCTGTGTGCGCGGGAGGGTGCTGTGCGGGTGGATGGGTGGGTGTGCCTCCCGTGTCTTGGATAATTTGAATTGGAAGGCAATGCCGGTTTGGGCGCAGCAGGTCGCAGGCGTCTTCCCGAGCGCTCTCGTATTTGCGTGCAAGGGCGGGGCGTCGGCGTGGTCGAATCAACTCAAAGGGGACTTTCGGGGTCTCGTTGGCCGAGGGTTCAACACGGACGGACAGAGGTGAGGGTGGGCGACAAAAGGCTATATGAATTCGAGATGCTGAAACAGGAGAAGCCCCCATCCCATCCAGCTCGAAACGGCCGCCTTTCAGGGCCTGCCGGCTTGCATAAGGATGATGGCTCCTAGTTCCTGTGTTTGCCGTTGTTCCCTGCTCGCACAGCCAGCCCTGCCTTGGAACCCTGCCCCTCCTCCCAGATCAAGACATCGAAGAGCAGAGCCCGACGAGTAGCGTTGCGCCTGTCAGGCCGTCATACTCAGCTTTCCTAGGCCCATGCGGAGTCCGCTCCTGGTGACGCACCACGCAGGCTAGCCGGGCTGGACCACCAGTCAAAACGCTGGTGTCCATATCATGTGCTTGTTGTTGACGGAGCACAGTTTCTGCTGCTGTTGCTGCCACTAGTACAATATCACACAGACCCTTGAGTGCCGACCGATTGGCTGCTCAGTCGAGGCAGAGCTCTCGTTGGATGGCGATTGACTGGCCGACTGGCTGACTGGCTGACTGGCTGGACGGCCCCCAGCTTCGTCTCCACGCTGCCAACGAGGCGAGAATGATCATCGGCAAGGAGTCAACGACCAATGCCGACTCGATGCGCCCGCTGATTGCACACCGTGAAACCCCCTAATCTCAGCAGGATGGGGGAAGGGTGGGCTCACGCGCCAAGGCTTGGGGCCCTGGTCGACGTGGACAAAGTCCCGACAAACGACCTGCATGTGGTCTGAGGCCAGGACACTACCAGGCGCCTTCACAACGCAACACAGGCGGTGAGGCAACAGTCGCGTCCTACAGTTTACTCCCCTAAGGCGCCGCCTCGAGCGAAGTAGAGACGCATCCGCGCAATAACAAAATGAGATGAAACCACGGAAGCAAATAACTCTAGACGACGGCGGGCAGAGCTTGGGCTCCAGCACCGACAGAAACTATTAAAAAATAAATAAATAAAACTACCTCCTGACTTGACTATGTATGTACTGGTTGACCGCATTCGGCCATTCTGCGTCGCCTTGGCTCGAAACCCCAGACTTTCCCACGATTGGCTTCGAGACGATGCCTCTCAGTCCCCCGATCTGCACGGATCCTTGTCTCAGTCCCGGGGTGCCCTCCCATGCAACCGAGCTCGTCGTGCTAAAAACGGAGCAGACGGAGCGAGCAAACAAACCAAGAGGGAATCCAGTCGTTCCGCCCTGCTTTCTGTCATAACATCGATTGTGTGAAGCGCCGAGCCGATCGACCACGCTGCCAAACAAAAGAAGGGACGGCGGCCAGGATGCATTGAGAGTTGTTTTGTCTGCGGTGTCTATCTGCCCCCCGGAGAGAGATGAAAGGTTAGGGGAGGGTGTGCCGGACCGATCACCTCCGCATCTCAGCTAGGACGCTGGACCAAAACGCCGCTAGCAAGATGGATGATGGGATTCGAGTGGGTTGCCTTGGCGTCCGCTATATCCGCTTTGTATTCAACAGTCTCATGCTCCTCGATCCTTGCGCTGACGTATTCACTAGTAGTATTTGAGTATGGGCCGCGACGCCCACCCACTAGCCACTAGAGAGCAACTGACTGCATGCCAAATAGTGGATTTGTCGCTGACATCCATTGGCGGCTGTTGCGTGCATTAGCTTCAAGCGCCGTCTCGGCTCGCACACATGTTGGCTCGGTGACCTTCGGCTCGGGCTTCCTGACACTGTTCCTCAGCTCCTTTCCTGCATGGCCGCATCATCGACGAACCGTTGACGCACTGGCCGGATCCATCTTGTCAACAAGGCCTCCTCGCGCTGGGACTGATTCGACATGTTGCGACCCCCAAACCGTTTGTTGCAGAGTACCAAGTTCCGTGATATCAAATTGGTCCAATCTTGCGGCTCCCTGGCCAGTGACTGGCTCGACTGGACAGGTACCTATCTGTCCCAAACAGAACCATCCCGTAGGGTTGCACTGCATCCTTTTAATGGAGGGCGGGATGCATGCGGCGAGTGAGATTGTGTACCATTGGGGGCGGGACTGTATCCCTGGACCTGCATGTTGGGAAGCGGCACATTCCAGCCCGCCAGCCCGCTCGACGACGTCGGCGGTTCCAATTTAGATATAGAGGGCAAATGAAACCATATTGTTCCTCGACCGGGGCCAACCACAAACAATTTGATATCACAATCCATCCCCTGTTTGGTCTAGGATAAAGGTATATTTCCAAGTTTGAACCTAGGGAGCACAGTCAACAATATGGCATCCTTAATCTCCGCTACGTTTGCTTTTGTGGTCTTTCCGAAGATGGGTAACATCGACACTGGTGGACCGTTACCATTCTTGTCTATCTGTAGAGCTAGTGACTAGGCGGCATGAATGGGACGAGAGATGAAAGGGTTCAAGCAACAGGTGGAAATGAATGTTCTGCCAGGCCTTTTCCTTGCGGTAGGTTGTGAACGAGACAGAACCTCGTTGGTAGGCATACCGCCGCCTGGAAGCTAGATGGAGCTCTCCGAGCCCGGGAGAGCCCGACCGATGATACTAACCACTCCGCCGATGCCGGTCACGCTCACGTGCGGCTCTCATGCTCCGAGCGGATCCATTCCTGCACTGCCTCTTCCTTTACGAGTCACAGGATCCCGGAAGCACAACAATATTTATCCCATTGACCCCGGTATCACGCCAAACTCACCGTTGATATTATAAGAACGTTGCCCGACATCAATCCCGGGCATTATTCAAGGTCCAACCTCAATCTCGAAATGATCAAATCTTGAGATGTGAGAGCCTCTTCCCTTCCCTTGTCCGTATGAAAACACGCACTGCACAAGACACGTACACGCATACACAAACCCCTGACCGTCCGACCGCCCCTATCATGGAACCTCCCAGGCCATGAACGCGTCTCCCATGCCCATGGCTTGCTGTCTTTTCGCAGAGCATCCAAGGCCTAATATAGCCCACCCTCCAGGACTTTCTTGCGGAGGTGATTATTCCTCTCAACCCAGAGGCTGTTCGAAACCAAAACTTAGAGAAAGATGGCAAAATAATACGTTCAAGCGAATGACAAAGAGGGAGCACAAAAAAAGTGGATATGAATTGAGTAAAACCGTAGGCAGAACAAGGGGAAAACAGAAGTGAAGGTAGCCTATTAGTTTAGGGGGGATACATAAAAATCTTGCGATCCACCCAACTTGTATGTTTCTTTTTGTCGTTTGCAGTCTATTCTGATTTGGGTGACGACGATTTGTTGGCCGCACTCTGTCTTATCCTCTCGTACTTCTTGCTGACGTCACCCTCGTATCTTGTGCCGAGCCAGCGGTCCCAGATGGTGAAAAACGGCTGTGAAAAGTTGGTTTTGATGCCCCAACTTTGATGGTGGATGTCGTGGTATGCGGCGTTGTTGCTTGTGATCTTTTGGAGAGGGTCCCAGGGCAGGTTGTAGCCGCAGTGATCGTCGACCGTCTTGACGGTGCTGAAGAGGAAGTACCACATGCCCATCCTTGGTGACATCAGGGAGAGCTTATACGCCAGCCCAGCCCCGGCAGTATCCAGGACGAACCCCTCCACAGGGTGGTTGTAGAGCGCCCCATACGCGTAAGGCACATACAGCCTATGGTGCCGGGCATGCCAGTGTGCTGTAAAGCAAGGTCTGTCAGCAGCCTGATCTCACAAGACGGGCTCGACGGGAAGATGAGGAGATGGAAAAACTTACTATACATCCACTTGTTGACGTGCATGGCACGGTGCCAGAAGTATTGCCAGGTATCGAGGAACGCGACAGCAAACCAGAACTGGAACGCGGGGATCAGGACCCAGTAGATGAGCTTCGCCAGCGCCAGCTCCCACGTCGCAAACGCGGGAACCTGAGGCCCGCCCGAGACGCCGCCGAGCTCCATTGTGAGAGAAGGATAGCGACCGCCGGCAAAGACGCCGGAAAGCAGGGGATGTGTGGAAGCCATGCTCTTCGATATGGCGGCGGCGTTGAGACCGACGAAGCCGAGGATGGTGGGGAATGCGCGCTGCGCCAGGCGGATGCGCGTCGCCCACACCGCCACGTCATAGCTCTCCTTGCCCACGAGCTGGACCTGGTCGGTCATGGAGAGGAAGGCGGCCGTGGCGGTTTGAATCGCCTGCTCGACGAGAACGTCGCGGGCGACCTCGAAGCGTGTCGCATGGTTGCGCTGCGTGATCTCTTCGGGCGTGTGTAACCGGTACTGCGGGAAGAGGTCGTAGACATCGATCATGTGGAAGATGAACGAGAGCACCCAGTAGGCGATATGAGGGAGGACAATGGACAGCCAAAAGTCGGACACGAACGGGAGGAGGTCCGGCAGCGGCGAGACCGTATAGTTGGGGAGCGGGGGAAGGTCCGGCATTGCCGTGGTCGAGTTCGCCATCGTGGCGGTGATGTCGACCATCGGCGGGTGGTCCGGGCAGCGGGAAACCTTGGTGTCACGTCCGAGGAAAGGGTGTAGTGACAAGGGCGACAGAAAAAAGAATTGGATAGAGGCCGTAGAGGCTGAGAGGCACGTAGAATGCTCGAGATGTGGATTGACGGGGTTGTTTTAGCACGATGAAAAGCACAAAAGGAAGAAGGGAAAGGCGGGTTGGTAGTGAAGGTTAAAAGAAAGGTTAGGATAGATCGAGGCCCAGAGTGGTCACGAACTACTGCCAAAAGTTGCCTCCCTCCTATTTCCGGACAGTCAGCATACCAAATTTGGGACGGTCTGAGCACTGGCCTGGGACCACGTCAATTTCGCATGCACAGTATGGCTTGCGAAAATCGTCCGGCACCGGCACTTTTTTGCACCCAAGTCATGCCACCGCAATGAGCTCCGGGGTTCTCGGATTTTAGAGAGGCGAACGGCTTGTTTTTTTTGTTTTTTTTTGAGCAGTGGAATCCAATTGTTGCAATCCATCACCTAATGATTGACTTCAATCATCCGTGCTTGGGTCTCGAAGAGGGTGGCCCGACGTGCCGACGCGTGTCGCGATGGACAAACCATCACCACACCTCGGCCAGGCTCCCCACAATAACTGTGTTGTTGCCGCAGTGTGGGAAGATCGCGCCGCGACCTTGATAACTGTACCTCATATCTCACGCACCCCTCACGCTATCAGATAATCCTACGAGCCCAAGAACTAGCTAGCCTGGAGCAAGCCGTAATTCGGGAACAAGAAACAAAGACAAAAGCCAATCCTTGCTTGAAAGCCGGCTTCTGTGCTGAATGATACCTATGTAGTCACAAAAGTAACTCAACAACTTCCATTGCTCTCCAATGCCCAGTCTGCCCAGACCATCGAGGCGCTCACGATGCAACACCTTGGAATGCATGTGCTAGACGGCTCCCTGCCCAACCGCATAATTCACAGCCTCAGGCAAAAAGCGCCACATCGCCACATCGTCTCCTCCCCGCGCTGCTGCAAGCCATCAGCCGAGCCTGGATAGCCCCGCGTCCAAAGAGATTTCCCCACTTTGTTTTTTTCTTCCTGTAGCGAATGGACTTTTTAACTGCCCCTCCGTCTTCTTTCAGTCGGACGCACCACTGATACAAACCTCGACAGCCTCCCGCCTTGCAAGCCCAGCCAGTTGATCCAGAGACATCTGAGACCGCCCGTCCATTCCCCCATCCAACACCAGCCAAAATGATTATCTACAAGGTATGCGCAGCACACGCTTCCGCGGTCGTAGCACACGCGCCGATCCGTCGTGGCCCAGCAGGCTAACATGCGCCAACCCCGCAATCGCCCGTGTAGGACATCATCTCCGACGACGAGTTGATCTCGGACTCGTTCGACACCAAGCTGGTCGACGACATTGTCTACGAGGCCGACTGTGCCATGATCACGCTGAATGCCGTCCAAGTCGGTCCGTAGTCCCTCCCCCTCGCTCCCCTCCTCGACCCCGCCCGGCGCAACCTCGAACCGTCCAGTCTCGGCCCTCTCTTCCACTCCCCACAGCCTGTACGTGCCAAAGCTGACCGGGATCGCCTCTTCTCGGAATAACAGACACTGGCGCCAACGCCTCCGCTGAGGAGGCCGACGAGGCTCTCGATGACGGCCCGACCAAGGTCAACAACGTCATCCACTCTTTCCGTCTCCAGAGCACCAGCTTCGACAAGAAGTCATATCTGACTTACCTTAAGGGTAAGACGCACCGCGCGCTTGTGCCAACTCACACCTTTCCCCAAACCCTCCTCTGCCGCTGTTGGCGCTGGCTTTTTCTGACGTTCCCCGGATCGAACCACAGGCTACCTTAAGACTGTCAAGGAGAAGCTCAAGGAGCAGGGCAAGTCCGACGACGAGATCAAGGCTTTCGAGACGGGCGCCCAGAAGTGGGTCAAGGAGAAGCTTCTCCCCGGCTTCAAGGACTTCGAGTTCTACACTGGCGAGGGCATGAACCCCGACGCAATGTGAGTTTCCCTAAGCCGTCCATGTCGATTTCCCCTATCTAACCAACTATATTGATAGGGTTGCTCTCCTGAACTACCGGGAGGACGGTGTTACCCCTTACTTTACATTCTGGAAGCACGGCCTGTCAGAGATGAAGGTTTAAACACCTGCATCTTTTACGTACTATCGACAAGAATCGAGATTTTTATTTTTGACGATTTGAGCCGCCGGTCCATATAAAGGTCATCCATCTTTCTTGTAATGCATGCTTGGGCATTTGTCTTGCAAGCTATGAATAGGCCGCGGTCCTAATCCAAAAAAAAGACCAAAAAAAAAAAAAGAAGAAACGAGCACAAGCAGCATGCCCTGGTCCCAATTCAATTTGATTAAGGGTATTGTTCCGGGGTTCTACACCGGTCAAGAAAACCAACTAACCAGGTGGTGTTTCGTTTGTGATACGGCAGTAGGGAATGCCGTTGTAAGTATCTGGATCCGGTCAATGGCATATCGTAGAAAAAATGAACGTCATGCCGTACCCGTATGTATTCACAAAACCGATACAAATCGGCTTGAGACGGGTCTCGTGCGAGGCCATGGATGCCGCTCGGGTACCGGCGCTAAAATATAGGCCTGGTTGCGTGAGGAATTGGTGGCGGCTCGTCGTCGGCCACGGTGGCGCTGGTGGCGCCTCGGTTGATGTCGGGCTTTCTCTTGGGCGGCGGAGGAGGCGGCGGCCTCTTCTTTGCGAGAGCGCCCGCGGCAAGTGCACCTGCAGACGCCAGGCTTCTCAGTCCTGGCTGTGCCTCGCCCTGTTGGGACCCTGCTGGGGTAGAGTTGGCCGTAGTCGGCGACGTCGCGGCGCCCTGATGTTGCTGCGAGTATGCGGCGACCTTGTCGGTGACGCCGTACTTTTGGTTCAGTCCATTCGCGGCTTTCGCGCTGGCGGCGACCTGATCGCCATGGCGCTGCCGAAAGTTGTTCATGGTCGAGGCGGTCGCGCGGGCGTCAGACAGCGAGACGGATTTGGGGTCCTTGTGGAAGTCGGCCGCCGTCTTCAGCGCGGCCTGCTTCTGCGCAAACGTGGTTCCCTCGCTCGGGGGAGGTCGGGGCTGTGTGGGGTTGGCGGGAGATGGAGACGACGATGTGCCCAGTTTCGCAAAGCGAGCCTGCAACCCGCCGAGTTGAGAAGGGCTGGAGGAGGCGGAGGAGTCCTGCGGCGAGGAGGTCCTGGAGCCGGACCCGATACCCAGCCCTGGCACAGAGATGCCAGCAGCGCCGAGCCGGCCAATGGCGCCCTGGTTCAGCACGGATGGACTCTGGCTCAGCGGGATCGGGGGCGGTGCCGAAAGGGTGGATGGGGAAACTCCGGGGGACGAAGCGCCCGAGGCAGGTCGAGGAGGCAATCTCGGCGGCAGCCTTGGTGGCCCGGAGCCTGCCGCGGGCAAGGGCGGTGGACTAATGGACGCCCCGGATCCTCCAGCTGCACCTCCACTGTAGCCACTGCTAGACCTCGCGGGGATCGGGGGCGGCTGGGGCTGGGCTGAGGACGTGGTCGGCCGGGACAGAGGCGGCGGCGGCGGCGGTGCGATGGACCGCTTCGGGGGCGGGGCGAAGGACGAGGGGTCTTTCAGTTGCGAAAGCGGCGTGACATTGTGGGAAGTCGACCGTTGGCTGGAGTCGCCGCCTCTGCTAAACACACCGCTCTGTTGTCGGAGTCAGCTAGAAGGATCTGGCTTGGTGAAATGGTAACTTGTCTTAGGGGCGCGGGATCTATGGGAAACAGAGAGGTGATATCTCGTAGCGAGGAGTGTAAGATGCCTCCAACAAAGACCATGTGCATATGAGGGAACGAACCACTTGTTGCTTCAGGGTCGTGCCCTTGTCGGGATGCCATCCGTTTTTGAAGACATCCTTGATGTCAGACATGGTTGCTCGGTGCGTGTCTGGGTGTGTTTGGCGATAGCGTGTGGCCCCTGGGGCAGTATCAGTCAATACATGTAAGGCCGTATCGTGGTTTTCGTGGAAAGAAGACACCGAGGCGGTATCGAAGGCAGTCCAAGTTCGTGCCGGTCTCCCCCAGTCTCGGGTAGGCCTGAACTTGGACCCAAACCCCCGTTGTGTTGCTTTGGTTTAGGTTGGGGTGTGCGCATGACGCACGATGGTCGGCCGGGAGGCTGTCAAAGGGGTCGTGTGGCGGCAGCTGTGGCTGGACTGGCCGCTCTCTTGGATTGTTCAAGCTTCGGTTGGCGCTACACACAGTGAAGGCGTCGAATGCGGACACTGTCGACAGAGCGTACCTATCGGGCACGGGCGGCCGCTGCCCCACTCGCGGGTGCTCTACCGAGTGGGAGGGCAAGTCGCGCCTCGCGAAACCAATCGAGTGTCGTCACGCGTTTGCGCCGGCTCCAAGCACCGAGCAACCAACCAACTAACTCGGCCCTGTACTGGACTCTGGACACAACGCAAATGTCGGCCTCCATCAGCTCAGAAACTCAGCTCTTGGCCGAGCATTTTGGGTATCCCCCAGTTGTGCGTCATGTCTGCCCGCATCGGACAGCGGAGTGAGAGCGGGGAGGGCTCGGACGCGACGCATCCTAACTAACCACCCAGCGCATGCCCCCCTACAGAGCCTCCTCGATGATATAATCAACAGTATCAACATCCTGGCCGAGCAGGCCCTGAACGGCGTCGAGAAGGCCCTGCTCGGCACCAAGCCCGCCAGCCTGGGCTTCCGCGACCAACAGCCACCACCGCCGGCAAAGTCGAAGCGCGCCCCGCTGCCGCCGCCGCCTGCCGCCACCGCCGAGGAGGCGCACCGGCACGAGATCGAGAATGGCACCCACCAACTCGAGACACTGCTATGCGCCAGCATCGACCGCAACTTTGACATCTTCGAGCTCTATGTCATGCGCAACATCCTCACTGTGCGCCCCGACCATCGCGACTGGATCAGGCTCTCGCATTACGAGGGCCTAGACTTCGCCGCCGCCGCTAGGAGTAGGAAAGGCGCTGTGGGCGGGACTGGTCCGACTAGCGCCGAGGGGGCATCAGCAGTTGCGGATGAGCAGGGAGGGGGCAGCGGGCCGCCACCGGCCGCGGCTGCGGATGAGAACGGCTCATCCGAAGACGTCGTCATGTCCGGTGAGGCCACAGACCACGACACACCCAGTATCGCGTCAGTGGCTCGCCTGCGCCGACGGCTGCAAGCAAGCCAAAAGCTGAACGTGATGCTGCATGCCGAGCGGGCGCGCAACGCGGCGCTGCTGGATGAGCTGCGCACATTCCTGCACGGTAGCGGTGGCGCCGACGGGGGCAGCGCAACAGCAGGAGGTGCGGCGACGGCGGTCAAGAGCGAAGGCGGCGCGGCGGGACAGGACGGGGCAGCTGCCGCGCCCTCGCTCGCCTTCCTCCGCAACAAGGGCGAGCTGACAGTTAGCGACGCCGAGACGCCCTTGACGACCACGACCGCCTTCACCCTCTCGCAACTGCAAGCCCTCCGTGCATTGTCGACGTCGCTGCGCACCATGATGCCCGACCTCGTCCAGCACAAGCAGGGAAGTACAGGAGGTGGCAGCAGCGACGACGCCGCTGCGGCGCGTGCTGCCGGGAGGAGAGCTTGGAGGACGGAGCGGCTAGAGTACGTCGAGGGCGCCGCCCGGAAACACCTCGAAAACGTCCGGGGGCTGCACCTGGGGCCGGGCGGCGAGGTCCGCGACGGCGAGTGGCAGGGCGAGGGCAGGAGTCTCGCCAGGGGTGAGGTCGAGGGCCTCGAAACGGTGGTTGCTGCTATCGGGGGCAACAACGGCCCCACGCAGGCGCAGAAACCGGCAAGAGATGACGACGAAATGGACGAATCCTGAGATCACTTCCCGTCCTTCACCAGTGGTAGGCAGTACCTATTTTGGGAGCGACCGCAGTTTGCGTCTGCCCATCGAGGGGCATCTTGAGGGAGCGAGTCTCGTCTAATTCATGTCGATTCTGGCTAGCTTACATCAAGCTCGTTCGCAAACAAGGGTCTCAAGACAGATCACCGGGGGTCACTGCCATGCAGGCCGCACTCGGTGGCGAATTCAAAGAAGCTGTGATTCATGAACCTCCCTTTCAGTTCCGAGTCTTCCGCAAGAGCCAGGCGCTCACCCTTGACCCGTTTGACCAGGGCGTCTGCCTCTGGCACGCGGCGCTCCCTTACGAGTGCTATCAAAAGTCTCTCAAGGACCGTCAATGTGAAGGATGTCGTGGTGCGCATGTTGGACAGCACACCGAGCGCGCCGTCCACGTCGTCCACGCCCAGGTAGCCGTTCATGACACGCTCCCAGAAGATGTGGTCAATGGCTGGATTGTTGAACAGCCGGTGGTTATCGATCAGCGACCGGACACGGTCTACGTCGGGCGGGTCTCGTGAGAGATAGTGCTGGGCCAAGATGGTGTATGCGAAAGCGTTTGGTTTTTGTGTCAGGGCGAGGATGTGCTTGGCGATATGGCTGACCACCTGATCCGCGTTTCTGCCCCCCGACTTCAGAATTAGAAACAGCAGTTTGTTGTACGCGTATTGGTTCTTGGCTGTGCTGAACTTGTCAATGAGTTTGAAAATTGACTGAACCACTTTCATCTTCTCTTCATCCCCCTCCTTGCCGAAGATAGTGGGGACTAGGGTCTCGAGGACAATGGTGACCGTCACGTCATCTGGCTGTACGCCCTGCTCTCCCATCATTTTTAACACGGCCTCCGCGCCCTCTGGCCCCTCGCGGATCAGCGTCTGCAGCAGCGTGTTGTATGTGGCGACGTTGGGTGTGATGTCGTGTCTTTGCGCCCACACTAGCAGCTTCTTGGCCGCGGCTATACCGTCGAGCCGAAGTAGACCGGCCAGGGCCGCATTGACGGGCTCGATGGACGGCTTGACGGCCATATGTGCCGCGTTGTTCTTGCGGCCGGCCTCGGCGGCCTTCGAGCGCACCGCCATCTCCTCCAGCGCCCGCAGGCCGTCTTCGGGTTTTCCACAGTGGGTCAGGCCGTCGACGCGAGCGGTCCAAGCACGCACATCCAGCTGGTGGCCCGTGGCCACCAGCTTGTTCCACGTGTTCTGCACCCCCCTCAAGTTACGAGCGCGCTTGAAGCCGTCCATCATGGCCGTAAATGCCCTGACGTCGGGTTTGATGCCGATCGATGTCATGGCGTTCCAAACCTGGACAGAGCGTTGCGGGAGGCCTTGGGCAGTGTACATCATGATGAATTGATGGAAGATTGGTGCATTCTCCTTGAGAAATGAACATGCTTCCTTGTTTGGCTGCGCCTTTTCACCCCAGAAATCGTACCAGATGGCCTCGATGGCGGCCACATCCTTCATGCGATGGGCATTCTGTAGCTCACGGTTTATGATCGGCACCGGTTTCCTGTTTGCGCCGGAGAGGTCCACTTTGTTGAACCAGGTGTCCCCCTCAGGTCCGTATCTTGACTTGGGTGTCCCGGTGAGCTGATCGATGACTGTAGGCCATCGCCGGATCAGGTAATCGGCCAACTCGTCAGGGATGTCGGTGAGGTTTTTTAGCATCGCTTTTTCTCCGTCCTTAGATACTAGTCTGGCAGTGACGCGCGCCAATATGCTGCCAATGGGTGCGAGCAGCGGGGTCGCCGCTGCGCGGATGTTGAAGGGGCAAATTGTCATGTCATTGATGACAGTAAATGTGGCTATTAAGAGGGGAATAGCCGGAGCGATTTCTGCGGGAGACAGGACGGGAAAAAGGTCGCTGAGTGCCAAACGTAGCGCTTCCCTGGGCTCGTTGTTCGAAAGGGCTTTATGTGAGAGGGCCGGCACAGCAAACTTGACCTTATCGACATCCCCCAGATGGGGCAGCGGAGCAAGAAGCTCCTCAGGGAGTGAGAATAGCTTCCATGAATCGACCAGAGACTCGAGCGCGAAGTTCCGCCTCCCAAGGGCTAACTCGTAACCCTCGAGCGTGTCGCAGCGATTCGGGTCGATGGAGCATACAAACACGAGCACACCACGGACGGCAATGATCCAGTGTTTCAAGCTCAGCATCTTCAGCTTCCGCGCCACCTGCGTGTATTCGGTGAGTGATGGAAGTTCGCGGTCCGAAGGGTCCTGTGCTACGGCCGTAGAGACCATTTGTAGCAGGTGGTTGATTTGGGCCTTGAAAAGCTCCGGCATGGCACCAGAGTCGCAGAGGCGCGGGTATATGGAGTTCCTGAATTGGCGATATTGGTGGGCGAGGGGGACATCGGGCATGTTGAGGGCATGGCTCATTTCGACCAGTTCGTCAAAGGTTCTTAGGCCGAGATCGGTTGCAACCCCTGACGGCCCGTCGGGTTGGTTACTTTTCCCCCGAACAACGCTCTCGAATATGGCTAAGGAGGCGGTAGACCGGTCGGAGGAAGGTCGGCCTGGGGCCGCTGTTGAGGCACCCGGTAGCGGCAGCGAGCGGCTTGTTCTTGCGCCGTCATTTTTATCTGCGGCCACCGGGGTCGTTGATTCGCCGCTGGCAACTGACGAGATCAAGGCAGTCGCCGCAGTCGCTCTCGCGCGGGGCCAGGGGACGAGCAAAGGCCGTCTCCCAGCGGCGATGGAGCGACAGAGCAGGCACACGGCGCGCGGCTCTCTCATCGCCAGTGCTTTGGTCGCGCAACCATGGGGATCGAGAAAGGGAAGGTGGCGAGGTGGGGTTCTATGATTGACTGGGTGCCTTTCGAAATCTGGGCGCGGTCGCGGTTGGGAGCTTTGGCGTTGAGCAAGAGCCGAAGGAGCAGCAGCGTCGATATCGAACCCGCTCGAAATTTACCAATCCAAACTCGATGCCAATCAATCCCTGCCAATGCCATTCCCATCCACTAAATCTTGTGCGATCAAGCCGAGGGGCAGAAGCTGCTGCCCCGGCCCGACGCATGACTCGGGGAACCCATGCGTGTAAGACATCTCACCGACGCAATGAATCAAGCCCCGGTTGTGCGGTTGGCTACGACCTACGCCATCCTACTCGAAAGTGACAGAAGAGCATTGCTTGCATCCGGCCAGGTTCTGCCTCTAAAACAACGACACTATCGGCTGCAATGCTGTACCATCTATCCGACGGCTATACCTACCTGCCTAATGCTAGGCAAACTAGGCCAGCTTCCATCGCCACAAGATGTTAAAAGAGGTCATGTCTTCTCTCGCCCTCGCCTACTCGCTCGCCTGCCTGGGTGAGCGAGTCGAAAGATGGAGGGCTGTAAATAGGAAAGGATGCAGTCATGATGCATCATGCTATCACGTTGACATGCTGGCATCAATCTAGCACAGTCACGACCAATAATGGACGAGCTGGGTGCAGCCACGCAACAGCAGCGGGCAAGTGCGGCTGCAAGTGAAAAGAAGCCGGCGGAGCTTCCGTTTTCCAAACGCCGCCACATGTCGTCTTTCGTTGCTCCGCCCACATCCTTGCTCCGCTCCGCACTTTTGGGTCTGACCTCCAGCTGGCGCTTTTCTTGCTGGGAAACCGAAATCAAATGGATTCGTGCCACACCCGCAGCCTGCCTCGGTTCTCTCCACGCCGTTAACCTGCCTAGCCTACCTTACCTAGGTATCTGTCTACAAACCTACCCACCCCCTGCCTAGTACCGCAGAATTAATCGTAATAGCGCCACATTCTGTTAACCCTAAACCATCTTTCTCTGGCACCTCTCTCGCTGGGTTATATCACGCCGTGCTCCTGGGTCCTTCATCCAACCTTGTCCTGCAAGTCTCAGCAAGACGAAAACTTGGACGCCCGCATTTCTGTCCCGGCACATCAGACCGCCAGAAGCCATGACTGCACTACAACCAAAACCCCCATACACCGACGAGGAGCTTCGCCGGCTCTACCCAGCCGGCCTTGAACTCCAGCAGGTTCAGGTTCTGATGCGGCACGGTGAGCGGACCCCGGTCTCGGCCCGCTTTCAGAATGCCGGCCTGCCGCCTTTCTGGCCTTACTGCTCTATTGCTCGCCAGCTGAAATCGGCTGTGCTCCAAGGAGCAGACGCCGGCGAGACTCCATTCTCGACCCTGGAGTGGAAGCGCCGACTGGAAACCTTTGGGCCCCGTGATCAGCCGAAGCTCGCTGCCGGCCCCAGAGGCCAGGTCGACAACATCTGCGACATGGGCGCTCTCACCGACGTTGGCAGGGCCTCTACTCACCAGCTCGGCCGCCGCCTCAGGTCTTTGTATGTTGATCGTCTTGGTTTCCTGCCGCCCGATATACGGGGCTCCGCCCAAATGTTGTATCTGCGGACAACGCCAGTACCGCGCGCACTGGAATCGATGCAAGAGGCCTTCTCGGCCCTCTACCCGCCGTCTACGAGGCTTCCGGGTCCCGACGGCGCCCCTTTCGAGCCGCCCACCATTCTCTCTCGTACCCACAGCGATGAGACGTTATTCCCCAACGACGGCAACTGCCGTCGCCTGGCCACGCTCTCCCGCGCCTTTGCCCAGCGCACCGCCGACCGCTGGAACATGTCCGAGGACATGGAGTATCTCAACCGCGTTTACGCCAAGTGGATGCCCGAGGACAGCCCCCGCGTCGCCGTCGATTCGCGGCCCCGCCTGTCGGGCATCATGGACACGGTCAACTCGACGCTCGCTCACGGCCCGGATACAAGGCTGCCCCGCGAGTTTTACGACCAGAAGGCCCGCGACATTATGGAGCGCATCGGCGTTGAGGAGTGGTTCAGCGGATATAAGGAGTCCCGCGAGTACCGCGCTCTGGGCGTCGGCAGCCTGATGGGTGACATTGTCGGCCGCATGGTCGGCAGCGCCGAGGGCACCCCGAACATCACCGCCCACCCGATATCTCCGCCCGCCAAGTTCGGCCTGAGCGGCTGCCACGACACCACCCTGGCTGGTGCCCTCGCGAGTCTGGGCGCCTACGAAACGGACAAGTGGCCTCCCTTCACGAGCCACGTCGCGTTTGAGCTGTTCCGTGCTGCGGACCGCGCGCCCCCTCCGTCACCCGACCTCTCGACCCAGTCCAGGTGGTGGAGTTCGCTATGGAGCAACGGCTCGCCCATGTCGGCCGGCATTAGGCGCAAGCCGATCGACGAGCTTTCCCAATCTGACAAGGAGAAGCTGCGAGGATATTACGTCCGGGTGCGCTATAATGACAGACCTGTCACCGTGCCCGGGTGTCACGCGGTGGGTAAACACCTTGAGGGAGACGAAAGCTTTTGTACCTTGGTGAGTATTTCGGCCCAGGATACCCACCCCAACAGACATAATCACATTCAAGGTGCTTCTTGCTAATCCTTTTTTATTCTTCTTCAAACAGGAAGCATTCAAGACCATCGTGGACAAGTTCACGCCTCGGGATTGGAAAGAGGATTGCCGGAAGAGTGTCAAGTCTTCACCATTCCCGGAAAAGCCAGAGCCGGCGGGCTACTAGATGCCTATCCAAGCTGCATTGTCACTGTTTTCGTAATCTGACCGATGATGCCAACAAGCGCTACTCGACGACATGTCTCCAGCTGCCAATCAGACTTCAATCAACAGTCATAGCGAGCCGCCTCTTTTTGGAAATGGCACTACTTTGGGTCAAATTCCCCTAATAATGAACTTCCGAGTTTAATTGGTAATGTGTTGGGCGTGTACACTGTTGGATCTGGATCTAAAGAGGCCAAAAGGAGTTGTCTTGTGCTGTCAAATATCACATATAATAGATCGAAGATTGGTCATGGAGTAGACCAGACTCTGCGACACTAATCACACCAAGCCTGCAGAGAGCGTTGCGGCCTGAACTGGCATGGCTTGTTATCCGTCTTCTCCGGCTATGCATCCTTCGCGATCCTCCACTTCCCGTCTGCATGCTTTCTGACCACGAACCGCGTTGTACCCTCACTATCAGCATTTTGAATCTCGCCAAAGCTGACGTTGTCCTCCGGCTTGATCGGGTCTTCCAGCCATGACGTCGAGATATCGGAGAGCTCGTGGTCAGACCGCACCAGATCCGTGTAGGAGGATGTGGATGGCGACGACCCGGCCCTGGGCTTGTTTCTGCCACGAGCTCCCTTGGATCCACGCAGGTATGGGTTAATGCTCTCAGATTCGCCCCCGCCGTGGACGAGCCTCCGGCACCGCGTCCATACCCAAAGGACAAAGACGCGCGCGGCCGGGAGACAGGCGCAGACCATGCCCGACACCGTCTCGAGCTCCGTCCACATGGCGGCGCTGTAGTAGCTGTAGCCGGCGCCCAGGCCCCTTGCCGCCCGCCCCCTGCCGAGCCCGTCCAGCGAGACCAGGCGGCCGAGGTTGATCAGGGCCGCCGTGCCGCCGAGGCAGACCATCAAGGCAACCCCCAGCTTTCTCCCGAGCGAGGGCCGCATCCTGGGCAGCTGAGAGAGCGGAAGGAAGATCAGCCACGTGTCCAGCACGGTGCTGACGGCGGCCGTGACGGTGAAGACGGTCAGCGGGTCGAGGGCACACGTCCCCGGGCTGTCGGCCTCCCACTTGGTCCAGGCGTAGGACACGGGTTGGCACTGCCCGAGGTACACCCCGGCCAGCGCGACGCCGGCCATGGTGTTGGTGACGTGGGTGCCGAGGAGGAGGGCCCGAAACGTCACGCCCATGAACGAGCCCCCGTCCGGCGTCGTCGTGACTCCGAAGACGCGCATGAAGAAGAAGATGAACGAGGCCCTGATGAGGGTCGCCTGGAGGAAGTACAGCAGCATCAGGAGGATGGTCTCCCAGAAGAAGAAGCTGCCGAGGTCGCTCTCCCCGAGGGACCACATGTCCTGGCCGAACAGCGGCGCCATGGCGACGACGTCCACGGCGGCCCCGACCCCGAGGGCGAGCAGGCTGAGGAAGATGCAGAGATCGTCCCACCACAGGGCGCCCATGCGGGGGGAGCGGCAGAGGCTCGTCGAGGGGCTCACGCATGTCTTTACCCAGAGCCTCATGAAAACGAAAATCGTAGAGATGGCGAGTCCGGCCCAGATCACATCGGTGTATAGCTTTTGGCTGTTGCTGTATAGCGGCCTGGGGCAGACGGCGCCCAACACGACTCTAAGTGCTGCAGTTTGAGAGCGAGAGCAATTAGCCGCCGCACATGATGTCCCAAAGACTGAGATTAGGTGGTCCGGGGTAACATGCCGAGTTGGTCTCTGGGCTTGCATGCCTTCATGGCACAGCTTTGGATGTAGTTTGTAAATCCATCCTGGCAGTAGCAGGTAATATTTGATGCTCGGCATTGAGAGGCCTCTATTCCTCGCGAAGCACAAAGAATCTATCTGAGAGCGTTAACTTTTGGGGAGATTACCAGCAGCATCGTAGGTGCTCAATTCATGTCCGCGTCTAGAACTTGAGAGTTTTATCATGAAATATGTGGGTGGGGGACATGACATACAACACAGGATGGTATCTGAGAAATGGCCTTTGTTGATAAGCCGCCATCAAGCTGTGGTGTGGCCATGACGACGTCGAGCAGCAGTATGATTGAGTAGCAGGGCGGAACGTCATCTATATCGGGTAATGGTGAGTTTGCGACACGGGCGTGATCAATTCGTCTTCTCGTCGCGGCCGTCCTTGTTGGTTGGCTTTGTTGGGAACATGGAGAGGAGATCTTCCCTCGGCGGCCGTCAGGGAAAGTATGAAGGGAGGTGGTTCGAGTAGAGTAGAGTGCTGGCTGCCAGCTACGGCAGCAGCAAGCCCCCTTTTGACGCTGCGTAGGGATGTATTATAAAATAGACTAGACGGGAAGTGAATTAGGGGAAGGCCTGTTGACTAGGATCTGCTAGCAGCCACCAGGGCGCCTTGGTTCACGCTGTCGACGGCTACTGCTTGCCGGCGGGACGCGGACACCGAGAAGTAGACTATCTGTATTTCTGCGGCCAGTTTAGGTTCACAACATGGACCAGGAGAGGCACGCCACGCGAAAGCCTGATCGACGCCACTTTCTGTAGAGAAGGGCGCCAAGCCACTTTGCCTTGGATGCAATTGTTGATTGCCACATACGATCGAGAATCGTCCATGCCAAAGTGCCATCTCACCTATCTCTAGTGAGGTCTGTTACTTTGAGCTAACTATGTTGACCTGGTTCGGCGGCGCCTCTTATTGTGTTGCCAGACTATCAGCCCTCCTGGAGCGCAGATAGAGGGGGCGGCCTCTCAGGGGTGTGTACTTTTGTGGGAAGGAGCCGCTACAAGATCACAGGATGGCTTGTTTCCCCTCACGACTGCTCAGCTTGTTGTGCCGTTCTCGTCTCCTTCTCAGCGGCGGTTGCCGCCTTGCTCCGTTTCTTTTTGGCACGTCGGACTTGGATCTCAACTTGACCCATCTTAGCGTCGACTGATGCTATCCTGGGTAGAAGATCCTCCACAATCTCGATAGCTTGGCCCTGGGCTAGTCGCAGAGAGGTTGGCGTGAAGAGGCCGAACCAACGAAGGGGGTCCTTCCGTGTTGTGGGGCTTGCTTTGGCAGTCGCCTCATTGGTGCCCGCCACGCCATCGTGGCTCTGCTGGTTTGCCTCCGCCATGGGCTCGGGCGAGCCGGGCTCCTTCCCGCCTTTGTCGTTATCGCTGTCCTGAGAGCCAACCGGCGGTTCGGACTCCTCTGTCGAGCAAACGGCGAAAGAGACATGTTGGCCGCCACTCTCGTGTCCAGCGGATGGCTTTACCTGAATGCTCAGGCGTCGGCTTGCTTGCATTCGCTCGTCGAAACAGTCTGGTCCATACCTCATACCCCGCTCGGCGGCGAAGTTGGCGCGGGCAATGTTCTGGTACATGCCGCTCTGGACAGCGCCCAGGGAAGCACGGAGTTCGGTGTACTCATCCAGCAGACCGAGATACCTTTCCAGGAGGGCGTCGATTTCGGCATCCATCCGTGGATTTGTTGGTAGGTGGGTAATATTGATAGATTGACGGGTTTGCTAATCCTTGTAGTTGTCTTTTCAAGTATTGCTGGGATCAAACAGAGATGTTGGCTTAGGCTCCAGTCCGTGGTTCTGTTCACGGCGTGGTGGCAAGCATCGTCATTTGAAGCGACGTAACCTCAACAGTAACTTCCAGCTGTGCTGCCTCTGCCGCCAGGCTAAGGCCTGGAAACCAATAGACGGCACGGCCAATGCCTGCCAGCGTAGCAGCAGGCACGCTCGGGTGCCATTTCCGCTGCTAGCGGGGCAGCGTCGCGGCTCTCAGGCTTGGCGTTGTGCTTGGTGGCCTGCAGTGGCGACCCCACGCCTCACTCCTTAGCTCGAATACCCCACCAAACAGGTTTTTGGTGAGGCGGACGAACAAGAGATTGAGCTCAATCGCGCAAGAGCTGCAGCTCCCATGCATCAAGCTCCGACCCCTCCAGAGAAAATCACCCCACCAGAAACGGGCAACCCGGACAAGGGTCTGGACTGATACAACAACGTGCATTCTCTTGGAAGCCGCCGTCTTCCATATTTAACATTCCACGACCGACCCAACTTTTCTCTTGCCTGCTTTCCGTCTGGATCCAGCCCAGAGAATAATCACCAACCTCTCATCCAACCCAGCACATCTTCACAGGTATGTTCGAGAACGCCCTCTCCACGTCCCCTCCTCTCACCCCTCCTCCATCTCTCCTGGTATGACACAACCCTGGGAAACCCACCGCCAAAAGACCCCTCCCATCTCTCCATGGATGATGCAACATCCTCATAGTTTGTCCCCGCCTCAATCCTGACAAACGCCGCGCGACTCTCTTTCCTTTCTTTTCTTTCCCCCCACCCAAGCGTCTTTGGGCGTTTGAGGGATATATCGCGGGTCGGATTCACCGTGCTACCTGGATGAGCAATTTTATTTGGCAACCATGATGGCAGTCATTCTTTTGCTCCACGAGGCATTTCGCTCGGTTTGCCGGGTGGCCGGTGTGCCTGCCCGCATATAACCTCGACGCCCATCGCTCCTTCTGTTTCGCTCCAAAACTATGACTCTCCCATAACCCAAACCTGGCCTGCCGCCTTCGATACCCAGCCTCCCTCACCAGGACAACTCTACCTTTCCATTCTATCCATTTCACCACTAGTCTCAGCGACTAACAGTATCCCTGAAAGACTCGAAGCAGCACACAATGCCTATCAACAAGGTCCACGCTCGCTACGTCTACGACTCCCGTGGCAACCCCACGGTTGAGGTTGATCTGGTCACCGAGACTGGCCTTCACCGCGCCATCGTCCCGTCTGGTGCCTCAACTGGTGCGCACATATAGCTCGTACCCTGCTATTGTCGACCGCTAGTCATCCTAACTATCCTTCAAACATAGGCCAGCACGAGGCTTGCGAGCTCCGTGACGGTGACAAGACCAAGTGGGGTGGCAAGGGTGTTCTCAAGGCCGTTGAGAATGTGAACACCGTCATTGGCCCGGCCTTGATCAAGGAGGGTTTGGATGTCAAGGACCAGTCCAAGGTCGACGAGTTCCTTATCAAGCTTGATGGAACCCCCAACAAGACCAGCCTGGGCGCCAACGCCATTCTGGGTGTCAGTCTGGCCGTTGCCAAGGCCGGTGCCGCTGAGAAGGTACGTCCGTCACTTTGACATGCGGCCACTCGGCCTGCGCGGCCGGAATTAGCCTGATGTACGTATGCTGATCATACACCACTAGGGCGTTCCTCTATACGCTCACGTCTCCGACCTCGCCGGAACCAAGAAGCCTTATGTCCTGCCGGTTCCCTTCATGAACGTCCTCAATGGAGGGTGAGTTGTCGACAACAATCACTTCCATTCCACCCCTGGTCCCGAAATACAGACGCGCTGACGTCAGATGCCTGTAGTTCCCACGCTGGCGGTCGCCTGGCTTTCCAGGAGTTCATGATCGTCCCCTCGTAAGTCCACGATATTGGTGGTTGGCCTGCTGTTCTTGTTGAACGCCGATGGACTGACCAAGTGAACCAGTGCCGCTCCATCGTTCTCCGAGGCCATGCGCCAGGGTGCCGAGGTGTATCAGCAGCTCAAGAGCCTCGCCAAGAAGAAGTACGGCCAGTCTGCTGGCAACGTCGGTGACGAGGGAGGTGTGGCTCCCGATATCCAGACCGCCGAAGAGGCTCTCGAGCTCATCGCCGAGGCCATCGAGAAGGCTGGCTACACTGGCAAGATGAACATCGCCATGGACGTTGCGTCGAGCGAGTTCTACAAGGTGGACGAGAAGAAGTATGACCTGGACTTCAAGAACCCTGACAGTGACCCGGCCAAGTGGATCACGTACGAGCAGCTGGCCGCCCTTTATGGCGAGCTGGCCAAGAAGTACCCCATCGTCAGCATCGAGGATCCGTTCGCCGAGGATGACTGGGAGGCCTGGAGCTACTTCTACAAGACGCAGGACATCCAGATCGTTGCTGATGATCTGACGGTCACCAACCCCATCCGCATCAAGAAGGCCATCGAGCTCAAGGCGGCCAACGCCCTGCTGCTCAAGGTCAACCAGATCGGCACCCTGACCGAGTCCATCCAGGCCGCCAAGGACTCTTACGCCGACGGCTGGGGCGTCATGGTCTCGCACCGCTCAGGTGAGACCGAGGACGTCACCATCTCGGACGTCGTCGTCGGCATCCGTGCTGGCCAGATCAAGACTGGAGCCCCCGCCCGCTCCGAGCGCCTCGCCAAGCTCAACCAGATCCTCCGCATTGAGGAGGAGCTTGGCTCTAACGCCGTCTACGCTGGCGAGAATTTCCGCAAGGCTGTCAACCTGTAAAGTGCGACTGGTGTGGTGATGAAATCCCGGGTTCATATTTAGGGTTGTAATTGGCTTTGCTCGGCCCCTGGTCGACTCGATGCCATGCGGCGGCCATCTCCCGGCAAAATCTGGGCAGGTCGGTCTCACAACAGGGGGGTCCAAAAAGATAATGGTTTACGGGGAAAAAGAACATGATGTCATACATAGATTCCAATAACGCCCGAGATTCGGTTCAAGTGACCCTGTTTCTGTCAATGTTTTGCGGTCAGTGCCTGGTCGTGAAGCGGTGTGGGCAGGGCTGCAAGTTTGGTGGGCTGGTGCTGTAGATTTGGCATTGCGATGTGTGATTGGCCGTGTGATGTTGCTCCGCAACCGGTATTGATATTTGCGGGGTGGGGCCCCTACGTGTCCACCACGCGAATCCGCAATCGTTCCTCCCCTGTCGGGTCTTCCTGCGTCCCACTATGACGGGTGTTCCCAACGAAACCCCGCCGACTTCCATTGATTTGTTTTGCTCCTTTCGTCCCTCCCACAGCTGTCCCTTCAACAACACAGCAGCCCGGTTTGGCCTGAGCAGCAGCACAAAATGGCGCCACCCGACGACCTGATTGACTTCGATGTCATCGAGAGCCAGAAGGAGAACATCCAGTCGCTCCCTGGCGGGCGGTCAGCAAGGAAGCTGGCCGAGCTGTACACGCCATCTCCACTCGCAAAGATGGACACGCCGACCCCGAGCGATACCAAAAATGTCCACGACTGCATCCGGGCCGAGTACGAGGCCGAGCTCGACACCATAGCTGACCTTGACGACCCCCTCGACGTCTACGACCGCTATGTTCGCTGGACCTTGGACGCGTATCCTTCGGCGCAGGCGACCCCCCAGTCCCAGCTACACATCCTCCTGGAGCGTGCCACGAAGGCCTTCATTGGCTCCTCCCAGTATAAAAATGACCCGCGCTACCTAAAGCTGTGGCTCTACTACACCCAGATGTTTTCCGACGCACCGCGCGAGACATTCCTGTATCTCTCGCGCCACGGTATCGGCGAGAGTCTCGCGCTGTTTTACGAGGAGTACGCCGCCTGGCTCGAGGGGGCCGGCCGCTGGGCGCAGGCGGAGGAGGTCCTTAGGCTGGGTATCGATCGCGAGGCACGTCCGCAACAGCGCCTGATTCGCAAGCTTGGCGAGTTTGAGCAGCGCCGCGAGCAGAACGGTGAGGCCGACGGAGACGAGCCCTCGTCGCCGGCCATCCCGACTGTGCGGCCCGCCCTAGCGGCCAAGGTGGACCCCTTCGCGGCCGCAGCCGCCGCCGGACCCGTCGAACCCCAAGCGCCAAGGCCAAGCAACGGTGTCGGCGGTCGGGCGGCGAAACCGGCCAAGTCCAAGCTAGCTATCTTCTCCGACGCCGATGCAGCAGGGCCTGCCCTCCCTTCACACGAGGCCGGGTCCAAGGGCTGGGACAGCATCGGGTCGCTAGCTGAGCGCAAGAAGGAGAACGTGATGGCACCAAAGCCTTGGGTCGGGGAGACGTTGAAGGCGGGCTCCAAGAAGGCGAGTGGGCCTAAGCTGGCAGTGTTCAAGGATACGGTAAGCTCCTGACCCTAGAAATTGTCTTCCCTGACATCTGCCTCCCTGCTTATATCGGCCGCGTATTGATGAATACAGGACTAATGTATGGTGGCGAATATCGGTATCCCGACTGGTTGCTCCTTTTGTTCTGTACTTTACAGTCTCTTTTGATGAAATCCCACATCCCTATTGTGGCCTCGCAACACCAAGTGACGATGAACAACCCGGCTGGCAAGAAGCAGCGCATTGTATTCGATCTCAGCGTGCTGTACCCCACGCCGGAAATTCCGGGATCCGAGTTGAGTTTTGAGGAGGTACTGCTGGCTCGGGCTGGCTGGCTAGACGAGAGGCCGGCGGCGCCTTCTCCCACACCTCCTCGGCACGCATCCTGTGGGGGTAGGGACGAGAACAGCCGGCCCTCGCCTTCTCCCACACCCCCTCGGCGCGCATCTCCCCCCAGGGACGAGAACAGTCTTCCCCCGCCTGCGCCAGTTGCACCACGCTTGGAGGTCTTCCGTGAAAATAATGAGAACGTGCCGCAGAAGCTTGTCATCCACCGCGATGTTGTCGTGCCTTTGGATGAGAACGGGGCCCCTATAAAGGCGTATCCTAAAGAAGGTCGACCAAAAAAGAAAAAGGTCACGGAGGTCAACGAGACCCAGATCAGTAAGCGATTTGATCATGAAACCCGAGAATTAGAATATCACCGCCGGTTGGATTTTCACTGACGTCAACTACAGTCAAAGCGAAGCTGGACTCGCCGTCACGACCCAAGCTGTTGAAGAAAAAGGGCAGTTCGGAGCCAACAATGACCATGCACACACGAGCAGCCACGGATGACATCTACGACATCTTCAATGCCCCCATAAAACACCCAACAAATCAGGAAGAAGAGGAAGAGGATGGAAGTGCCGATGATGATGACTATGATACAGATGAATACACCAGCGGCGCGGAGAGTACCGGGACCACGCGGCGCCTCTCGATTAGCGAAGCTGAAGATGAAGACAACGAGGGGGCCGAAGACGACGAGGACGATGCGGTGGATGGAGACAAAACAGCGGATGCTAGGAGCGTGAGCGAGTGGTCCGACTTTACCGCCCGCAAGCATATCCCGCACATTCCCGGAGTGAACGATGAGAACGATGACGCTGTCGAGGGAGAGGGCGATGTAACACAACTGTCTCACGTGAACGACGGTACAGATGAGGAGGCAGAGGAGGGGGAGGAGGAGGAGGGGGAGGAGGAGGGGGTGTCCACGCCAGTGGATGACGAACAGCACGAGACTAGAACGACCTTTGTTCCGATTCCGCCCGAGGATTACATCCCGCAGACACGGATGTATCGGGACCCGGTCGAGATGGCTAATAACCGTCTCCCGTTCATGACGCCTATCACGGAGCGGACCGAGACGGAGCTGGACCTGCGGTCAGTGCGGACCTCGCTGACCAAGACACCGAGCAGGTGCCAAAGACGCCTTCCTCCCGTCAGCGATGACGAAGACGAAGACGAGGTGGAGTCCCAACAGGACGTCGCTGAGTCTGAGCCGCCCAGCAGCCCCCTTCAAGACCTAGTGGGCGGCGGTTCGCCATCTCCACAGAAACCGTCAAACATTGTTGTGCCTGTGCAGCTGCCCAAGGCGCAGGTCAAGAGCGCGCCCATCAGGGGCCCACCGAAAGGCCCCCTTATAAACGACACTCTATGCAATCCTGTCGACGACGCCGTCAGGGCTCAGATTCTTACCAAGATGCACCCGCCGCTCAGTTCTCAGTTGCGCTTCTATGACCATCGACCTGCCAAGTACGAGAAGGCGGCCGAGATCCGCAGGTTTGCCAAAGCCAGGGCCAAAGCCAAGAGCAGTGGCGAGAAGACAGGCAGTGTGCCAATGCCTCCGCCCATCGAGTTTCCTGGATGCGAGATGAGTTACACGGTGAAAAAGGAGCTTGGGGCTGGCGCATTTGCTCCGGTGTACCTTGTCGAGAACTCGTCCCCCGACGCGCAGGATGATGGCGAGGACGGCGCCATTAGCGAGATGGGCAAGGGTGCATTCTCAACAATGCAGACACGGCGGGACCGACTGGAGGCGCTCAAGATGGAGACGCCGCCCTCGGCGTGGGAGTTTCATATGATGCGGCTAGCGCACGGGAGACTAGGCCCACACGAGAGGGCCACGGCGTCGCTGAGCTCCGCGCTCGAGATGCATCTCTACCAGGACGAGAGTTTCCTGCTGCTGCCGCTTCATCCGCACGGGACACTCCTGGACGTTGTGAACCTGTTCCGGGCTGAGCCTTCGGGCACTATGGATGAACTGCTGGCCATGTTCTTCACCATCGAGCTCCTCCGCACGGCCGAGGCTCTCCATGCGCATCAGATCCTACACGGCGACCTAAAGGCCGACAACTGCTTGTTGCGCCTAGACGCCTTTCCCGCGGCGGCGGGCGGCGGGGAGCTCAGCAGCAAGTGGCGGGCCGACGGGAGCGGAGGTTGGGCGTCGCGGGGTGTGACGCTCATCGACTTTGGGCGAGGCATCGATATGCGCGCGTTCCGACCCGACGTCCAGTTCGTGGCGGACTGGAAGACGAGCCCGCAAGACTGCGCCGAGATGCGCGAGGGCCGGCCGTGGACCTGGCAAATCGACTACCACGGCCTCGCCGGCACCGTGCACTGCTTGCTATTCGGCCGCTACATCGAGACGGTGCGGTGCGAGGGCGGCGGCCTGGGCACAGCCGCCGCCCGCCGGTACCGCGTCCGCGAGAGCCTCAAGCGCTACTGGCAGACGGAGCTGTGGTCCGACTGCTTCGACCTGCTCCTCAACCCGGCGGCTCACGCTGCCGCTGCCGCTGCTGCCGCGGCCGAGGACGGCGACGGCCGCATGCCGGTGCTCAAGGGCATGCGCTCCGTGCGCGAGCGCATGGAGGCGTGGATCGAGGCCAACTGCGAACGAGGTGTCGGGCTGAAGAGCCTGATGAGCAAGGTGGAGGCCTGGGCAAAAGGCAGGAGGTGATACTTGGCAGGTGGCTGTTTCGATTCCCCATTGCGCAAGACTTTACGATTTGATCCTTCTCTTCTTTTTCTTTTCTTCGGCTGGGCTTCCTTTGTCCCCTACACTCAGGTTGGCGGGGCTGTGGTCGTCCTACTTGTGGCAGCGGAGGAATACCAATACTGGGCTTTGTTCTTTTCTTTCTATATTTTCCCCTTCTCATCCTATCTTCACACGTCCCATTATTATTCCAGCTTTTGCCCAGACATTTTCGTTGATACCCGAACCCATTTGAGTACCTACACACTTGCTTGTCTTTTGAATGCCAACTCGTCGCCGCGTTGCCGTTATACTGGCGGGAATAATCCTCTCGTATCTTACAACTTGTAATGCTGGCGGCTGTCGCCTTCTACACAAAGACCAGAAAATGAAGGAAATAAAACACCCTGGCAGCTGTCAACATGATCAGTTGCTCTCATCCTCGCCCTCGCTGTCGGCCTTCTTCTTGCCTCGCTTTTTGGCCGGGGCCTTTTTGGCTGCAGTTTTCTTCGCCGCCTTCTCGGCCCCGGCCTGGGCCTTCTTGTCAGCCTGGCCCTGGAGCCTCTCCCTCTCGCTCGCTCCTTGGCGCTGCAGCTCCTCCTCCTTCTCCTTAAACTCTTCGCTCTCGGGGTCCATGCCGATCAGGCTCTCGAGGAGCTTGATCTCATCGGCCCACACCCGCCTGTCCTCGACGTCCTTGCCGTCGGGGCCCTTGCGGGTGATGGGCGTCTCGAGCACCATGGGCAGGTTCTGGAAGGCGTCGTGGTTCACGAGGTTGTGGAAGGCGCGGAGGCCGAGGAAGCCGGTGCCGATGTTTGCGTGCAGGTCGCGGTTGCAGCCGAGGGGCGCCTTGCTGTCGTTGAGGTGGAAGGCGCGCAGGTACCGGTTGCCGACGACGCGGTCGAACTCGGCGGCCGTCTCGGCGAAGGCCTCGGGCGTGCGCATGTCGTAGCCGGCGGCGAAGGCGTGGCACGTGTCGATGCAGACGCCGACGCGGGCCTTGTCGTGCACGAGGTCGATGATGTCGCGCAGGTCCTCGAAGCGCGAGCCGACCACGCTGCCGGCGCCGGCCATGTTCTCGATGACGGTCACGACCCGCTCCGTCTCACGGTGCGACCGGTTGAGCTGGTGGGCGATGCGGGCGATGGCGTCGTCCTTGGACCCTCCCAGCGCCGAGCCCGGGTGGAAGTTGTAGAGCCCGATGCCGAGGGCGTCGCAGCGCTTCAGGTCGTCAACGAAGTTGCCAAACGCCTGGTCAGCCTTGGCCTTGTCCGCCTGGGCCAGGTTGACGAGGTACGAGCCGTGCGGGAGGCAGTGCTTGCCGGCGTCGTAGCCGTGCTTCTCGCACAGCGCGCGGAATTGCGCCTTGGCGGCATCGTCCAGGGGCTTGCAGTTCCACGTGCGCTGGCTTTTGAGGAAGAGGGCGAACGCGTTCCCGCCGACCTCTAGGGAGTTTTGGATAGAGTTTTGGATGCCTGGCAAAGGCTGTCAGCCGAGGTAACACTCCTGGGCCCCTGAGCCCTCTTCGATACATGGGTAGGTTGAAAGGCGGGCAGGCCGGTGAAGAGCAGGCGAATAAGGGGGTGTCACGTACCTCCGGCAGCACTCACGTGAGCACCAATGCACATGGCCTTTTTAAGAGTCGAGATGGCAGTCCGCTCGACCAGCGGCATCGAGCCTTGATCCTTGACGGTCTTTTGTTTTTTGGCGGGCTGTTTTGGACCAGACCTGGCGACTGGCTTTTCTATTTCCTCGTCTTCATGCGCAGAGCCGCAACAACTGTCGTGACCCTCTCCAACTTCTGATTCGTCCTCTTCAGTCGCCTTGCGCTTCGCTGTTCTCCCCTTGGCAACAACTTCCGTCTTGGTGACAGTCGCCTCGACCTTGGTCGCCCTGCCGTTTTTACGGACCGTAGACGTTGTTTTGGATGTAACCTCGGTCTTTTTGATCACGGCAGCAGTACGTTTTCGCGGCGGCTGGCGGGGAGCCATGATGAAAGGGGTTCTCGCGCACCCGAGCAGCTGGGACGAGGACAGTACGCAACGACTTCTGGGGATTCACGCGTGTGATAGCAAAATGACGTCTACAACGCTTCGCGGATTGATCATCTCTCAGCGACGCGTCCTCCTCGAACCAGGTCGGCGGCAGTCGTTTGGTGGAGTCATGAGTTCTGACGCGAGCCCACGTGAAATTGGCGCTGGTGGAGCCCCTCACAGGCTCCATATTATCTTGGGCGAAAACGCTCGTCTTTCAGCCATCAGCCAACTGGTATATGTATTCAATCTCTGTGTCTACCCTATCAGGTATAGGTATTGAAATACGTACTTCTCTACCAGATCACCGGGTACGACAATCACACTCACGGGCTCTTGCAACGGAGAATTGCGGCAAAGGGGCAGAAGATGGTGGCGGCGTGTGCCTCGACACTTACCAGAACAAATAATATGGAGCATCACTTAAGCTTCGATGGGCAAATGCTAGACCTGGCCAAAAATAGCCGCAGGGGGGCAGCAGGAGTGGCAACCCCCGCTGCCCTTGTCGAGGATCTTTGCGGCGCGTCAGCACTAACCGCTTCTGGCCTCCTGCTGCTCGACATTTTGCTGATATTTACTGCACGTCCGGTGGCTCCGCCCTCGAGTGATTTTTGCGGCCTAGCGCTCTCGGCGTTTGGTTTGCTTGTCTCGGCCGTGGTGGTGTCTTCCCACATTCCGTTTTTTCTGTTGTGTTGCTGGGTGGGTACGCAAAGGTCCAACTGTGATGTGATGGGTGACTGTCGATGGTGGGTTGAGTCGGTACCCAGGTAGGTAGCTACCACCAGACTGGGTTCGTACGTGCAGCCGCAATTTGACTGGCCGCTGCCTGCCTGGGCCATGAAAGGCAGACCCTGGGCGGGCTGCCGCGCAACCTAAGGTGCTGACAGGCCCATCTGCTTATTGGGCGTGCTGTGAGATATCGCCCGCCACCCGCCACCCGCCTGCGCCTGCATGCAAGCCCGAGGACCACGTCAATCGCCAATGCGCAGCAGCACCAACACGTACCGTGTGCTGCACTCCCGTCCCTCGTGCTCCCCGTGTCTCCCAAGACACCTGGTGGCGGCTGAGTTTGGACTGTCCCCCAGGCGAGACGGTGCCTTTGTCGCTCGACGGCGCACGCACCGATTTTCTCGACATCTCGTTCGTTTCCCGGCCCGATCCATCAATCCGTTCTTCCCCTCCTGCTCCCGTCTCCCGCAATGATAGCCGACGTCGATCGCTGAGAAGACGCCGAGCTGCCTAGTGAAAAGGCTAGGGTTTGCCTCTCCCCAACCGTGCCCTCCGCCCATTCGGGCTCCTCGAGTCGTGTCCACCCGCCCCGGACCCCGCGACGACACCTCCCGGGGCGACACAGGCCCCAACCTCAGTTGCCACAATGGAACCAGGCCCTGAGCAGCCGCCGCCGCTGCAACAGCAGCACGGCACCGAAGGCGTCAACCCCAGGCGGTCCTCGATCGAGAAGCAGCCCGTCGTTGCCTGCCCCGCCGCGTTCGAGCGCCTGCCCGACGAGATTATAGAACAGTGAGTCTGCTGGCCAGCCTTGGCGCCATCTGATTGCGCCTTGTCCCGGGCCCCGTCCTTGACTGACACCAGAGCTACCGCCTCCCCCCTCAGGATTCTCCGACTCACCGACCCGAACTCCTTCGCATCGCTGGTACTGCTCAACTCGAAATGGCGAAGCGTGTCACAACAGGCCGACCTATACGCCCACCAGCTCGCCCAATGTCCTTCCTACTCCGCGAGCCACCCGGGCCGCCCCGTCGCTGCGGGCGAGGACCGGCTGGCGGAGCTGCGGAGGCTCTTCTCCCGCGAAGTCAAGCGAAATCTCTTTGACGCCTATCTCCGCCCGAGCCTGACGCACATCAAGCTGGTATCCAACTCTATCAGCTCGTCGTCATGCCCCGGCGGCGACGGCATGCAGTTCCATCCCTCACCCATGGGCCACCACCTGCTGGCCTACAACTCGTCGCGCATTTACCTCATCGACGCCCGTGCCCCTGACATCACGGTCAAGCGCGAGCTCAAGATATTGCGCCGTCCCGCCGCCACTTGCGTCATGGACGACGGCTCTCTACTCGCCGTGCTCCTGACTGAAATGCAGGTCGATCTGTACGATCTGACGGTCTCGCCCCCAAAGCGCACACAGTCTATCATCCTCGACCACAGTCCCCGGGCCATTGCCTTGTCGCCTTGCGGCTCCGTCATTGCCGCCGCCTACGAAGGAGGAATCGAAGTCTCGTCGCTGCACCCGGGCGCCCTACCGACTGAGAGGCGATCGGTAAAGTGCGATGCCGTTGATGCCTTGGCCTTCTCATTTGACGGCACTCAGATCCTGGGCACCACCGTCCATACCGCACAGCCAAACACCGTCATCCTGACCGCGCCGTACTACGACCCTGGCAGCCACATGGAGGGCGACAGCATCAGCGCGCTCTGGACTACCTCCATTCTGTTCCCCAACACCAGCCGTGACTGTAGTCACGCCGTTCTGCTGCAGGAATCAAGCCGTGAGGAGGCCTATTGGACTTTTGCGTATGACCGGAGCTTCGAGACGTTTAGAGCTGTCCGAATCGACGACCTCCGCAACGGGACCACCTACTTCACTGGTCCTGTCCCGACCCAGGCCACCCAGGGCAGACTACTTCCATGCACCCTTCCAGCAGCATCGTACCACGGCGATATTGTTGCGGCCGGCTTCCAGGGAAACGAGATTTGGATATATGGCGTTCCCGAAGACTTGGATGCCGTTCCGGACCCCTCTTCAGGGACCACCGAAGGCACGCCATCATCAGCAAGCGGACTCAATCGACGAGGCAGTGGCCCGTCTGCGCGGCCCACCTCTCGGGTGCAGGAGCAGAGTGACTCTAGAGTCCCTCAATGGCAGCTCCTCTGTGACAAATTGCGCAACTCGTTTGTTTGCGGCCACAAGGTCGCCGAACTCAATGGTGCAAGCATGGTCAAATGGGTTGCTGGCTTCGGCGGCTCGTCGTTGAAAGAGCGACTGGTTGTGGCTGCCGGCGGCGTGATGCCGCCAAAACTGGTGACGGAGGAGGACGGCATGGACTTTGTTGACGGAGGGAGGCTCACCCTAGTCGACTTCGACTATGGCGCCGAGGGTGGACATGTGACGGAAATCACCATCGAGGTGGGCACCAAGGAGCCTGAGGTGCTGGAGGAGGAGACGCGTGACATGGAAGTCGAAGTGGCCATCGTTAGGCGAAGGACCGTCGCGCAGAGGAGGGGGAATCAAAGCTCCGTCATACGTGCTGCCACAACCGCCGCCCGCCTGCCTCCGGTTCCCCTTCCGCCCATGCCCATGCCGCCACCCCCTCGGGTGAACGACGCCGACGACCCGCTTGTGCCCCGACGCGTGGGAGTTCTGCCATCCGCTTCCGCCTCGCGGCTATCCATCCAGAACGACTCCGTGGCCGATTCCAGCTCCACTCCGGACGAGGGAGATACGGAATCAGTCTTGGAAGAGCAGGAGGCTTTCGACGCGCCTTATTCACATGCCAGCCCGCGGTCAGGCATGACTCTCCGACGAGCTGCCACTGCTGCGGCCGTGAACCGGCGTCTGCATCCGCCTCCAGCCACCGCTGGCCAGGTGCAGTATCGGCGCGCAGACGGCCGAGCAGAGCACCCACACGAAAGCGACGCAGACAACTGGGTCCCGCCGCCGCCGCCCTATCAGAAAGAAGACCCCGAAGATTTACCGTCCTTCATGCGCCACAACGTTGCGCCCATCAGTGCAGATGCCCCTCCAGTTCCCCCGTTGCCGCCCATGCCAAACCAGACGACCCAGGTCGCTCAGACCCAACAATACCAGCCGCCGCATGCTCACCAACATCTGCTTGCGCCCAATCCACCCCAGGTTGCCAGGTCCCAGACGGTGCACAATCCCCAGCACATGACCGCGCCACCGAGCCGTCAGCCGCTGTCGCCTACGCTCTCATCCTACAACACATTTCATGCAACCACCAGCGACCACCGGCGTGAGGGCAGTGGCTCGACAGTCAGCCAGCCACACACTATCAACGCGCCGCGTCCTGCCCCCAGTCCGATAGGCCAGAACGACGACGACGACATATATGACGTATCACCTCCTGGGACGCCGCCACTGTCCCGACAGTCAAACCTTCTGCGCCCATCAAGCGGGAGTAGCTACGCAACGCGCCCCAGTGCCGATCTTAACAGCTCCCCGGCGCCATCCTCGCAGCCCTCTGCCCCCGTACCAACGCCATCTCCTGTTGTGTCAACCCTTGGACAGGATACCCCCACAACGCCGGCCCCGGCCTTCACTCCGTCAACCGCTGGAAGCACACCGATTCACAGGCAAAGGGGTCCGCCAGTCCTGGATCTTCACATTCCCAGTGCCACCCTCTCGCCGACCACTATCTGGAACACGCCTCAGACAGCCGTCAGGCCGCCTTCGGGTGGCATTAGGATGTTGACAAACTCACAAACATGGCCCAAACAGGCTAGTCATGATAGGCCACCACCGGTGGTAGCGCCCGGTGCTACTCACCCTCAATCGGCCCCGGCGATCGAGTTCAGTGTAAGCCGGGCCATCGATGAGGCCTCACCTTCTATCCCAAAGCCTGACGGGATGGCCGGCAGGAATGTGAGCACTGAGCAGCAAAACACAACTTCCACTCAGCGTTTCCAGGTTCCACGGGTCCCGGTTGGTAGCCGAGACCCAACCAGGCGAGTCTCGTTACAACCGCAGCAGCAGCAGCAACAACAGCAACCTCAGGCATCACAGCCACGGCAGCCGCAACAACTGCAACAGCCGCAGCAGCATCAGTTGCTGCCCGAGCAATATCTAGAACAGCAACATCAACCCCAATATCCCAGACCACAGTCTCAACAGCAGCAGTACCAGCAACAGCAACAGTACTACCAAGAGCAGTCACAGCAGCCACAACCGGCTGTAGTGTATATGCCACAACAACAACATCAAAGACAAGAAATGTCGAGCCATGCACAACAGCAAGGGTCTCCTTGTCTAGCCGCCCAATACCCGCTACAGCAGAACCCGATCAACACCCAGAGCCCTGCGCTGCATCAGCCGCGACCTCAGAGACTACCGAGCATCTCAACATCGGCAGCAGAACCAGATATGCCACTTATCATCAGTACTCCAGGTGGCATATCAGGTGCATTCGACCCACCTGGTCAGCCGACTTCCGACCGGGCCGAGACGCCCATCGTTGCACCCATACCCCGCCATCCGCGGACAGTCGCGGGGTCGTCGGGCCCTAACCGGCCGACGGTTGAGCGCCTCGAGGGCATCTACAGCTCAGCGTCGTCGAGCGGCTACGCGGCTGCCGGAGGCCAAGGAAACCTCCAGCCTCTCGGCCTGGGCCTCACTATGGGCCCGCCGGGCGATCTAGTCCCTCCGCCGCCGCCAAGCAATGATGGCAGTCGCACCCATAGCCTCAACCGCAAGCAGAGCCGGGCCGAGCGCAGCGCCGCTAAAAACATGGCCGATGCGAAGCGCCGCGGATGGCGACGCTCAAAGAGCAAACGACTCACGCGTCGCGGAAAAGATAACAACGCCAATGACGACGAGACGGCCAGCACAACGGCATGGACCGAGATCACGGCCCCAGTTTCCATGCCTTCGGGAGTCTCTGGCCCTGATTTCACGGCCGATGCCACCGCCGCCGGCTCCCAGGCTCGCCCTGGCAGTAGGGCCATCAGGGACAAGAAATGTGTAGTCATGTAATTCGTGTCCCTTGTTTTTCCTGTTGTTTTATTTTGCAATACCCCGGGCACCCCTTCAGGAGATATCTCAAGCATCTCAAGAATCATTACCCCTTTTAACCATAGAGTTGTTACATTACCTATTTCTTTGTTATATAGCGACCGGACCGCTTCCAGTCTCTTAGTATTAATCTACCAGTATCGAGACATCGTGGCTCGAGCACAAATTGGATCAATCTTTTTGGCCTGTACTTATGCCCCTCTTATTCCTCGCTTCAGTTTAGCAGACAGGACCTTAGTCGTGAGCTTTGTCTTGGACATTGATGGCGAAATACGCACACGTATTGTACTTGTTTTAACTTTTTTCTTTGTTTCTTTTTTTGCCCCGGGTCGATCCGACGTGAGTGTGGTCTCTAGTACAAGATTGCCCAACTACATGGTTACAAACGCCTCACTCCAGCTTCAAGTCCTCGAACTGCTTGATAGTGGCCTTGAAGCCGTCCGCCTCGCTCTCGAGGTCGACGAGCTTCTTGCGATCCGCCTCCTGCAGCTCGGAGCTGACCTTCTCGATGTATTTGGGGTCGGTGATGAGCCCGCGCTGGCGATCAATTTGACCCCCAGTCTTCTCCAGCTTCTTGGCCGCCTTGGCGATCTCGGCATCAATATCGACGCGACCCTTGACGTGCAGGAAGACGGCGGCACCAGCTGACACGGGGAAGACTACGCAGCCAGCCGGCCGGCCGGCCTCGCCCTTAATAACTTCGACCGACGTTACACCCTTGCCCGATAGTGACTTGATGGACTGCAGCTCCGCCTGTGCCGTCTTCAGCGACGTTTCGTTATAGGCTTGGATGTAAACTAGTGGGCAAGACCATGTCACGAATATCAGTCAAACTGGCGCAAACGGTAAACTCCAAGGTAATATAGCGTGGCCACATCACGTACCTTGGGCTTCGTCCTTGAGGGCATACTCGGCCATCAGGGACCGGATGCCCTTGGAGCAGTCAAGGACCAGTTCGTAAGCCGCCTCGGCCGAGGGGTTCTCGAGCGCCTCGTCGTACTGCGGGTAGCTGGCGATAACGATGGACCTGGTGGTGTCTCCCTTGCGACGGGGTAGACGCTGCCAGAGCTCCTCGGTCACAAACGGCATGAAGGGGTGAATTAACAGCAGTGCCGTTTCGAGGGTGCTGTACAGGGTCTGCATAGCCGATTCCTGCTCTTCGGCAGATCCGTCCTGCAGCAGGGTTTTGGAGTTCTCGATGAAGACGTCGCACAGTTGGCCGTACCAGTAGGCGTAGACGAGCTGGCTCGACTTCATGAACTCGCGATCGGCAAATGCGTTGTTGATGCCCCTGGTCGCCTGGTTCATCTTATGCAGGATCCACAGCTCCGCCAGCGATTCCCTGCCCCCGAGTTTCCTCGCCTCGCGCGGCACGAAATCCGGGTAGTTTTCGAGCTTGCCGAGCACGTACTTGGATGCCTGCCAGATCTTGTTGGAGAAGCGACGGAAGGCGTGCATAACCTTGATGTCGAAGTTGATGTCACCACCTCCCGTCGTGTAGTTGATCATGCAGAACCTTAGTGCATCGGCACCACACTCCGGGATCCCGGCCGGGAAAGCCTGCTTCTGGTACTTGGTAGCTTTCTCCACCTCGGCTGGGGCGAGGTTCCCGGTTAGGAGCTTCGCGTGCAGGTTATCGAGCTTGATGCCGCTGATGACGTCAAGGGGATCGATAACGTTGCCCAGAGATTTGGACATCTTCCTTCCCTCGCTGTCCCTGACGAGGGAATGGCAGTAAACCTCGTTGAAGGGGACCTGGCCTGTCATTTTGATACCAAGCATAGCCATGCGGGCAATCCAAAAGAACAGAATATCCCAGCCCGTCTCGAGAACACTGGTCGGGTACAGCTTTTGCAGGTCATCGGCCGAGTTGTTGGGCCAGCCCAGCGTGGAAAAGGGCCAAAGCCCGGCGCTGAACCACGTGTCGAGCACGTCCTCGTCACGGACAAGCTTGAACTTTTTACCAGCCAGCGCCTTCTTGGCCTTCTCCTCGGCCTCCTCCTCGGTGCGGCCAGCAAACCAGAGGTTGTTGTCGGACCGATCGCCGTCCTCAGCACCCTCGACCTCGGCGAAGTATACGGGGCATTGGTGGCCCCACCAGAGCTGGCGGGAAATGCACCAGTCGTTAATGGAGCCCATCCAGTAATAAAAGCTCTTCTCTGACGACTGCGGTTTGATCTTAATGCGGCCATCCTTGACGGCCTCAACAGCGTCGGCCGCCATCTCCTTCATGCGTACCCACCACTGCGGCTTCAAAAAGGGCTCGATGATGTCCTTGCTTCGCTCGCACATGGGTAGCGTCATGGGGTTGTCCTTCTTGTCTACGTAGAGACCCGCCTTTTTGAGGTCGTCTTGGATAGTGTACCGCACGTCGAAGCGCTTTTGGCCCTGGTACGGGCCCGTATTTTCGTTCATCAAGCCGTCGTCGGTCAGGATGTTGATGAATTGGAGCTTGTGAGTTTGGCCCATGGCAAAATCATTGGGATCGTGAGCCGGCGTTAGCTTGACAGCGCCAGTACCAAACTCCATCTCAACCGACGGATCGGCCACAATGGGGAGCTTGCGATCTGGGATGAAGGGGTGCACGGCGTTCTTGCCAACGAGATGCTTGTAGCGTGCATCGTCGGGATGCACGGCAATTCCTACACGCAGTCGGTATCAGTATCCTGCACAATTCTGTAAAGGGGGTGGCTAGCTGCCTCTCGGGAACGGAGATAGACATACCAGTATCTCCAAGCATAGTCTCTATACGCGTAGTAGCAACGGTAACGTGGTCGTTAGAGTCCTCGAGAGGGTACTTGAAGTACACAATAACACCAAACTCGACCTTTTTGGCATAGCCAGGGACGTCGAGCAGGGTCCTACCCGAGATCTCCTTGTTGACGACCTCGAGGTTGGACAAAGCCGTGTTGAGCTTGGTGCACCAGTTGACCAGCCTGTTGGCACGGTAGATGATGCCTTCCTCGTGCAGCTTGACAAAGGTTTCGCTCACAGCAGCAGTCAGGTTCGCATCCATGGTAAAGGCCTCCCTGGACCAATCGAAGCTGCCACCCATCTTGCGGAGGGCATTGTTGATGCGCTGGTGGTACTCGTCCTTCCAGTCCCAGACCTTCTCGATAAACTTGGGGCGGCCCAAGTCGTGCCGTGTCTTTTGTTCCCTCCTCCACAGCATGTTTTCCACAACGGTTTGCGTGGCGATTCCAGCGTGGTCGCAGCCAGGAAGCCAGAGCGTAGTTTTGCCGCGCATCCTATTCCACCGGATCATAAGGTCCTGTAAGCTGTCACCGAGGGCGTGGCCCATGTGCAGTGCGCCAGTGACTGGAAGGTTGCGTGTAATAAGGACGATGTCAGTTCAATCTCATGGAAGAGCAGGGGGATATTCAAAATAGTGAGCTGGTGGGCGCGCGCCGGAGAGATAGTCCGTACCATTTGGTGGTGGGTGAACAATGACAAAGGAGCCCTCGTCCTTGACCTTGCCGTCCTTGTTGAACTCGGGCTTGAAGAAACCCTCCTTCTCCCACCACTCGTACCAAGCAGCCTCGACGGCGACGGGGTTATAGGCTGTGTAGTGAGGGTCGCTGAAGGGGCGAATGCGCTTCTTCTCGCCGGGCGGGGTGTCGTTCTCGTACGGTGGAAGGGCTGGCTCCTCTGCCTTTGCCTTTGCCTTCTCCTTGGCCTTGTCCGCCGCGCCAGGCGCGGGGGTGGCCTTGGCGGCGGCGGCTTTCTTCTGGTCGAACTTTGCCTGCTTCTCGGCCTTCTTCCTCTCCTTCTCCACTATCGTGCCATGTCAATTGGACGTGCTCTGCCGAAAGGAGGGGCGGCTGTACTTACACTCTTTGGCCGTTTTCACCTTGGCCGGAGCCCCCGGGGCAGCGCCGGCGTCCTGGCCGGCGGCATGGGTGCCGGGAGTTCCAGTCGAAGGCGTGTTCTCGACGGCGGCCTTAGCCTCAGCGCCTACAGGAGGAGGAGTGCCATCGGCGGGACCCTTCCCAGAGGCAACTGGAGAGAGAGAGCAGGGCGCCCGTCAGCCACTGGGGCGCCTCTCGAGGCTGCCAGATCTGGGTGCCAACAAGACTCACTGGGATTTCCGCGGCCGCTATCGGTAGCCATTGTGGCTCGTCGCAGCAAGAATGGTCGAGAGCAACTTTTTGGTGGCGGGCGCACCAAGAGCGCGCGGAAAAGGAGGCGGGACGTGGTGACGGTGGTGGTGGTGGGCAGGCGATTCATGCGGGGAAGAAGGGCAGATATTTCTGCTGGTAGCCGCTGTTGCGGCTGTGACTCTTCCTCATTCACGCCGGGGTTCTAGAGAGTCATCGGCTTCGCCAAATCAGCGGCAAGCCACAGCCCAATTCAACACCAAGCCCACGCCACAATAGCGGGGGAGGCTTAGGTTTAAAACGAGTGCGCAAGTAGGTGGGCAAAAGTGCGGTGTTTTGTTCTAGGTTAGAGCCCGGAGGGCCGAGGGCTACGAAACGTGCATAAGGTGGGCTGTAGGCCCGTGCGTAGGCTGATGACTCATCCCCTCCTGACAGGTTGCTTCAACAACTGTGGACCCTGGCACGCCCACCCAAAAAAGATGGCCTCCTCTGCGGGGACCACACAATTAGTGGGGCACCGGATCCACAACAGTGTTAATTCTAATGTTGTTTGACGAACTCAGGTATCCCACCTAATTTGGCTGTGAATCCTGAGACTTTCAATTGCAAGTCAATCCATCCTTGGCCTCAATTTGATGCACGGGCGGCCAATTGACGTTTTTTGCTGTGCACCACCCACAGCACCAAAAATCAGCATCGCGATCGCAACCATGCGCCTCTTTTGAAGAGGCGAAAAAAGCGATAAGAGCGCAAGCGCACGCTTTAGGCTTTAACTTAACCGTAAAGTAGCGCTTTCCCGCCAGCGCTAAAAGCAATACGGTTACCCGCGTAAATTATCGTTATTAAAAAGGCCGCAGCCTTAAAAAAAAAAAAAAATAACTTTTAATTGCACGAGTTGTTGCTTTTTATCACGTTGTTGTTGCTTTATATCGTTGCATGCACTAATCATTTTCGCTGTTTCATTTCACTCCTAATTTGGCTGCGGTACCATCTTGCGTAGTGGCGATACTGTGTGGGTGCGCGTGGCCCGCTTTATGCGGTCCCCCTAACAAAACGTGTGGTCCCCGCAGAGGAGGCCAAAAAGATGGCAGCTCCTTTTAGAGCGCAGACTGCAGCAGGGACCAAGGGTGGTTGCATCAGCACCAGTTGATCAAGTTCTTTTTACCCTCCTCGTCCTGAGGTGGTAGCCTTGCACCACATAACTTCAATCAGCTTGGATTCCATCCTCAAAAGTCACAAGAGAACATCAAATTGTACAGTAATAACTGCCGGGCGCACTCGTAATCACCGCTTTCCACTGGCCAGCCAGCCAGTAATTCAGGCTCATTAGACAAATACTCCTGGTCTTGGACTTGGGTGACAGGAATCCACCGCCAAGCTTATCATGAACTTTGTTGCTCCCAACTCGCTCACCAATCGCTTTTAAACCTCGGCCTGTGATTTCCGCAACATGTTTCTTTCCACGGCCCGCGCACCCGCTCGCTGGTCCGCGAGACGACTTTCCTATCGGGCGTTCCAGCAACGATGGGCATCAAACTCGAAAATAAATAAATCCCGAGACCGCTTCTCGGTTCTGGCTGGCCGGGGGGTTTCCAAAGTAGGGGCGCTCCACGACAATTACCTATAGAATCTCCTTACTGACACATCACGCATAGCAAAGTGTTCTCGACTGCGTAGCGTCGACAGACAAGACTCCCTCTGGATCCCCAACTCCTGATGCATCGGCAATACTTGTTTCCAGGGATCTGGCCAGATGGCTCGACGACACGGACTTCATGTCGGCGCTCCTCCAGCAGCTTCACCCGGAGGCTATCGGCTCGGGTCAGGATCTGAGCGTTTTAACCGCGGTTGTAGACGGCCTATGTCCACGGTCTCGCGGAGGATCGGCCTCTAGCGGCCTCTCCATCCTGCAGGGCGATGCCACCACCATCCTGCCGGGGCTTTGGAGCGGCGGGGATTCAAACGCGCCGCTACGCCTCGATGCCCGCCCGGCCCTCTCGGTGCGCCTCAGCCCACTGCTCGGTGACTTTCGCCCGGTTGACGTCACATTGCCCGTAGCCAACACTGTTTTTCAGAACGGGAGACCCTTCACACTACTGGCGAGCCGATGGCGCGCCGGCGGCGCTGGAACCTCCCCCATAGGCTCGCCGGCCCTTGTCGATGCTTTCGAGAAAGAGGAGCAGATCATAGTGGCCTCGACTGAGGGAAGCATACAGTCACATGCCGACGTCTCGGTCTCGCTCTTCCCGCTCACCGTGCCCAGGAGGATCACGGCCGGGCTGGGTAATATTGTGCGTCAAGTCGAAGCAGCCGGCGGTCCTGAAGAACAGCCGCAGCCGGCGTCGTTGGAGCTAGAGGCCGCAATGCACGACATAATAGCCACGCGCTCACGACTCCTGCCTGAAGTCCCAGTCCCCAACCGGGCCTGGGCCCTGGTCGTACCTCCAAACTCCCCTAGCCTTGAATATTTCGTCAAGTTCCCCGTGTTTCTGGACTCTACCATTGAGTCTGAGCATCAGAGAGCTGATGCCTTTGCAAGACACTTTTCCAAAGTACTTGCTGACGGAGGTCGATTGCATAGAGTCCGTAAGTGTATCCAGTCGATTCAAGTCTATGTAATCGTTCTCGAGTGGACTTTCCATGCTGACTCCGGTATCCAGTGAGCGGTGGAGGGGGTTGGGGTCTCAAGAGAGGCCTTCTAGCTATTGACCCGGAGACAACGTATTGCTCCGTATCTGAGTCACGGGACCTAGAAAACTTCATCGCATCCTTTGGGGGCGAGGTCACTGCCGACAGTGTGATCGCTCTAGGGTCATACATCCTGTTCCTTGTTGAGCCCATGCCGCTCCCATCGATCTGCTCGGGCAATGAAGTTAGTCAAAACTTGCCGTCTCTGGTGTTTGGAACAGCACCAGCCCAGATTGCGAGTGACGAGGAAACCGAACACGCCCCTTTGCCTGCCCAGTTGGCCGCTGGCCACTTTGGCGCTCTTTCGAGCATTGGGGCTTTCTTGCGTCTCGAATCAGGGGCCGGCTCGGAGGCTGCCAGAGGCTCCCGACCGCACACAACGCTGACCAAGGTGGATGTTCCAGACTCATATGTATGGCAGGGGGCTAGCCGCTGGATCTGATTGAGCAGGCCGGCCATTGCCATGTTGCATTACCCCAGGGGGGAAATGTATATTCAGGGAGGAATATGGTTGTGCGAGTGTCCATTTCGAGATCGCTACATGCACAAACGTCATCACTCCCGATGTAATATATAGGCGCAAATGCCTAACACGAACCTCGGGCCGCAGATAAGGAGGGTTGATTTGCACATTGCAGGCATCCCCAAGCAGTCTGAAATCATCTGTAATCTCGATTGTATCAATGTGCTGGTGCACCTTACGTATCTCCTCGCCGGGCTTCTCACATCCGCCGGCTGTCAAGTTCTTGAAACTCGCATTTGATGTGATTTGTCATCCGCCGGCATCGAACAAGGCCTAGGCTTGCCCGCAGCAGGCGTGCGCATTCGCCCCGCGCACTCGTCAAAGAGACCGGGCCCATCCCGAGTCTGACCGAGGGGTTGTCCAACATGGCGTTTGATGTGGTGGCCACGAATCACACATCATCTCGTTCGCTGGCCAAAGGATATCTGCGCACAGTTGACTAACGTCATCTAGGAAACCATATCCGGTGGTGTTTGTTTTTGTCTCCCTTTTTTTTTAAAAAAAAAAAGTATCGGGCCACACCAGCAGTCGTGACGAGGTTCTTTTTTCTTTCCTGGCTTTTCCTGGTGGCAACCCAAGACCGCCACCCGCAGCCCCTGAATCCCGCATCAAAAAGCGACCGAGGTTGCAATGGCTTCACAAGACGCGCCCACCAAGGCCAAGGTCGCTATCCTCTCGCTCGGGGACATGGGCTCCGGCATCGCCAGGCTGCTCGCCGCCCGGGGCTTCCCCGTGGCGACCAACTGCGAGGGCCGGAGTGCCGACACGGCCGAGCGGGCCCGGACCTGCGGCGCCGCGCTCTTCAAGTCGGACCTCGAGCTCGTGGACTGGGCCGACGTGGTGCTGTCCGTCGTGCCGCCCAGGGATGCGGCCGCGACGCTGCAGCGCGTCCTCGACGCCATGGCCTTCTCCAAGACGCACGCCCCCGCAGCCGCCGCGGCCGAGGGGTCCGGCAGGCCTCTCTACTTTGCAGACATGAACGCCGTGTCGCCCGCCACGTGCAGGCGCATGGCGGCCGACGTCGCCCGCACCCGCGTGCCCCTGCTGTTCATCGACGGCTGCATCCTGGGCGGGCCCCCGGCGCCCAAGAAGGGCGGCGAGGGCCGGGCGGAGGAGAAGGGGGAGGGGGAGGGGGACGAGTGGGCGGTGCCGCTGATGCCGACGTCGGGTCCGCGTTCGTTCGCCTCGCTCGGCGACGCCCTCGGGGGCCCTCTGCTCGAATCGACATTGCGGGCGCGCCACATCTCGGCCGACGTTGGGGCGGCAAGCGGGCTCAAGATGTGCTTCGCCTCGCTCAGCAAGGGCTTCAGCGCCATCGCCGTCCAGACCTACACGACGGCTCATAGACTCGGCGTTCTGGGGGACCTCGAGTGGGCTCTCGGGGAGCTGGCGCCCGCCCGCGCCCGCCAGGCGGCGTCTGCCATCACCTCAATGCCGCCCAAGGCGTACCGCTGGGTTCACGAGATGGAGGAAATCAGCGACACGCACGCCGCCGACGGCGGCTTCGATCCGTTCATTTTTCAGGGCGCCGCCGCCGTCTTTCGTGCCGTCGCTCAGGACACTGTCCTTGGTCAAGAAAAAGTCGGCCAGAGAAAACGTGGCCTGACCGTTCAGGACGTGGCCGAGGCCATGAGCGAGGGTATGGATCGTAAGAGGAAGAAGACCGATTAATGACTGTCTTTGCGAGAGACAAGGGGCGTTATTGCAATAGCTAAATGTCACTGGGAGTTGCCAGAATCTTTTATCTGTGCATGAAATTTGCCCGAGGTCAACAAGAAGCTCCACTCTACCGCTTAGAGCAACATGACAAGGAGATAATCGAGTTGTTCATCGGATACAGCCCTACGCCTCATGCATTTCTGTTAGTTGAAGAAAAAATTGTAGACAGGAAGACACCAAATGCCCCTCTTTGTCATTCCATTGACTTGGTGCAGGCCTTTCTTTGTTAATCCATCACGCGATCATGTCAATATCGTCGTCTCCGGGGCGGCCACCATTCACCACCGGAGCAGCAGTCGTCGCCACCGCCGCCGCCGCCGCCCCGCCACCTCCACTCCCGAAGTAATCCTCCATCTCGGCGTCGAGCTCTTCCTGAGTTTTCTTGGGACGCGTGTTTCGCTCCCCGCGACCAGCACTTTCTTCACTCTGCTGCGACCGCCCTCCCCGCTCCCGTCTAGCGCCGGGGCGCCGCCCGCCCTCACGGCGAGGAGGAGCGTACGGGCTGCGCGAGCGCGAGCCGCCAGGAATGTATCTATCAATCCCCTTCCGAGCGGCATCTGCCTCGAGCTCCTGGCGCGGCGACAAAGACCGAGTCCGGCTCGAGTGGGTCGTAATGCGCTCCGACAGCGGCCTACCAGGCTTGATCGCCGTGTCGAACGGATTCCGGCGGCTAGACGGCCCGGATGGGAGGATGGTGAGACGGATAGGTTGACCTATTCGTAGATTAGCATAACGCCTACAGAGGGGCATACGAAATGTCTGTTGGGAAATAGCGCGAAAGCTCCATATGTCCTACCTGCGGCGTTGGCTCCATCAAATTCCTTAACAGCAAGGGTCGCGTCCTTGTAGCTCTCGTATACAACGTAGGCTGTGCCTTCAGATCGACCGGAGCGGTCATAGACAAGGTCGAGTTCACGGATCGGCCCGATGCCATTGAAGAGTCCCTGCCCAGTCGATCGGGTCAGCATTTCGTTGACAAGACATGATGGATTTTTTATGTAATTGGTTGAAAGCGTACTTGAAGGTCCTCCTCGGTCAGCTCATAGTGGATATTATCGACACGAATCTTGGTGCCCTTAGGGCCACTACCGAAAGTGATTTGCGCGTTAGTCGTCGAGGCATGGCCCAAGTGAGGTCCAGTATAGTCTCACCCAGATTCCTGCTCCGCACTCTCCGCTCGTCGACGAGGTAGCCTTCCTCTGCGGGAATCTGTTTGACGGCCGTTAGCAACAGACCTGGAGCAGAGAATCTGTCTGTCGTCGCAACCGCACGCACCATTGTCGTCGAACTTATCGTGCACCCACTCGCTGTTTGGATATGTAGATATTTGTTAGCTGCCAGTTCTTCTGCCGTGCCCTCTATCGGTGTAGTGGAGACAATCGGGAGCTTCCACATACGAATCAAGGTTGCGAGGCTCGTCCCGGTATGACTAGATGTGTCAAAGAGTAACATGATACAGGTCGTCGTTAGCGGTAGAATTCACGCAGGTTAGCCCCTCGGTCGCTGGGCCGATGCGAAGACAGGTCGGTCGAAGAGGCTCGAATTGTCCGTACTCCCCCGCGGCCCGAGGCGACCGACGGATAGTTGATGATGGCATTCGGAAGGAAAGAGAATGTTCAACCTAATGGTGAGAGGAGGATGGGGAAGAGCGACAGTTCGGCGTCAGAACGCATTGTTGGCTGCTTCGCCAGCTGCCTTATAGCTCAGGGGTTCGGAGAGCGTACCTTTCTGACACCATCCCGTGGGTAGTCTTGTCTCTCGCGCCGTCGGTTTCCTCCGCTTCCGCCTCCGCCGCCGCCTCCACCTCCACCTCCGCCGTTGCGAGAGCCGCGGGAACGGCCGCCGTTCTTCACCTGTTCAGATAGCGCAGGACACACGTCAGTGATTGAAGCAAATTGGCCGTGTGGGTTGGCGCGCGCCAGGCGCAGACTAACCTGGCGTTCGGCGAGAATCTCATCAAGGCTGCGGTCCATGGCGGGCTGGCTTGGTCGGTCGCTGTTGCGACTGCTAGGCTGCTTCTGCTGCTGGGTAGTGGTTGCCCGTTGACAAGGAGTACGCGTGCGGTTGGCGAATGCGTGCGTGAAGCGGTCTCGAGTAGGTGGTATGCAATGTGCAAGTTCTGCAAGGGTCAAGGCCACGGCACAACAAATGCGACCGTTGTCTTCATTGAACAAGGCTGAGTGCGATCTGAATCGGGGCGCGCTGCTGGAGACACCGACCTGGCCGAAGCTCTGGCTGGCAACATGGATTGACGCGTTAGGTGGGTCCCCCCCCTATACACTGCCACGCCCGCCACAAAAAAGACGGCAGTCTTACAGGGAGCCCGTCCTGAAGATTTGAGTCGAATGTTTAATGCTGCACGCTTTCCTATTCTAATTTTTTTTTGTCATTTTTACTCCTACTTTTATTTTTATTTTGTTCCTCTTTTTATTCCCATTCCTATTCCGAAACGGAACTAACATATTTTTTTTGTGGTGGGCGTGCCTTTGTTCCGGGAACGTTTAGCTGTTGCTTGGGCTGCCCAGTCTTTGGGCCGCACCATATGAATCGAGTTACAGTTCCATTGCCTGATTCGATTTCGACCAAAAGTTCTCGCACGGGTTTGAATTATCCCTTAATTTTCAGGGCAAAGCGAAGACGATTCAAATATACTAGGTAGGTATTGAGACCTCTATTCTGTTGACCAAGCCTCTACCTCCTTATTTCTTTTGTGATATCGAATGATCCAGACCATGGACGATCTGTCGACTCCACGAGGAAGACCGTCAACCCAACAGGTACCTACGGCTAGCTAGGTACATGGATTAGGGTAGCCGACAGGACGCCGAGTCCTCATGCAGGGCGCTTAACTTGAACCGAAGTAACACCAAACACAAGACCGGACCGAACAACACTGCAGATCAGTAACAAACGCCACCATTTCTTTACCTTTCGGCCCATCCAACAAGATATCATCAAAGAGAAACAACAGGATCGATGTCTAGGAACGAGTTTCATGGCGGCGCGTGAGAACTACCTAGGTAGAACAGATACATGACAAGGAAACGACGAGAGAGAGAGAACGAGACGGAAAACCCCAAGATCCTGCCTATTATCATTGGCAAGCACCCCAAACACCTTCCGTGGAAAATTAAGGTGTGCGACAGTAGCGGCCGAACCTTCAGATGCAACCCACCTTACTTTTTGATGAAAACGAGCAAAGCAACCCCTCACTTCCCTTCTATCGAGTGGCTTAACCCTTATGCCCCAGAGAGATGGAAAGAAAATGGCACAGAGTGTGGTGCGTCAAAGACGAGAAGTAAGGTTCGTTGCGGCGATGGAACGACGAGATGGGTCGGTCGAGAATGTGGACGGATTGATTGCGTTGGTGATTAGATCAAGTCGGCGACGTTCATGGGCATCTCCTCGATCTGAGTGCTGTAGAACTGCTCAATCTCACGCATCATGCGCACGTCCTCGGCGGTGACGAAGTTGATGGCGACACCCTTGCGGCCGAAACGACCACCACGACCAATCCTGTGGATGTAGTTCTCACGGTTGGCGGGCAGATCGTAGTTGATGACCAGGGAGACCTGCTGGACATCGATACCACGGGCCAGCAGGTCAGTGGCGATCAGGACACGGGACGAGCCGGAGCGGAACTCCTTCATGATCAGGTCACGCTGGGCTTGGTCCATATCGCCGTGCATGGCCGAAACAGTGAAGTCGCGGGCGGTAAGCTTGTCCGTAAGCCAGTCGACCTTTCTGCGGGTGTTGCAGAAGATGACAGCCTGGGTGATGGTGACGGTCTCGTACAGATCCGACAGAGTGTCGAGCTTCCACTCCTCCTTCTCGACGGCGATATAGAACTGCTTGATACCCTCCAGGGTAAGCTCGTCCTTCTTGACCAGGATACGGACGGGGTCGCGCATGAACTTGGTCGTAACCTCCAGGACATCCTGGGGCATGGTGGCCGACAGGAGAACGACCTGGGTCGACTGGGGCAGGAGCTGGAAGATGTCGTAGATTTGCTCGGTGAAACCACGCTATACGAGTTCAACATATGAGTATGCGTAAGCCCCACTGGGTATGTAGGTGCAGGACAAGCGGGAGGCAAAACATACCGAAAGCATCTCATCGGCCTCGTCCAGGACAAACATCTTCATGGCGTCGGTCTTCAGGAAACGGCGCTGAATCATGTCCTGGACACGGCCGGGGGTACCGACGACGACCTGGGGGCCGTCCTGCAGAGCCTTCATGTCATCACGGACACTGGTGCCACCAATGCAGGCGTGACACTCAATGTTCATGAAGTCACCAATAGCGACTACGACCTTCTGGATCTGCTGAGCCAGCTCGCGGGTAGGTGCGAGGATCAGGGCCTGGCACTGCTTGACGTTCTGATCGATCTTCTGCAGCACCGAGATAGAGAAGGTGGCCGTCTTGCCGGTACCGGACTGTGCTTGGGCGATAACATCATGACCTAGAGGAGACGGGTATGAGCGACATGTCCAGGTCGAGAGGTAGATAGGTATTGCTGATTGAGCACTTCGGGAAGTAGCCTTACCCTTGATGACGGGGATAATGGCACGCTGCTGGATGGCAGATGGGCGCTCGAAACCGTAGGCGTAGATACCTGCAAGGTGGGGTAATGATTAGGACGATGATCAAGATGGGTATTCATGTTTCCCTGATATAGACCCGATTTCTTCCTTACCGCGAAGCAGCTCAGCCTTCAGGTTCATCTCGTCGAAGGAGTCGACGGTCTCATCGTAGTTGGACTCGATCTGCCCTGTAGTCGGAAACGGTGTTAGCTCAGTTGATACCACTGGCCGTGACACAGTAGAGCGCAAAAGCATGGCGGGCGCTGGCGTGGGGGCGGAGGCCTTTTGGAGGGGCCATGCGACAGGTGCAAAAGGTGGGATGCCGCGCTGGCGCATTCACGCAGAGATGCCCCTCCTTGAGCGTCGTCGCCGCGGGCACCGCGATACAGCGCAGGGCTGGACAGGATCAACGTACCCTCGGGGACATCCTCGAGTCCCTTGTCAGTAGCCATTCTCGCGGTGGAGGTGGGAGATATTCTAGATCGCAAGCCCTGGCTTGAGACCTAGAAAATGCGAAGAGAAGTGTTGGTAGAGGTGGGGCAAAGGCCTAGCAATCCACAGGTGAAGGACCTGCAGACACCGTAAATGTTGATTGAATAGAAAGAGAGAAGATAGATTCAGAGGCTCTCGCTGGAAGGAGAGTCGGAATCTATGTCTGGAGGGCTTGATATGTGATTTTTGGAGTTGCCGTGGACGGGAAGTTGGGAGGTGGGAGGCGAGGGAAAAAAAAAATTTGGGCTGGCAGAGATATAATCAGCCCGTGCAGGCAAGGAAACGCAGAGTGGAGACCACATTCACCCACGATAGGGCACGGTTGTCCAATCCGATGGGTTGGCCCCGCTAACACTCAGTGGTAAGGTCGGGAGGGGTGGGTAAGGGACGCCGAGAGGAAAGTAAGGAGCGGCGAAGGAGGGAATGAAAAAAAAAAAATCAAGTGGGGAGGCGACTCAGTTCGGCACACAAGTTTGCCATGGGCGCACAGCAAAACAAACGGCCTTGGATAGGAAGACCTCTCACTGTCCCGTCTACTCTCTCGCCTCTGCCAGGAAGACCGGAACACGCCGAGGATCAGCAAGGTAAGCAGAGGGTTCAGTCACCTAGGAGTTGCCAGATCCGGCCCCAAAGTTCGAGGTTGACTCAAACGCTTATCAAATCCCAGCGTGAATCACCGCAGGCCAGTCGAAGTGTGTCCCGCTTTGGGTTTTGGTGCCAGCATTGCACCCAGCCAGCCGAAAGAGGCGGCATCCCAACGTCCTTCATGCAGACGCCTCGAGCCACATTTGGTTTACTTTGTGCTCGAGTCTTTTTTTTAAAAACCATTTCTTTCTCACATCCTTATCATATTGGCTTTATTTGATTTTCACCTCCGTTTTACCCTCTTCTGGCCTCCTTGATCCTCCCGTGCCGCGTCGCGAGGACTCACCTTTTCTCATGCGTGAAGGATTATTCCTTAGCAGGCACCCTAAATGACTGCAACCATGCTGCAAAGGTCCACCGATGAGCACGTATCGGGTGGCTCTGAGAACGGCAACCTAAAAGGACATGGGCAGGACGACGTCTGCCGCACCAATGGTGGCGATGGCTCCACGGAAATGCTTGAAGAAGAGGACGATGCATGCGCCTTTGAGTCATCTGTCCCATGCCATCCCCTCGGAATCAAACCCCTTGGCAACCAATACTTTTCAACCACTGCCAACGCCCGGGATCATATCGGGACCCTACAGCTACTCCCAGACGAGACGTTGCTGCTTCTGCTAGAGCATCTGGATCCACAATCCCTGAGAAGGCTTGGATATACATCCAGATTTCTGCACGCCTTCTGCACCTCAGATGAACTCTGGAAGCCCCTTTTTCTCGAGTGAGTCCTGCGGTGATGCCTTTTGTTCATAACCACGGCTAGGCGGTGACCGTAATCTCATGGCGTTTCTCATGTCATATCTGATGGACCAGTGTTGACAACCCGATGAGCTTAGGTCGCGTGGTGAGGGTCCACAGCCTTGCGAGTGGCTGGGTTCATGGAGGTCGAGTCTTCTTGGCCTTCCCGAGCAGAGCAGGGCGCATATAGGCTGTGATGATGTCTTCTCGGACGTTTTGCACCGCCCTTTCGTCTGCAGCAATATCACACTTTCGAAGTATGCATTCGGGATCCCCGAGGCCAATAAGATACGGAGGTTTCCCGATCTGTCGTACGCCGAATTTGAGGAGAAATGGAGCGGAACCCCCTTCATCCTAACCGAAGTCGTGACAACATGGCCGGTCTCCCGCCAATGGACGATGGAAAAGCTCGTCGAAGACTACCGGGACGTTAGCTTCAGGGCCGAGGCTGTGGACTGGCCTTTCGCGACCTACTCCCAGTACATGTCAAATACACAAGACGAGAGTCCTCTGTACCTGTTTGACAAGAGATTCGCAGAGAAGATGCGGCTCAAGATCGGCAAGGCGGAAAGAGCGCTGTATTGGAAGCCTGATTGTTTTGGACCGGACTTATTTGAGGTGCTTGGACCGGAACGGCCGGCACATCGCTGGTTGATCATAGGCCCTTCGAGGAGCGGCTCGACGTTCCACAAAGACCCCAACGCGACCAGTGCCTGGAACGCCGTGATCCAAGGGGCCAAATATTGGATCATGTTCCCGCCCTCGGTCCAAGTACCTGGGGTCTACGTGTCGGAGGACAGCAGCGAAGTCACCAGTCCACTCAGCATTGCAGAGTGGCTTCTCGAGTTCCACGCAGAGGCTCGAGCAACCCCTGGGGCTGTGGAGGGGATTTGCAAAGCAGGCGAGGTTTTGCATGTACCTTCTGGCTGGTGGCATTTGGTGGTGAACCTGGATGCTGGCGTTGCGTTGACACAGAACTTTGTGCCCAAGTCTCACCTGTCAGACGTCATTGGCTTCCTTAGAGACCGGCCAGACCAGGTTACAGGGTTCAGGCGAGATATCGACAACCCTTTCGCTCTCTTCAAGCAGCGTCTACAGGCGGAGCACCCTGAGCTACTGCAAAAGGCGCTGGACGATCTGGACGGTCAAAGCAGAAAGAAGCGGAAGTGGGAGGCTGTCATCGGCGGCGCTAGCGGAGAGGACAACGAGAGAGGTATGGGCGGTGGCGGGTTCACATTTGGCTTTGGGGGTGGTGACGACGACGAGATACCCTGAGTTGCTGTCGATCTTGGGTCTGCATCAAAGGAGGCATCCTCATATTATTGAGCGTCTAGGAAGGCCAGGTGTATACCTAGGCACGCCCACCACCAAAAAAAAAAAAAAAAAAAAAGGGCAGTTACTTCGAGGAATAGAAATAGGAATAGGTACGGAACCAGAAAGGGAAGTGCGAATGAGAATAACAATAGGAATAATAACAAAAAAAAATAAGAATAGGAAAGCTTACGGTCCTTTAAACTGCCGCTTTTTTTTTATGTGGTGAGCGTGCCAGGATTGCAAGGGTCGGGACTGCGGGCTTTTGTAGTAAAGGTCCTAGACCAGAGCTTTTAAACCTGCGGATCTCAACGGAAGCCTCCTGGAAGCCTCCCGGACCTAGCGAGATGGAATTTAGAATAATATGTGCCTAGATATCGTTTGATGGCAGGACAAGTGGTGGCAAGATCCCAGGGGGTATATACTACCTAGTGTGGGCAAGTGATTGCGAGGACCAACAGGATGTGGTGGGTGTTGTCGGTTCTACGGCGTGATTGGTGCGCAGACCATGCAATCGGTCGGCGTCAGCGCTGTGCTCAGCCAGCCAGCAAAGCGTCCATTCTGGGAAACAGCACACGTTCACCCCAAGTCTCGCATGGCCGCCCGGACCCCTGTCGCCCCTTGGTCCTCAGTGGCCCCTTGCTCCCCACACCTCTTCAACTGCGCCGGAAGCCCGACCAACCCACCCCACGCTGCAAGCACCCAAGTGGGCACGTCGAGTGGGCAGGGACGCCGGGAGAGTGGGCATGGTGGCTTCATCCAAATTCCGAGCTGAACAGCCCCCCGGTGGCATGCTTCGTCACCTCTGAAACTTTGGCACAACCAGAGTCGCCTTGTTTGGCCAGCCAGCCTGGTCTGAATCTCATCTTCAACCACGTCCCCTGCCCGCAGCTCACCTCACCCTCTCACTCACCCTCGCGACTTCACTACCTGGCGAACTCGCGAAACGTCCCCGTCCACTTCCCCTGGCTTCCAGCCTCTGCTTGTTGCCGTTTTCCGGTTGCCACTTTCCTTGCTGCTGCACCCGACCGACCGCCGCACTCCCATATCTGCTGTCCACCGCCGCTTTCGCTGCCCGGCTTTTTGTTTGTTTATCCCCGGGAAAGCCCTCGCTCGCGTTCGCTCATTGCACGATCCCGCCCAACAATGTTGCCATGCCTCTAATTTAGGCGGCCACGCCCACCGACGCTGTGCAGCTCGTACGACCTTCATCCGCCGCTGCCTCTCGTCGTCGAGCCGCCACCGCCGCCTACCCACTTCGGTTCGCCCGTGCTGGTTTGTAGAGCCTGCTTGGTTCGTCTGCCAGCCACAAAAGCACACCCCTCGCGAGCTCCTGCGGCTCACACAAGTCCCTTGTTTTACCTACAGGCACAGACGGGCGCACCCTCGACCGCCCCCTTTCTCCGTCCTTGGCCCCAACAGGGCTCAGGCGGCTGACCGACAGGCTTCAGCCCACCACCCCATCACCATAATCTAATCGCCCTCTCGCATGCCGCCTTATATGACCCGGCTTACGTCCAAGAGCTACAGCCCCCAACATCCCCGGCTACCGCTGGTTTCCGCCTGCATTCTATACCATTGCTCTGGCTTATTCCCACTTTGTTTCTCTACGCCCACTGAAAGAACACATCCCACTCCGCCCACGACCCCTTTTATTACATTGCATTAGAAACCACACGCGGCCGCCATGGTCTCGGACGAGACCTACGACATCTGCCTCCCCATACTAGAGGACACGACTCTAGAGGAGGAGGATAAGACGGATAAGCTCGAGGAGCTGCTGCGCAAGGAAACCACGCTCAGCGGCGCCGCCCTCGAGAATGCCGTATTAGACGCGCTGTGGCGCTTCCGCGACGGAGGGGGCACCGCGGCCTCGCCGCCGCCCATAAGACAGACCATCCTCCGCCGCCCATCCCCGGCCTCGTGGCGCGGTGGCTCGTCCACTCCCCTGCCAGGATCTCCGCGTCTCGGCGTCAGCCCCCTCGCCCCGCCGGGATTCATCCCAACCCCGTTCGGTCGCAGCGTCACCGCCAAGTCGTCAACAGCCTCTCCCTTTGGCTCACCCCGCCCCTCACCGAGGCTAGCTTTTGCGAGCCCGGCCATCCCGCACAGCCCGAACCTGAACGCATACGAGTTTGCTACGGAAGCACCCTCGCAAGAAATCTTTGGTGACCTGCAGTCGGACAATGTTGACTGGCTCACCAACGATGATGCCATCAGCGTCACGTCATCCCTGGGGACCGGGAGCGCGCTCAATGCTGCCGCTCCGGAGTATGCACCTTCGCAGCAGATAGATATGACCCCCTATGACATGCTCCGATCTATACTCGGTCAGTCGAGGACCGACGAGGAGATAGACGTAGCCCTGTCCATGCACGGATACGACTTGGGCGCAACCATATCGGCCATCATGGAGAGCCAGACACCGTCTGAAGCGGGCGCGCTGGTGGCCGCACAGATGGAAGAAGCATCAAGCTTCCTGGTCGGGAAGTCCATGACTCCCGACATCCGCCCGTCCACGCCTGCGGACCAGCGATCGGGCGTGATTTGCAAGTTCTTCCTAGCTCAAGGTCAGTGCCTGCGGGCCGACTGTAGGTTCTCGCACGACTTAAGCAACCACGTGTGCAAGTAAGTGATGGCAACTCGGATGCGTGGAAACACGCGAGCTGTGTGACTGATCGTGGTTTCTTCTCCTAGGTACTGGGTTGCTGGTAACTGCCTTGCAGGCGCCACGTGCATCTTCTCGCACGACCCTGTGCACCTAATGAACAAGCTCACGGTTGACGGCACCAGCACGCCCCCGGCGTCGCACAAGGGGGCCATAAGCATCCAGCTGCAGGACCTCAACTCCTTCCCCTCGCTGCAGCCGCCAACACCCGAGCACGTGGGCGGGCTCACCGGATCCAACATGTATCCTTCTCTTGGCATCACGCCGCCTCCAGGGTTCAAAATCTTAGGCGTCGGCGGCGAGGTTTCGCGCCCGCGGTCTCGCCCAGGGAGCCGCCACCAGCAGAAGGAAACGGCGCAAGCAGCGCCCTCGCTCGATGATACTGAGGCGTTTCCTTCGCTTGGTTCCGCTTCCGCCAAAGCGGCCGGCAAGAAGCACCATGGCAAGCGTGGCGGCCATGGACACCACAAGGAAAACTTTACGCCCAGTTCGCTGGCCGACATCGTCAAGATGTCCCCCTCTCCCCAGCCCGAGTCGTCCAAGCTGGCGTCGCGCAAGATGGGACGAAACGGAAGCTCGACGAGCATCAGAAACGGTGAAAATAGCGCGACAGCTCAAGCTATCCCTAGTCCCAAGCACATCCCGTGGCTGGAGACAGGCGACAAGGCGAACAAGGCCTACCTCAAGGCTCGTCAGGAAGCTATCAAGCATGGCGGCCTGAGGAACAAATTTCTCCAGAGGTACGTGCTCGAGCAATCGGTAGACGGCAGGATACGTTGCCTTGTTTCCATGGTTCAGGGAGCCATGTGTCCTCAGCGGCCTAGTTTGGTATTTTGCTGACGCAGAACTCGTGCAGTGCCGCTCAGGCGTGGAACCGAAACGACGCCCGCGCAGCCAAGGCACTGAGCCTGCGCGGGCAAAGCGAGAACGACCTCATGCGGAAGGCGCACCGCGAGGCAGCCCGCGAGCTCTACGAGGAGCGTAACAAGAACAACTGGGCCAACCAGGAGCTGTACGTCGATCTGCATGGGCTCCACCCAGAAGAGGCGGTGGAATACCTCGAGCGTGTTCTGCTGGAGAACGAGAAGGAAGCCAGGCCGGTTTATGCCATCACCGGGACGGGTCACCATAGCAAAAATGGCAAGGACAAGGTAGGCAAGGCGATCCGCAACTTCCTCAACGAGTGGCGATACGCCTACCGCGAGTTTTCGGTGCCAGGCGACCGTAGCAACATGGGAGGGATCCTCGGGATTGATGCAAGGAGCTGGGACAGATCTTTGGCACGAGATGGGTCCGCCGTCGCCGGTAAGGCTGGGGATGGGGTCAACAAGGAGCCCATCGACATAATGTCTCAGGGAGTGGAGATCGGCGAGGGCAAGGTCAAGCTTCTGGTTAGGGACACATCGGCTAAGGAGCCCCCTAAGGGCCCACGGGGTCGATGACATGTATAGAGGAGTGCTCGGTTACATCGGTACCACCCAGTTCATAATACCATCCCTCCTACCCGTTCACGCTTGGGGCCACCCCGTCGCCGCAGTGGAGCCAGATGGCTCTGTCAAGCAAAGAGTAGCGAAAGACGGGATCGGGTACGTTGTTGTCTGGCTGACACTACGAGGTCAAAGGCGAAAGATGCATACGCAGACTGTCACCGAGACTGTTTCCATGGCCGGGCCTCGGACACGCCACACAGCAAGCGGATCGAATGCAGAGCTATTCTTTGCTCCTTTTAGATAGGATCCTAATTCAGCACATATCGAGTCATTCCGACGCGGGGTTGGCCCGGAATACGCTGTTGTTGTTTCATGGGCCGAAATTAGACGTGAAACATATCTTTATTCCTGGACCAACGCACGTCTTTTCTGTGCCATTGACAATGCCCTTTCCCAAAAAGGCTGAGAGTGGGCGAGTCCGGTGTCTAATGGCGTCCGAGCTGTGGCATTGACTGGCTAGAGAACCCCGGGTAGTTACAGCCAATGTTGCGAACACGTGGAGTGTCGGTTTATGGTTGGTTAGATGGTAGGTAGGTACCTTGCATGGGGTTGTACTGTAGGCCTTACTGTGACTATCATCTGTGAGAAGGTTTTGACGTGAACTAAATCACAGACATGGACATCTGACAGCTTCACCGGGCCCCTCCGTTTTGGGGGCAGTGCTCTGGAGTGCGCAGTTATTTTGGTGCTCGGGCCAGGATGTGTCCTGTCAGTCAAATGCCGAATTCGGCTAGGCTCCCGCGCTTGTCTCTGGCTCTCAACCAACCACATCCAAGCGCGTCTGCCAGCTCCGTCTTAGTGTCCCTTGATCTGTGCAGTCAGCGCTTGGCTCCGGGCTGGCTCAGGTTCAGGGAACCTTGAGGAGAGGCCCAGGCCGCACGCGCGGGCCCATCCCATGAGATGGGCCGGTCCATCAGCGGCGTCTCTGTGGCTGAGTTGGATCTGCTTCTGCACCCAGCGTCAGGCCCAATCTAGGGGTAGGTCGCATCGCAACCGCGCCCAGTCAGCAATTACGTTGACGACCCCCGGGGCCCTGACTGGCGGGTCGGCATGGGGAAGCTCAATTTCGTCTGGGTTGTTCCGTCGTTGAACTTCTCTCGGTTCGATGAACATTTTGTAGCTTTCCACACTTACCGATCACTCTGAACCGACGCAAGAGAGGAAGAGAAAAAAACGCAAGCAGCGGCAGAACAAAGAGTGAAACGCCACGAAAACCCCGGTATCCATACACTGTCAATGGCATCACAAAGGTAGCCCCGTTGGTCTCCATTCGCCCCCCTGAACTGAGACACCAACGGTGCGGCGCGCTCCGTCACCACCGAACCATCACCACCACCACCCCCACCGCCTCCGACAGATATCTTCACCAATAGTCCCGACAGCCGATCAGCCGACTTCGCTGTTCTCTCGCCCCGTACCGTCTGTCTGTCTGTCTGTCAAGGACCAGCAGAACTGCAAGAAAGGAAGTAAGAAACCTCCCAGACCCGATGCCGGCCGACTTCCCCTCGGCGGCCGCGGCCCTGTCCGCCTCCCCCGAACGACGGTCCTCGGTCGATCCCACGTCGAACCCGCCGCCGCCATGGGCCCAACGGCCACCCCGATCAAGCCGCCGCCACTCCCGAACCGTGCAGAGCAAGCAGCCCTTCTCCGCCACCGTCATCCGCGCCGTCTCGAGCCTCTCGCGCCAGCTGTGGACCATATTCCTGCGGCTGCCCCGGATCCAGCAGGCGGCCATCGTCGTGGCCGCCATCTCGCTCCCCATATTCTCCGTCCTCTTCCTGCTGTACAGCCACGCCATCTTCACGTGGCTGGGGCCCGTGGCCAAGGCCTGGCGCGGCCTGCCCGGCGGCTGGCTCATCATCTGGGCCATGGCCTTCGCCAGCGCCTTCCCGCCCATGATCGGCTACAGCACGTCCATGACCCTCGCGGGCATGGTCTACGGCTTCCCGCTCGGCTGGCCCATCGCCGCCTCGGCCACCGTCGCCGGCTCCACGGCCGCCTTCATGACCAGCCGCGGCATCTTTAGCGGCTACGTCCAGTCGCTCGTTGGCACCGACAAGCGATTCGTCGCCCTCAGCCAGGTCCTCCGGCGGGATGGTCTGCTTGTCCTCACCGGGGTGCGGTTCTGCCCTCTCCCATACAGTCTCAGCAATGGCTTCCTTTCTACGATACCGAGCATCCGGCCGTGGTCGTTTGCGCTAGCTACTGCGTTTGTTAGGTGAGTTATACCCGTCATGGACAGCTTGGTACTCGCGGAAACCTTTGACTGACGTGCCATCATGGCCGATTTCCCTACAGCCCAAAACTCCTCATACACGTCTTTATCGGCAGCCGACTCGCAAAGCTGGCGGAGGAGGGCGACAAGATGGCCTTCAGCGACAAGATGGTCAACTACACTGGCATGGGGCTCTCAGCCGTGGTGGGCGGCGTCGTGGGCTTGGTGGTGTACCGGCGCACGATGGCGCGGGCGGCGGAGCTGGCCCGCGAGGAGCGGCAGCAGCAGGGCCCCCCGTTCGACGAGGAAGACGAGGGTGGGTACGAGGACAGCGATGCGGGCAGCGGCCACCGCCGCGGCCGCAATGGCGAACAGTCCGAGCTTATGTCGGTGCTCATGAACCCGGACGACGTCGAGGCAGCGGCGCTGATGGACGACGACGACATCTCGCTATGGGGCGTGGACGATTACGAGCTGGACCGCGGGCCGTCGGCGGAGAGTCGCTTTGCCGACGAGGAGGCTATACTCGAGGGCAATGGGTTCAGGGCGGGCCGGCGGTCTCAAAGATAAGCCATATCCGCTCCACTCAGAGGGCTTGGAAGGAGGCGGAAGGGGGGAGTCCACGAGTACGGCTTGGTGGCAGTGAATGTGGAGTATGATTGTGGGAGCGGGTTCGATCCGCGGTGATGTCTTGTTTTTTGTCCATGTCTTTTTATCCATGGCTCATTTCTACGGAATTCCTGCATGCAACGGCGTTGGGGGTTTGTGGTCTTTTGGATATTTATCGTGTTTGTTATTCCGGTTTACAGGGGATGACGATAGACAACATCTAGACTTTATTTAGTTTCCGAGTGTGTTTTTTTTTGTCCATTGCTGAAGAATCGCTGGCGTCCAGACGAGCCCAGAGTGCCTGCATATTCTGTGGTGTTTGGCAGCTTGGAAGCTGGGCGGCGCATGCCGGCCGATGGATACATGCAGCACTGAACAATTGGGCCTTGGCACCAAGGGCCGACGCCGGGTTCCCAGCCCGACCAGGCGACGGCAGACACAGCATTCTCCAAACCCCCACCGGTAGCAACTCTGTTCTAGATCGGGCGGGACAACCGAGTCGCAAGTGCTTGATACACTTCAGCACCACCTTCTCTGTCATTGCCCCGGCCCAAAGTGAGCGCGCAGCCATGGCCAAAATCCTGATTCCGCCGGCGAAGCTGCTGAGCAGCAAGAGCCACCTGATCCCTGGTTAGTCCCGTCGGGCGCCCTGCCGTGAGCGAACGAACGGACAAAAGTCGACGGCTAAGCAGCAGAAACCGAGTCGCCGCAGGCCAGTACCTGGTGGATGAGCTGTCCTTCTCGGTCCCACTCAACTACCGCAAGCCGAACGCGGAGACGCTGCAGCTGTTTGGGCGCAGCGTCCGCAAGTACGAGCACCCTATCGTGCCGCCGTCCCCACCCGAGTACCTGCAGAACCTCGCGCGCAAGCCGTGGATGGTCTACTGCGAGGGCGGGCCCGGCTTCGGCAACCAGGAGCCGCAAAACATGCCCCTCACCAAGACGGCGCTCGAGAGGGGCTACCAGGTGCTCTACCTCGACTACCGGGGCACCGGCCTCAGCACCCCCGTGACCGCCGACCTCCTCGAGTCCAAGGGCGGCGCGCAGGAGCAGGCCGACTACCTCCGGCTCTTCCGGCAAGACAGCATCGTGTGCGACCTCGAGGCGGTCCGCCAGGTCCTGACCGAGAACTCGCCCGAGGAGGTGCGCCAGTGGTCGCTGTTCGGGCAGTCCTTTGGCGGCTTCGTGGCCCTGACGTACCTGTCCCGGTACCCCGAGGGCCTGCGCGAGGTCTTCCTCACGGGCGGGCTCGCGCCCGTTGGGAGGAGCGCCGAGGAGGTCTACCGGGCGACGTACCGCAAGGCCGCGGAGCGCAACGAGGCCTACTACAAAAAGTTCCCCGAGGACGGCGCGCGGCTGGCGCGGCTCGCATCCTTCCTGGCCGACAAGGGCGGCTCGGTTCCTCTCCCAGCGGGCGGAAAGCTCACGTTCCCGCGCGTCATGACGCTCGGGTCGCAGTTCGGGGCGCACGGAGGGCTCGACTCGGTGCACGCCACCCTGCTCCGCGCCGCGGCGGACCTGGAGCAGGTCGGGTACCTGACGCGGCCGACGCTGGTCCAGTTCGAGCAGGCGACCCCCTTCGACACGGCCCCGATCTACGCCATCCTCCACGAGGCCATCTACTGCGACGGGCCGGGGAGCTCGTCTAGCTGGGCGGCGCAGCGCGTGGGCAAGGGGCTCGAGCGGTTCGGGTGGCTCTCGGGCGCCGGCGGCAAGGAGGGCGACGCCGCCGCCGCCGCCGCCTTCGCCGCAGCGGCCGACGAGTCGTCGTCGCGCCCGCCCTTCTTCTCGGGTGAGATGATATTCCCGCTCCACTTCGAGACGTACCCGGAGCTGGCCCGCATGTCGGCCGCGGCCGAGATCCTGGCCCGCGCCGACGACTGGGGCCCGCTCTACAACGAGGGGCAGCTCGCGAGGAACCAGGTGCCCCTCTACGCGGCGAGCTACATCGAGGACCTGTACGTCGACTACGGCTTCGCCAGGGAGACGGCCGCCAAGGTTAAGGGCACAAAGGTGTTTGAGACCAACGTCGTCTACCACAACGGGCTCCGCGCGAGGTCCGACGAAATACTGGGGCAGCTGCTGCGGCTACGAGACGACACGATCGACTAGGCATGTTGTCACGGCTATTATCGAGCGTGCCACTGTCCATGTCCACCTATTTTGACGAGGGGCTGGGATGTCTGCTTCCCCCTTCCCCCTGGAGCCCCGATTGTGAGAAGCGCAGGTGGGAAAGGAATGATGGCATGATGTTCAATCCCAAGACAGAGCAACACAGTTTCCCCCATCTAGGTCCTAGGTCAGATACAAGGAAGCATGAGATTTGTTGCCGACCTGAGTGCCTTGTCTTCTCAATGCTTGGAGTCTATGAGGGCAGTATGGCGCATCTCGACCCCGCATCCGTTCCTGAGCTCCGTCGGGGCACCTGTTCTGACGGCGCTGATGGCGGCGTGGCGTTGTCACTGGAGCTGCTGTTTTGTAGAAGGTGAAGGGACAGCCCAGCCCCATCTCCCCAGCCTGCATTGCAATCTCAGCTCACACTGGAGAGCACTGTGCCCTCACCGAGCACGGTCGGGCTGGTAACGAGGTGCTGCTCCAGTGGGGCGGGGCGCTCCACCTGCGCTAGAAAAACGGCCGTGCGATGAAACTGGGTGAAGTTCGTCCGGGCTCCCTATTTTGGCGCCCACTTCTTCCGACAGACGACGGATTTGGAAAAAGCTCTTCCTTTCCTTCTTCCCCAACCAACCTCCACCAGCAGACACGCTGCAAAACGCTGGGGATGACATGCCAGGAACTCACCCAAACCCTGGTCGAGTCGTTCAACGCTCTCGCCGATGAGGTCCAGAACCTGATCGACAGGAAGACAATCCTGGAGCACAAGTTGCGCTACGCCCATGAGCAGGTATGCCGATTTTTTGCCCTTTGCCTTTGTTTTGGTCCTTCGCCGTCGCCTGTCTCGGTCCTTCCCCCCGCCCTAGCCTCCCTAGCCTCTCCCGAACAAACCAGCGATCTTTTATGATGATTACCTTTAGCTCTAGATCTTGAGCTGCTTCGCCAGCAGAGATAGACAACATTACCATTTTCTGAACTCGCTTCTTGTTCTTCCGCTGCCCTCCCCCCTTCATCCTGGCATGGAATCTGTGCCTCACAACCAAGCACGTCTGAAAGCAACGTAATCCGCTGACACGCGACGGTGGCCTTGCTTTCCAGTACCAGTACCTAGCAGACAAATATGCGCCAGCCGTCCCCGCTGTGTCGGAGACGCTGGCCAAGCTGCAACTCCCGCCAGAAGTCAGCCATCCAGCTTTGTTGAACAGCCATTTGGTACCGCTGCCGAAACGCGGCTCCAGCTCCGATAACGCCCAGATTGCGCTTTTCATCCGTGAAGGAAGAAAGGTTGCGAGCAGGCTCTCTAGTCTGACGGATCAGAGCAAGACCAGTACCGAGAGCAGCAAGGGCCTCCTATCCACCACGGACATGACCACTCTGTCCGCCACTGTCTTGGAGCAAGACTTTACGGTCCAGGGGAGGAAGGGTCAGCTGAAATGCCCGTTCTCGGCCCCGGCTACTGCTGCCGGTTGGGATAAGGACAAGGAACCACCCGGCGACGGTAACCCGAATGCTGGTGCCCCGGGCGCACCGGTGCAGAGCCAGGATGCGACGCCGCATCACGGAGATGACCCGATATGCGCCGCCATGGTGGACGAGGCGGCGTCTCAGGGCGCAGCTAGCGGGGCAGCTGCCGCCAAATGCCCCATTCGGTTTCTAGATCAGCACTCGCCCGAGGAGATTGCGCACTACGTGTCAACGCACAAGCACGAAATCCCTCGCAGCCACGAGGTCTGCATCGAGCGATATCAACGCAACGAAGATCAGATACGGAAGCTCGACGCCAAGTACGGCAGCCTAGTCGGCATGATTGCCGATCTGAGCCAGCTGCACAAGCCCATGCTGCCACGCCCGGAGAACGCGGATGACGTCGATGGGGCTTCGAATCGGCGCGTCGAGGATTGGGCGCATGAAGTCAGCGCCAACAAGCCAGACGACCCGCCCGAACAGGGAGTCACATCGGTGCCGCCGCCACCTCGTGCTATGAATGCAGACAGCGGCCACGGCGATGATGATGACGAACGCGAAAGCCACTTTGACCGGGCCCTCAAGGAGGTCCGCGTTGGCGAGTCTCCGAGCCGCCCGTGGGGTATCTCTGTGCCCATCTACGGCAGCGCAACGCTACATAGCGGGAATGACGAGCGCCCAATTTCTCCACCGCCCGCTCCCGTACACATGCCTCCTCGGGTGGCGGAACCCAAAACTCCGCGCTCTGGCGTAGCTGGAAAAGCCGGCCCGTCTAAATGTCCTTTTGATCACACGAAGCTCCAGGGCATGATGTCGTCGCCCTTCAACAAAACCGAAGGAGAGGACCGAGACAGCCGCCGGCCATCTGTGGGTGGCGTCAGCGCCGTGGGCTTTACGCCTCATCGCGCAATGCCTCGGGCGCCATCGTCTGTCGTGCTCCCCAAGCAAGCGCCCCCAGAGTCTAGTGTTCCGGGGTACAGCAGCGCTCCCCGACCTGCCTTTATAAACCCCCCGAGCGTCTCCAAGCCTGGGCAACCATCCACCGCCCCCCAAATGCTATTCACGGGCCCAGTATTCATTGGATATCCTATCGAGCAGGCCATCCAATTCATGCAGCATTTTCAGAACAACCAGTGACGCCAGTTCCTCCCTGTTCTTATAAGTCTAGTCGTGGCCTCTTTAGACCTCGTGTGTTTTTGCTCTTTTGGTTTTCTTCGTAGAGCGTTGCTTTCTTCATGAATCGGTTTGCGATGGCGTTTGGGTGGGTTTTTTTTCTTGTCTTTTTTTCTCCCTCTGCACTCCTGTCTCCTTTGGTTGACAGCGATTGGATGGGGACATGGCTAATGACAAACTGGGCGCGCGGTTAATGTATTCAGGCTCCCGGGAGACAACTTTGCGGGACTCCAGAACCTAGATTGGGTATGTTTTGATCAGATAGAGCTAGCTTGGTACGCGCCTTTCGTGTGCATGTGGAACTTGATACCAAGATTTGCCTCGATATATCGTATTTGACGTGATCTGCACCTACTCCCTCCTCATCTCCTTCGTTATTCTGTTAAATAGGCACCTTGTGAGCTAGACGTTTCCACAGAGCGCAGCGCTCCGGAAGCTGAGAAAGCTTCAGCTGCCCGAAGCCCTCGGTGCGGACGTGGAACTGATAGCCCGTGTCTAAAGTAGGCACGGTCGAGTTGGCGGTGAGGTTTCTTGTGTTGGGGTCGCCCGTGGCCATGAAGGACGCCATGGCACCCGTGTAGCCCAGGAAGTGGTGACGGTCCGTCTCGTGCGCCGTGTTGGGGGCGTTCCACTGTCGCTTCGCGTCAGCCCGGGAGCTTTCGGGGGGATATGTGTGTATCCAAGTACGCAGGTCACTCCAAACCAAGCAGATTTGCCATCGCAAGTAGGGAGCAAAAGAAAAAAAGTGGGGAAACAGTACCCAATACACGTCGGAAGCGTGCTTCGCCGGGGCGATGGAGTACTCCCCAAGCCAGCCCCGACCACCACCACCTGCGCCCGCGAGCCAAAAGGCCGGGCAGGCCAGCACCACGTCGCGGTAGACGAGGCCCGCGCGCGTGGCGGCGTCGTCGTAGCGGCCGATGGCCTCGGACCCGCCGCGCTCGGGGTACAGGAGCGCCACGCCGGCGAGGTCGGCCGCGTCCAGGCCGGGCAGGAAGGCGGCCAGCCAGGCGCCGAAGTCGGCGGCCGTGGCGACGGACCCGGGTGGGTGGATAAAGTCCTCGCCCTCGTGGGTGTTGTACATGGCAAATACGGCGGGCGCGGCGGCACGGCGCCTCTCCTCCTCTCCTTCCTTGTCAGGGGTTGTGGTGATGGTGGTGGTGGTGGTGTCGACAGAGGAGGCTATGCTGCTCAGCGGGCGGCGCAGGAAGCGGCCGTCGAGGACGGGGGCCCAGGTGAAGGTGGACGTGTTGTGCAGGTGGCTGTCGGCGATGGCGAGGCTGGCGTCGCGGATGACCTGCACGTCGGCCGCCTTGAGGCACGCGAGCCGGCCGTCGCCGTCGCCGCCGGACGGGGCGCCGTCCCGGGGAGGAGCCGGGGGCGCGCCGCAGCCGACGCGCTCCGAGAGGGTGTCAAAGATCCACTGCGCCTCCGGGCTGTCGAAGGCGTACGTCTTGGGCCAGAAGGGGCTGTTGGCTAGCGCGGCGGCGAAGAGGGGCTTTGTGGCCGCCGCCCGGGGCCGGGGCCAGGGCCGAGGTCCCGCGTCGCCGCTGCTGCTGCCGCTGCTGCTGGCCATGATGTTGTGGCGAGGCTGGGCGATGACCTGGGCGACGACGCTGCCTCCGCCGGCAGATTCTAGAAAGAAGTTTACCGTGTTATACAAGAGTCACTCGCTGACCACAGAAACCAGTCAGGGGAAACCAGTAGAGAAGAGGGGGGAAAAGAAGCACCAACGCCCTTGGATGGTGATGCGGTCCGGGTCCCCGCCAAAGTGGCGGATGTACCTGCTCGTCCACTCGATGGCGGCCCGCTGGTCCAGCAGGCCCGGGTTCAGGTCTGAGCGCGGATGGTCGGCGGCGACCTGGCGGCCGGGCAGGAAGCCAAAGGCGTTTGTGCGGTAGTTTGGGTACACGACGACGAGCCCCGGGTCGGCCGAGAGCTCGAGCACCGGGTACAGCGACGGCCGCGGCTCGAACGACGCCGAGCCCCGCACGAAGCCGCCGCCGTAAAAGACCACCACCACGGGCCGGAGCGGCTGGCCTCGGGTCCACGGCCGGCTGTAGAGGCCTAGGTAGAGGCAGTCTTCGGAGCCAGAGGTCTGTTTTGTTTTTTTTCCGCCGGTTGGGTCTTTCTCAGTTTATGTCCTTCTCACTCGCTATGTACACAACAAATACGTCTTGTCTCAAGACCGCCACTGACCTCGCGCTGGGGGCACATGCTGAACCGCTGGGTCGAGTTGTAGACGTCGCGGCCCACGTGCCCGGGCGGCTGCGGCGCGCGGAACCTATTCTCGCCCACGGGAGGCGCGGCAAACGGTATCTTTTGCCAGTACGAGATGTTGTACCTATCCGAGTAGGCCCCCTGGAACGCCCCGTAGTCGAGCGCAGCGAGGAGATCCTGCGCCCGGGCGAGGGCCCCGGCGAGGAGGAGGAGGAGGAGGAGGAGGTGGAGGGAGAACACGTGCATGCTGCGCGCCGGTATCGCCGGGTCCGTCACAGCCTTCTTCAGTCTGATCTTGGGGGGCGGCCGGAAGCCGACCTCTAGGTGCTGTCGAGATGGCACTAACAAAATGTTCTATGGCGGCGGGTCTGCCTATATATCTCCTCCGTCTGCCTCGGCAAGATTGCATCGTGGCAGCTAGCCCCCTCTATCCTTTCGCATGCTTGCGGGGATGGCTGGATGCTCCCTCATCTCTGCTCATTGGTGGATGATATTCAAATGTAACATCACGCAGGGTTCCGATTTAGCCAGCTTTGATCTGATTGGCTTCTCGTGGTCGAAGGCCAGAGACGCACTGAGCCTGGGGACACTCCATATGAGCAAAAAGAAAAGGCTCTGCTCATTCTTAGCTGGCGCCTAGCATGATTATACTAGGATCCTAGTTTACCAGGAGACCGATATGAAGATTTTGAATCTCCGAGACAGGCACGCGGCTTCAGCTGCATGGCCTCTGGTAACCATAGAGGTAGACTACCTCATTCGCATGTGATAAATCGAACTCATCACCGCTGGACAGTATGCCTCGTCAAGAGAAAGTGGCCTGTGTTCACTTGTAAAAGATGGCCAGAATACTGGCGCAATCATATTGCAAAAGAACGCAAAGGCGGTTTCGGGATTAAATCAGACAGTTCCAGAAATTATGAAAATAGCAATCGCAGGGTCAGGAACGGCAGGCACGAAAGATGCAGGGCAAACAGCGCCAAAACCCAGCGCAGAGAGGTATCGTGATATTCATCCTTCGCTAACGAGAAACTGAAGATGGCGGGTAAAAACCAAGATCATAGAAGTCATAGCATTCCCAAGGCAGGTAGGAAAACAAAGCACCAAGTGAGGAAATTTGAAGAAAGAAAAACGCAGGTTGCGGCCGCGTTTTGAGCTCGAGTCAAAATTCCCTCGACCGCAAGAAGAAAACATAGCGCTGGGCCGGTCGTGTGACTGCCCAGTTGGAAGGCGAGTATTTTGTTGTTTTTTTGAAAGAAAAAAAAGGAGAGGTCAAGCATGACGTCTCTGGATCCTAGTGGCCGCGACAAGGCGCACACGTTCAACGTCGAAATCAGGGGAAGCGTGGCGGGCGCGGAGGAACATGGAAATGGTGGTTGTGATACGTGGTGCGGCCTTGGAAGAAGTGTCCAGCACCATCATATGCGGACCCCGGAGTGAGAGCGCCAGGACCGCCTCCCAGGTAGAACTGGCGCTCCATGCTCGGCAGACCACGAGATCCCAGGTCCTCCTCGCGGCGGCTCGTCGTCTCGCGCAAGATGAGGGCGACAATGTCGGGGTTCGCAAGGAGAAAGCACGTCGTCTCGTCGACCGTTGCGCCGCGCGCATTAAAGACGGGTTGGAGAAAGCCGATACGGGCAAATATCATGCGCAGAAGAGGATCCGTATCGGTACCCAGACCGTCGTAAAGCCTGCGGCAAAGCTGCAGGACGTGGGGGTGGGCCGCATCGGAACCGGCGCTCTCCAGCATGTCAATGCTAGCCCGGGCCACGGCTCGCTTCAAGCCGTCCATGAGGTACTTGTTGGCGCAGATATAGACGTCAATGTTGAGCTCGTACGTCAGCAGCCACGTCCGCATATCCTCCCCCTTGATACGGCCGCCGTTGGGATCGGCCATGGTGCCCAGGGCTGAGGGACCTCCGGGGAGCGGCGGCGGCGAGCCGGGACGCATGCCGCCGACGGGCGGCATAGGGCCGTCATTCGGAAAGACGTTGACGACGTTGGGTTGGAGGCGGTAGCGGCGGTGCCGCTGCTGGCGCTCACGCTCCCGCTCGGCCCGGAGGATGTGAGGCGGGGGGCCCGGAGGGGGAGGCTGGCGCGGGGCGTTGCAGTTCCAGCAGGGCGAGCCCCCAGCGTTCAGACACTGAGGGCAGTTGCAGTTCGGCCGATGCACGCCGGGGCGCTTTTGGCGCATGGTTTCGTAGGCGCGGTCGTCACGCCTGCGCCGCCGCTCACGCCGGCGACGGGAACGGGCAGTGCTGTTGCTCAGGATACTCTCGGCAGAGTCCGAGTCGGTATCCATTTGTTCGGCGGGCTCTCTGCCCTTTCCCTTGTCGACATCGGGGACTACAGTGAGGCCGTTAATATGAGCACTCCAAGTGGCAGATGATAAGGTCTGTCACGGCGCAGGATAACATGGGTAACTCACTCAGCTCCGAGGCGATGGGTTTGATGGGCTCATAGCGCCCCTCGTACAGAAACGCGACAATATGGTGGAAAATGGCAGGGTCTTCCTCTGGGAGGCTGATGGACTGCGTCTCGGACTCGCGGAAGTGACCACAAAGGGCTTTATGAAAGAAGTCAACCCGTTCGAGCAACGACTTGTGTACCGTGAAGGTCTTGGCATCGGGATAGACGCCCACATGGATTGGGATGAGGGTCGAATTATAGCGGCTATAGAATCAAAACCAGGACTGTATGTCAGAAACACAGCCTGACCTGGAAACGGGGCCCAGCCTGAACCTGCGCGACACTGAGCTAGCCGAGGAGCCGGCAGAGGCAAACACCACACATGCAAGGGAGAGGGCAGGCGCTGGCTTCAGCGAGGAGGGCACACCATGGAACAGCACGCACGCAGCAGCACAGCACGGGGCGGCCGAAGTGCATGCGTGCACCTGGAGTTGGTGTGTGGGGTGCGTGCTGCAATGCAATCAATCGAGCCACAGAGACAGCAGGGGGGGAGAGAGAGCGTGCAGGTAGGTGCAGCGCTACATCACCCGCTTCGAGCCTTTCCGAGAGACTTTGCCGACGGGCGGACAGGGACAAGGACAAGGACAAGGCAGACAGAGAGACAGGCAGACTCGGAGACAAATAGACTCACCCGTCAAACGTGGTCAGCCAAAGGTCTTCTCTGGGGTCCAGCACCGAGTCCTTGCGGCTCGCGTTGAGGTCACTCGGCATCTGGCCGATTACGTGCACGTCGGGGGCGCGAGTCCCAGGTGCCCGCATCGCCTCGCCCAGCGACGTAGGCCTGGCGAGATGAGAAGTTGGGGGCCCACGGCCGGGCCGCCCGCCGCTGTTGCCGCCGACTCGTCGCTCGACGTTCTCCGCATCCGTGCTTTGTCTGCCGCTGCTGCTGCTACTGCTGCTGGTACTGGCGGTGGCGCTGGCGCTGGTTGTTGTCGCTTGACTGTCCGCGGCGCCCGAGCCTGTCGCCGCCGTCGCCGATGTTGTCGCCGTGGCGGCCGTCGTGATTGTGCTGTCGTCGCCGCCAGCCTGAAGGTGGTCGCTGCTGTTGCTGCCGCTGCCGCTGCCGCTCGCTTCCCCTGTCCCTCCCACCAGGGAGCTTTCTCCCATCCTCATAGCTGCGGTCGCAGTCGAGCCTTGACCTTACAACTCGATGCGCTTTCTAGGTATTGGTTTACTTCTTTTTTTTCTTGCGCTTCTTCTTCTTCCTAGTTTGCGATCAATGCGACCGAGTCGTGCTCGTTCTCATCAGTCGTTCCCATGTATTTTATCGCTTGCGCCCGTGTAGTCTCTCGATGCGCCTGGAGCCTGGGTGTGAGGGGGTGTGGGTAGGTTTGGCAGGGGATCAGTGAGATAGCGCTCAAGCGGTGATGTTTTGTGGAATTGAGCAACCGAGGCCGACGACGATCCAATTCGATTGTGCAGGAAGGCTGGTCTGGGCGGTTTATATCAAGTCCCGCCTGCTCCAGAGGTACCTAGTAGGTAGCGCGACTGGAGGATAAAAATGAGGAGGGGAAGAGGAGGAGCAAGTGAAAACGACCCCAATGCGTGATCCCAAATAAGGAAAGGGTGCTGCAGCAGCTGATGGCAGGCAACACTGAGGCACTCCGGGAGGCAGCCCAGCCCGTCACTGCTGTTCGGGTCTGGCGCCAGGCTTTCTCAGAGGCAGTCGCAACACAAGTCGCCATGTGGGTGGAGACAACATGAACCGAGCAGCCAGCCACATTCAGCCACCTATCGACCTGCCGTTTTCCTCTCCGGAAAGTCGCCCGTGGCCCCAGTCCCAGTCCACCAGTTCCAACCAACCACAGCTGGAGGCGCCCGAGTGCTTAGGTTGCCCACAAGGCCTCCAAGTAACCAACACCGCCCTTTCAAGCCGTCGGGTTGAGTCACTAGTGAAGCGTGAGGCAGCATGTTGGGGTAGGCAGGTTCTGCTTCCTGGCCCTTGTCGTCGAGGACGAGGAGCTGATATTGCAACTCTCATCGTATCGCACAGGAGCAAGCCGCCGTCTCACGTTGGAGATTTGGAAAGGGCGGTGACTTGGGGACTTGTGCCACGCTTCGTCGGAACTGTCGTGAACCTCTCCGCCAGGTCCAATAGGTGTTCAAGACCGTCCCGTCGGCCTTCATGTCCGGCTGAAGTGCTATTGGGGATGCGGGGCTCCGCCAACTGGCCAGAGAATTCTTCCCATGTACATGAGCGCCTGGGTATGTAGGTGTGTAGGTACTAGGTAGGCAGGCAACCAGACCTAGGCGGGTAAGAAATCATCTGCGTGTTTATAGAAGGCATGGCAGCCAAAGCACTCGGGCATGTCGCCCACGGCCCAAACATCAAGCAGATATTGATATTTTGCGCTATCTTGAAGGTGGATGCTTGAGCGACAGGGGCATTTTTAGGGGATAGACCACCGAATAACCCACAGCGTTGTCGCCAAGCCAATTCCAGTTGACAGCCGTGCGGCCCCAACTAACCGCAGCCCACCGCGTTTTGGATGGATGCCCGATAAACCACATGCACAGATGGATTACTTTTCAGTCACTGCAAGTAAATTAGGCACCTAGATAGTTAGGTGGGTAGTTGATCGGGGCACGAACACCTGCCATGGACCGAGACAAAACTGACAACCAGAGGGCAGACGACTAGTGGCTCGACGGCGGCAGGAGAAGAAATTTTCTTCCTTCTTTTCCTGTCGGTTGTGTGACCCATCAATGACAAGCCCACCGTCCCTCTCGTCCGCCATTGGGCGCTGGCAGCACCCTGTCTCACTCCGGCACCTTTTTCGCATGAGGCGAGGGGCGGGGGGACCACGAGGACAAACATGCCCATCCCGTGGCATGTGTGGCAGCCACTCCCCCCCCCCTTTGCTGCATGCATGACGGGAGCTGGGTGAGTCTTAGCTGCTTGTCTTGGCTCGTACAGCTCTCGGGACATTCGAAATTCGGCGGCCCTCTGCCGCGACCTCATTCTTCCTCGAAAAGCTGCTCTTGCATTTCCCGCTCTGTCGCCACCACATGTTAGTCGCAGGTCGCTCGTCTCCATGCCGGTGAAACATGGCATCTCGTGCAACCGCGCGTGGCGCTTCGCCCACTTACGCCAGAGTTTGTTTGCCGAGTCGACAATGGCCTGCGCCTTAATCAAAAGTTTGTCCTTGTACTGCTGTTCGTCCTTGGTCCCTGAACGGATTTTGTTAGGCTGGGCCTAGATCCGGGGGCGTGGCTAGGTTAGCAGACGTGAGGCACAAGACGAAGCCGTCACACTACTGCCCGTCTATCAAAAGCGAGTGAGAATTGAGAAAGGACAGTCTTCATTACCTGCATCAGGATCGGGACAAGTTCTTTAGGGTCGGTGTTGGCGATGGAAACGACGGTTTTGAAGCCGTTGTCCCAAAAGACCCGGCTACCGCGGTTGCACAGAAATTTGGCGTCAGTTAAGGTCGACGCCACTGGTAAAAATTGCAAGCCCAGCGAATAGGGGACCACTCACGCTGTGCGACTCTTGACAAAAGTGATCTGTGCCAGAGAGAGCAGGTCGGCCTTTGCTCCTGCTTTGAGCCGATCGGAGAAGTGGTCCAGAACGGACGACAGGGCGCTAAAATGCCACCGGGTTATTAGTTCGGTCTAGGCGGCAGTCTTCGATGGGGGATGGCCGGCTTAGCTTACCCCCAATCCATGTGCTGGCAGAACTTGACCATGCCGGCAGCAAACCCCTGGCAGTTTTGCGCCAAATTCTGCACCGCGCCTCGGGGCACATCGTACTTTCTGGCGACGACATGTACTGGCACTTCGTTGCAGAGATCTCGCAGCTGCAATGCAACATAGAACCTGCGGTACACCCGAGCGAGTTCCTTCTCCTCCTCGGTCGACTCTCGGAGCTGGCCGCCCTGCATCATCCTGGTAACCTCGGTCGGTTTAAGCCCAAGGAGCTTCAGAACGCGGAGGCCGCTTTCGTCGAGTGCCTCCATTTCGTTCCAGAAGACGCGCCAGTTTATATCAGCCGCAAAGTCGTACACTGGGGTAAAGGTGTACAGGATGTGCATATCGCCATCCATTACGAAAGCCTTTAAAGCCTTCTTCAGCTCTTTATGGACAAAGACGCCATCCTCTGGATCGAGGGCACTGGCAACGATTGCCTTGCCAAGTTGGGTTGCTTGAAAGTCGGAATGGTCGTCCATGATAATGAAGCCCATCTTCTGGAGGTTCTCAAGCGAAGTCTCAACGAGAGAATCGATAGTCGTGAGGTCGGTGGTTTGTGCGAGCAATGTCTTGCGGATATAGTCGTCCAGGGACGCCCGCCCGGCGGCTAGTTTTATAGCAATCACTTCCAAAAGTGCGCTACGGGAGTTGGCATGAGCTTTCTAGGTCTGGGGAATTCAATCTGGGGTAAAACGCCTACCGTTGGATCCTTTGTCGATCCGTCATCAAAGAGCTTCTCACATGCGGGAGTTCGGCGTGCATGAGACCCAAAACGTCTTCCAAATCGGTGGCCCGGCAACATAGATACGTCTCCCCAACCTCGTCTTTGCCTTTTCTGCCGGCCCTGCCTCTCATTTGACGCCTGCGGTCAGGCCTCGGTCAGTGTTTGCGCACAAAAACAGCAGCGTGGGGTTGAGGGTTTTCCAGGGCGGCATCTCACAGCATCGATGGACCGACAAGTTCCCGCCCCATGCGTGCGTTGTGGAGTATCACTCGCCGGGCAGGCAGATTTATACCCGCGGCAAGACTGCAGGTAGCGATACACACTTTCAAGATGCCGCCATCGTACCCCTTGGCAACGAGGTCACGCTCTTCCGACGTCAATCCTGCCTATACAGCGTCAGCATTCGGCCTTGTATCCAGATGATTCCCAGTTGTCCGTACATCTGAAAGTTGTGTTAGTTAAAGCAGTACTCAGTGGAAAACGAGCGGTTGGAAAGGTACGCCTTACGATGAAAAGCGACTCCGTATGGGATGGTCTGAAGGAGCACGGGGTCTAAACCACAGTTGAGATCTTGCAGGTCTGCGAGAAGCTCTCTTCTTCGATCCATGGCAACTTGATCGACTTCAGCCAGGGTGGGCATCGTCCTGCTAATCAGCATGGCATCGGACTCGCACATAGCGCGACTGCCGGAAAAGACCAACACTCCGTATCCCGATCTGGCCGTCTCGTTAGCCAGGGCGACCACAGCGTTGAGGACAGGGTCCTTAAGCTCCTTGTGAGAGGACGCGTCAATCTTTCTCGTTGGGCAGCTGAGCGCCTGCGATGGTCGGCGGTGCTCTCCGTCGATTTGGCTGGCTGTCCGTATCATGTTGCTCGTGGTGGCTGCCGGGTAGACACTTCCGTCACACACTAGATGCTCTTCGATAGGAACTGGGCGATAGTGAGTTTCATATGAGTGCCCACCCAGCCAGGTAGAGAGCAAGTTGGCATTCTAAACAGTGTCGTAGGTGGCCCGTAAGTCAGTTGTCACGGTCTCAACGGGGCCAAGGTCCGTTGCAAAATACTAACTGCTAGGGTAGCGCTCATGCCGACGATTTGTATAGGTTGCTCAAGACATAAGAGCTTAGTGGCCAGGAGCTCGAAAAGATAGCCTCTATAATCGTCATCGATCATATGAAGTTCGTCGAGGACAACGACTCCCAGCTTGTTGATTGAGCAGTCTTCGATGGCCGTGTTGACAAGGGCATTTGCCTAGCGGTGGCTTTAGAACTAGGTACCCGCCGTATAAAGGGCTCATGACGGCGTTCAGAGAATGGGGTGAGCAAACACACCTTCTCAAGCGTACACACGCCAATGTCGAAGTCTGACCAGGTGTACTTCATGCTACTGCCTCCGAAAAAGCCAGCCTACGATATCCTTGTAAGTGGACCAATATTGTATTCATCATGGCGGCGAGGCTCACTTACAACCCTGATTGTGTCTTCGTCGGCGCGTCGGCGCCAGATACTGTTCTCTCTGGCATCCTTCGTCTCCGTGGCTCCACCGTGCGCGATACCGCGGACGATGCCACGGAGCCACCGCACCTTTTCCTGCACTAGAGCAACATACGGGAGTACCAGAAGTGACTTGGACCCTGGGTTTTGGACTATCTGCTTGAGCATTAGCAAATCTGCCACGAGGCTTTTCCCGCCACCGGTGGGAGCGGTGTAGACGAGATTCTTTTCGCCATCGAGGAGGCCCGGGCCGAGCAAGCACAGCTTCTGCCAGGGGTAAATGGACTTTATCCCAAGAGAAGCAAAATTGTCAACCAGCTGTCGCGGGAGGCCGTAAAGCGGGTGTGAAAGCGAGAGCAGGGGGTCGATGGTGGCCGTCGGGGTCGCCTGGATCTCCCTGCGCTGCGAGTAGTCGGAAATCCCCGCATCGGCTGCCGGAAAGACGTGGTTTATCGAGCTAGCAGCAATCCGAGTCACCTCCTTGGCGAGAGCAACGTAATGCCGAGGCCGAGGAGGAGGCGGGCTTTGTATATTCGGCCGCTCCGCCGGAGCAACAGAGACGGTGGTATCTCCATGGTCAACTAGGTACGAATGTGGACGCTTTTGGCCTGCAACGGCGACCGTTGTCTGGATTGTCGTCTGCCGCTCATTAGCGACATCGAACGAAGTCTTGTGCCAGATGCCCTGCCGATTCGACATTGTTCATCGCCAGACCCGCCCAAGCCAAAGGAAGCAAGGGAAGTTGAGTGCAGTATGTGCACAAATAAGGTTAGCGTGGCGACGCTGAGCTTCAACCAGAGGCAATCATTGGGTTTGATTGAGCTGCAATAGAGGGGTTGAGGCAAGGTATGTTCACGCGCAAGTAACCGAGATGACGTGTTTGACGCGACTTGTTGAGGTCACAGGCGCACCAAACCAACACCTGGTCACGTTTTTTACTTGTCCTCCCCTGGTCGCTTCGGATTGGTGGCTGCTTCCTTTTTCCCCTCCCAAGATGCTCAAATTGCTCAAACCGGCAAGATGGGCCAGCACGTGCGTCAAGCTACCGTTTCTGGGCACACCCCTGCGCACCGGCAGGGATCGTTTGATGGCTTGAGTGGGGGCGGCAGGCCCGCCCGTGCAGGCGGTGCAGGCGGTGCAGCAGCACAAACCCGACGCCCAACTTACTTTCGACTGGCAAAGACAGACGCGGCCAGCGGTTGCCGAGCTCGGGCATGCGCCAAGCAGACGTGGACGCGCTAAAAATGCCACATACGGCTGGAACTGTGAGCAGCGTTCCAGGAGAGTGAGAGAGAGAGCAGCGACCCGCCTCCAGTCTTGTAGCGCGTCGGGAGCAGTCAGTTGGTCTCGCCAGGGCCCCGAAAAGCCGGGAGAGCCGAGGCGATGCGGGTACGCAATTGATGTTTGACAATGGGGGCCTGGCACCTGGCCAAAAGAGGCGCGCGGTGGGTTTGGCGAAACCCTGCGGATCGGTGACGGGTTGCAAGGTCGGGCCCCACAATTGGCGAGCCGCGACCGCGACAAGATTTGCTGCATTTTTGCGGCCAAACCCCATGGTGCGTGTTTCTGCCTTGGCCCAGCACGGCAAAGGCGGTGCAAAACCACATCTAGGGCCGACTGTCGGTCAAGTCGCCCGCGAACCTCGCGCTGCAGGACATGGGCATGCTGGACGGACGACGCCCAGCCCGCCGGCTTCTCCCGCCCGCCACAGCCCACCTACAAGATGGCTGTGTGAACGACGAGCTCGGGAGGTACCCCGCGCCGAATCGAGCCGGAAACCCATCCGGACGTCGTCCCTTTGCCTCGCGAACCCAAAATGACCCCCAGCAGCCGCTCCTGGCTACGAGTCGCAAACCCGCAAAATTTGACACATCTCCGTTCATCCCTACCCCCCATACAGGCGGCATGGCCGGTCGCCAAGACAGGGCCCAAGTGGTGTGGATTGCATCTGTCTCTGCCTACCTTTGGCTGGGAGCTTACTGCGCGCGCGGTAGGGAGCGCCGAAAAGAAGGCAAAGCGACATTCGTACGTCAGCAGGGGGGCAGGCCCGACGCGCGCCGAGCCTCGGTTTCCCACCGCCAGCCGTCGTCGAATAGCTGCCAGGATATTTGCTAGCGTACAGTCATCCTAGTAGGATATCATGTTTTTTTTTGGGGGGGTGTTTCTGTATTTTTGTATCCGTCTCGGTCTCATTCATTTATATAAGCGATGATCTGTGTTCCAACCGTGTGCATAATTTTTTTAATTATTTTTTTTAGCCTGCTACGTGGTCTAAACCTCATGCTCATCTGAGCCGACGGCCCTTGGAAAGCCTCATGGCGCCGCAGGTGGCAAACTGGGCATAGGACACACACAGAACAAGTGAATTTCAATTCCAAAGCGACACGAAGGGGGTGTGTGCTTCGAAGGAATGGCGGATGGCGCAGCCGCATGCTCACCACCTCACCACGGTCTCCCGAAAAAAGTCTGGACCGCAATTTTTTTCCCCACCCAAACTCAACCTCTCCCAAACACAATTGCACCAGCACCAAAGCCAAACAACATGCCCGCGCACC